TGAGCTTGATGATTTTCTTCATAATAACCCGAACCGGGATCACACCTCACACCGAGGGCAAAGTGTATAGTCCATGAATGGTTGATGAAACTCTCAAAAATTTCTACCAAAAGAATCCATCAATTATCTTAAGAAGGAAAGAAAAAAGAGGGGAGACAAAAAAAAAAACTTCCCAAACATAAAAATCATAAGTCAAGATGGGAGTCAAAATTCAACAAACGGACAAAGAGAGTTGAGGCTAGAAAATAAAGTCAACGACCAAAATGACAAAATCCAAGTGGCAAGCCTAGAAAAATTTTCTCAAGGACGTAGTAGCCCAACTAACGGCTAAAGTGATAAAGTCCAAGCGACACAATTTAAAGAGATTTTCATGGACAACAAAGTGATTCTATGTCAAAAAAAAAAACCTTCAAACACGTTTTGAGCCTTTATATCCTTCTTTCATAAACCCAATGCCATAGCTCGCATTACATGCTTTTGCAAGTCCTTTCGATCAAAGATACTTTACCTAGGTTGTTGGATTCCAATCTCAAAAAAAAAAAAGGTGATGATGGAGAAAAAGAAAATGCGATAAGTTGGTATCCTGTTTATCATTCTCCATGACATACAATCATGAGTTTTCATCAAGAAACCCTGGGGCAAAATAAACAGAATCAAGATATTCTAAGGCAAATTTATCCTTCAAAACCACTTATTTTTTCAAATGTTTTCTCGCTCAAAACTTTTTCATTTACCCAAAATGAACTTATCTTGGATTAATTCCTTTTCAATTCCTCAAATGTCAACTTTTATGCAAACTTTGCATGACCCAAACACTTTTTGCTTGCTTAGCTCAACTTTCTTGAAGAAATTGCATCATAGCATTTGAATATCATGATTTGACTTTGATCAATAAACTTAAATATCTTCATGAATGAAAGTACTTTCATCGAAACATCTCTACATTTCGTTCGGATAATCTGAATTGTTTTAAGAGAGTCATTCAAATATACGACTCAATCCATAAGAGCTAAATGTTTATGATCTTTTTCAAAAGATGACAAAATTTTCAAGACCAATTTACAAATCGTGATGCAAGCATCAAGAAACGAGCATTCGAACACAAGTGGTGATTATGTCGGATCTCAACCAACACTTGGGGGCATTTCGTAGCCCAACTCGAAGGACATTTCATAGAGAATACTTGGGGCCAAGATCCGAGTCTATAAAACTCTAATTGAGTTCAACAACTTGTCGGACAATGGCATCACTATGCTATGCTAACCGAGAGGAATAGAGGTCGAAATAATATGCTTTTGCGCTCAAATCAAAGCAATCAAAACGATCGAAGCCAGGGGTCAAGAGCGACCTCGAGGGAGGACAATGACTCAATCAAAATTTAGCAAGCGGTCAAAGCAATTGAGCATGATTTTACAAGGATGGATTAAAACATGAGGTGGTTTATCACTTTCCAAAAAAAAAAAAAAAAGAAAAAGAAAAAGAAAAGGAGAAAAGACTCAAGTTCACTATGAATAGTGGTCCAAGCCTTAGGGGTAAGGAAATCTTGACGATACTACGAGATACAATCCGACACGGATTTTTGAAATGAGGCAAATGGGGGATTGAGTACCGACAAGGCGGGACGACCTATGTTTCTCTCGGGTAAGATTGTTGTCAATTTCAACTTAAAAAAAAAAGAGAAAACGTTCAATCAAACTCGAAATTCAAACAAAAGAGTCACATTTTTCCACACATTCGTTCGGGCAGGATCGCCTAATAATAGATCATTCACTCGGGTAGGGTCACCTCAAAATAGACCATTCTTTCAGGCGGGATCGCCTAATAATAGATCATTCGGGTAGGGTCACCTCACGATAGACTATTCTTTCGGGCATGATTGCCTAATAATAGATCATTCACTCGGGTAGGGTCACCTCATAATAGACCATTCTTTCGAGCGGGATCGCCTAATAACGGATCATCCAGGTAGGGTCACCTCACAATAAACTATTTTTTCAAGCGGGATCGCCTAATAATAGATCATCCAGGTAGGGTCACCTCACGATAGATCATTTTTTCAGGCGGGATTGCCTAATAATAGATCATCCACTCGGGTAGGGTCACCTCACAATAGACCATTCCGTCGGGCGGGATCGCCTAATAATAGATCAACCACTCGGGTAGGATCACCTCTCAATTGATCATTCTTTCGGGCAAGATCGCCTAATAATAGATCATCCACTTAGGTAGGGTTACCTCATAATAGATCATTTTTTTGAGCGGGATCGCCTAATAATAGATCATTTTTTCGAGTAGTATCGCCTCACAATAGACCATTGCATATTCAATTTCGAGGGTAGGTCGCCCTTTACAATAAGGCCACGCATAACACGTTTAATTTTTCGGGGTAGTCGCCACTTTACAACAAGGTTACACATTGCACGTTTAATTTCTAGGGTAGGCTACCCTTTACAATAAGGCCACGCATCGCACGTTTAATTTTCGGGGTAGGTCTGCCCTTTTAAATAAGGCCATGCATTTGCACGTTTAAATTTCTAGGGTAGGTCGGCTTTTACAACAAGGCCATGTACTACATCTTTTATTTTTCATGTACTTTGTACTTAATTTTTCATGAATCGCACATTTATTTTTCAAAAAAAAAAAGGAAAGAATATCTTTACAAGCTCACTAGACAAATCTATTCCGAAGTTCACACTTTAGCTAAGATTTGCATCGTAAGTATTGTAAAGAGAGAGCAACTTGTCATAACCCAATTTTTCCTTTAAAGTAAAAAATCAAAAAACAAAAAAAAGAATAATAAAACAAAAAACAAAAAAAAACAAAAAAGGAAAAAATATAAAATCTCCAAAAAATCGTTGAAATCTTCCACCGATCTTTTTTAATTAGAATCTCCTTATTTTTAGCTAGAAAAATCTCAAATTTAAGATTCGATAATTAAAATTTGATTTGATTTTGGGAGAAATTTTAGGATGTTTTCGGCCTATAAAAAGCTTTCGGATTTCAATTTGCGAAAAAAAGGAGAAGGGGAAAAAAAGAAGAAAAAACGCAGCCAAAAAAAAAGAAAAAAGAAAAAAATACCGAAAACCTAAAAAGAGGAAGGCAAACACGTCCTAACCCATCAAACCGGACCCGATTACCCGTTAACCCGTTCGAAAACTTTGAGCCCCAATTGATCGTTTTTCGATCCAATTTTGACCCCGATAAACACACCCACGTGTGGACCATCACTAGATCGATCGATCCATACCCATTAGAGAGAGAAAAACCCACGGAGGAGAGAGAAATTGAAGTTTAAACCACCACGACCCGACCCGAAAACGATACCCGATCGTTTCTCTCAACTCCGGTCACCACCACAAGATCCATCACCACATACATGATCGCCCATCTCCTCCGAGTAATTCCATTTAAACATCTCGACCGAACGACATCGAAAACGGTTTAATTGACCCCGACCCGTTTGCGACCCGTTTTGATAAATCCGAAAAAATTGGCCGATCTAGGAATAATTGGAGGTCTCAACCACCACGAACTTCTTCTCATGACCGTGCGAGTCGATCGGTGGGTTTGGAATCTCGATAGGAGGTCGGATTCATCGTCGGTGAAGAAGAAAAATCCGACCGAACCTTTGGAGGCTCCGATCTCCCTCTTCCGGCGTCGTCTCCGGTTGGAACCACCGCCATTGGAGTCGCAATGGCCGGATCTACAAGGCCGGGTGGTCCACGCGCCGAAGCGAGCACCGGAAGACGAACGATCACTTGGCGGTGACTCTTGGTATTCCGGGGCCATTTTGGTAATTTTATAGTGTATGTGAATTTTGGACTTTCTTTTTTTTTTTTATGTGTTTTGTAATAATTTTTTTTGTCTTATGCATGTTCGAAAATCCAAAGCTATTTAGTTGTGGAATTTATTCTAATATGTGATTTTTTTTATGTGATTAAAATATTGGATCAACGAGTCTCCTATTTATTAGGGACGGACGGTGATTTTAATACATTTAATTTCTAGTTAATTTCAGTTAGTTAAAATCTTAGTTTTTTTTTAATTATTATTAAGAAAATAAAAAAAACTAGACAAAATATATATCAAAATTTTCAACAAAGCCTCCTATTTGTTAGAGGTCGACGTCACAAAAAATCACATTTTAATTAAGATGTCCTTCGACACATCGGTTGTGTTAAGGCTTAAAGTGGATTCAATGTTTGAATCGACGTGTCGCCCGACGAAGGGGACCGATGATCATTTCAATACGATGCCACGCTCAAAACTAAAAAAATTCAATTTGTTTAAAAAATGAGAGATTAAGAGTCGGAAAATAATTTGACATTTTAGGAGATAAATTTAGAGCTAAAACCGGACGTGGTACCTTTCTTCGGAAATGGCACTTTTGGGTGATCGACACCTTCCCAAAAGCGTAACCAATCCCTTACCATAGAATCTCCGAACCGAGTGTTCATTTTAGGTTCCTAGTTCCTTCAATACTAGGTGGCGACTCCAAAATCTGTAAATAAACTTGTAAATATTCAATCTAAATTTTAGATATTTTCGTGGAGTCCCGTCCGACGTCGGGTAGCGACAATAATCGAGATGAAAACGATAAAATTTAATCTTTATTAATAAATATAATTTTAAAATTCGAATAGTATATATTAGTAAAAAATTTTATTTAAATACCAATTCTCTTATTAACTCATCATCTTACCAGACAACATTACTAATTATTGTTGTGTTTTAAAGAATTAATGAATTGAAAGCACACTGGTAAAGAAATATTCTCAAAGATCTTCGCATATTATAGTAATGCTATAGTTGAAATTTAATATATTTTTTACTTGTGAAACTAATCTGATGTAAATATTTTATTTTTTTTACGTGTGAGACTTTTTTTTACGATTTGAACAATTTTTTTTGAGAGCTTTGAAGAGATAATATTATGCTATATGGTACTCTAATTATAATTCAAATGAAGCTAACATCTTTTAGGAATGACATTTGAGCATCTAATTGATTGCTTTCAGTACTGGATGAGGAAGCTTTTCAACATTGCACCAACCAACTGTTGATTTATGTCAATTCGTACAACATTTTAAGGAAAGTTTGGTGAAGAAAGGTGGGTAAAATGCTTGATTCTTCAAGCTCTCTTAAGATGTCGTGTGCTAGACAAAGATTCTGTCTTATGCTTGAAATTTAGGTTACTATTTGTTTCCCATGCACCTTTAATACAGGTTTTAAACCATAAAAAATCATGGGTCTTCTCTGCACATGTCATGGCCAGGTTAAACCACTGTCTCTCTCTGTTTTTTTCATTTTTCTCCTCCAATTTGCTTTCGATTTTCTTGTGCTAAAGTTGCCCTTTTTTCATTCTGGAAAAGGCCATTGCTTTTTTGGTTCTCCATTCCCCACTTGTGAGTGGGATGAGACTTTTGCACCTCCCTCCTTTTTTTTCTCCTTTTTCTTTATATTTTTTAACAATTGTTTGTATGCTTTTGAGGCCACAAATTGCTACCGCAATCCCCTCATTTCTATATCAATAAATTGTATTGTCAATTAGTGGAAAAGGAAAGAAAACAAAATGTGACCCCTCCTCTGAACCTTCCACTATGTATATATTTGCATGGCCAATATGGCGTGGAAATTTCAAATTCTAATGCATTAAATTATGCATCTTGCCAAATTTTATTTATCAATTAAAATTTACATCCCTCCTTTTCTTTTAAAAATCTTGGCTTTTTCCCTGCGTTTCAATACATTTGTTCATTAAAAAATAGATAAACGCTTTGTAAAAATAGTAAGAGTTCGTGTCAATTCACGAATAAAAATAAAATTTAATCCCACTAAAAATGAAGCATTTTTTTCATAGATAAAAAAATTTGCAGCCCACTCGGCTGTTAATTTGGTAGAAGCTTAGTGTTAGTAATTAACAAGATAGGAGATGATGTTGTATTATTACGATGAACTGAATTAGCGAGAGTTTTCTTTTTTCCTTGGTAGCAATCCGCTCAACTGTTAAGCGTTAGGAGGTTATTGTTAATAGTTAGCACGACATGGAAACTACTACCATGGTGAATTGAACTGATCACCACTATAAAGATCAGTCATTCTATCATTCTCTTATAATGAGGTTTTTAAAATTTTAAATACTCGAAAGAGAGGATTTGAATTCGTAATTTCTTATCAATACAAAAAACTCACTACAACTAAACCAGAAACCTATTTTATATTTTGTTAAAGTTATTTTCAATATATATGCAACTTAGAGCAACACAACACTAAAATTAAAGCAAGTTACAATGCAACAATATTTTGTTAAAATTCTATTTGATTTAATGAGAAAATAGATGCCAATCTAACTCCCAAACATCATGGAATGCATATTGTTGGCCATGGTTTCTTGAAACTTCACTTAAAAATTTAAAAAAGCAAGAAAATGTTAAGAATCTTGTTTCTTCATCCTTGGAAGGTGCATGCCAACTAATTGTTCCAGAGAAGATTTTTCTTTGGCCTCAAAAAAAAGTTACGAAATAATGAGTTGGGACCCAAATTCTCAACCGAGCAGGGTCCCTTTCCTTTCGAGTTTCCACGCCAGTGTCAGCTGGTCCTATTTTGAATTTGTTATGTTTTTTGCCTCAGTGAGTAGAGTACGAATGGCAAGTTGGCAACCCTTTGATAGGGGCAATTTATTAATAGCTTTTTGGAAAAGAAGGTGGGCCTTTTCCCCTCTTTCATTGATGAGATTTGTATCGATTCTTTCAATTATATTTTTAAGTCAATTTAACTGTTATTCGTGATTAATTTTTTTTAACAATATTAAAAATATTTGAACAAAAAAATTCAAAAGATGAAAGATATCTTTTAAAAAATCACATCAACCTTTTAGAATTATATTTATGTGTCTTTAAACCCACCCATATATGTACGAGTGAATTTTTTTATATATATTTACTTATAAAACATTAATTAAAATTAAATTTATTACTTTTCGAGTCAAAATAACGTTAAATTATATTTAATTTTTAATTAATTTCAAAAATCAGATTCTTTGAACCTGCTATCACTCAATAATTTTTTATTTTAATTACAAAATCATGTTTATTAAGAAGTTGTGGTGAGATTTGGATACAGGGGCATCTTATAACTACTAAGTAAATCAAATCTTCCAGATTAAAAAGATAATGGTAATCCTATCTTTCAAAAAAAAAAAAAAAAGTTCAAAGTAATTTAATTTGTTTATCTTTATCTATTTTCATCATTTTCAAAGTCATGGATAATGTAGTTGATAATCATCTTTTATTAGCTGATACAGACAAATTATATAAACAATTTGAAGATTGAAATCAAACTAAATCTAGATAAACTTTTAATTAATTAAGCCAAGGTTACTGCTTTTATACTTTTTCTTGCCTTCATGCTGCAGAATTAACAGTACCACTCCAATTTTAATTCACTATGTTCCCAATCTGTAAACTAATTAAAAATTATTGTTGGCCAAAGCAGATAAAAACATTTCCCTTAAAATATAACAACGAAAACTTACAAAAACAATTTCCAATCATTTTATTATTGGCAATGCAAAATGGAAATCAAGTTCAAATCCTCTTATAAATCAAATAAAAAAAAACTTAAAAAGATAGATCTCTCGAGTGTATTTGGATTGTTTTGATATTGTTTTAAAATTTTAAGTAATTTTGATTTATTTATATTAAAATTATCAAAAAACATACTAACAAGTTATTGATTCAATAATAAACAAGCTGGTTTACATGTGAATTTTTTATTATTAATATTTAAAATCATATTTGTTGAGAAATGTTAAATTTTATTGTTTTTCTTTTAAATAAAATTAATCTTATATTTAATAAGAAATAAAAATACTCTGAAAAAACCCAAAAAAAAAATATATATATGAGAGACGTATATACCATGTTGTCAAACAAAAACTTACGTGTAAAGGATCCCAAAATCTATCTTTGATTTTCACCAAAGAACAATTAACTCGGAAATAACAATTATACAAATGTGATCATATTCCTTTATTTTATAGCATATGATAGAAAATGAGAAGCCAGGGTCGTAAAAGGGTGAGTGGACTTCACCATCAAACTTTGTCCTACGCGCATACAACGTCCATTTCATTGCTCACGGGAAATTGATACTTTATACAAGAAAGATGGTATTGGTACCGGCCACATGATATAATATAATATATAAATTTGATTATTATTTTTATATTGAAATTATAAATTTGATTATTATTTATAAGTATGTATTTTGTGTATATGTTGTAGGTCCTACAATAGAGGTGCCAAATTTGTTGCCTGCATGATTGATTTTGGCGTCCTTTATTGACAGGGTAAATTATAACCTAGTCCTTTTAGTTTTTTTTTTTTTAAAAAAGAATGAAATAGTTTTTCTAGTTTTAATAACTAATTAGTTCATATATGTTAAATCTATGTGTAGCTTAATCCTTTTTATTTTTTTTAATTTATCTGTTTTTTAAATATGAAAAAATTAAAAATACAAAAAAGATTGATAAGAAAAAAACATTTTCTAGAACAAAATAATAGTAAGTTAACCAAGAACAAAACTAATCGATCAGTTTTTAACATAAAAGGACTATTTAATTTGTTTTATAAAACCATAGGGACTGACTTATAATTTACTTCTTATTGTAATTTACATCTTATTGACCCCTCAACTCCTTACTGTTTGTAGTCATGCCGGAGAAAAAGCAAATTAGAGGCTCACCACCGACCACTATAAATAAAAGGACCTTCCGACCTGATTGATATTGTTGCGGCATCGTTTTCGGTTTTTTATTTTTTTAGTTTTTCAAATAAAATCAGAAAACCCATTTGACGAGATAAAAAAAAAAACCGGAAGAAGAAGAAGAAGTTAGATTGACAATTACCAACCTACAAGTAGTCATGGATTTGGATCATCCTTTCTCTTTGTTTCTTGATTCTTGATTGCTCTAAATTGTCATTACCAATACAAATTATAGCAAAATAAGTTGAAACATATTTATAAACAGCACCAAGAATTGTGGTGAAACTTTATCAATCTCTATCACCATGTTTAATTTAGTAAATTTAATCTAATTATAGAAGTACAGGCAATTAAGTATGTTCATCTCTTTGTTCCTTAATGGTTTTCCTCACATTTAGATTTTATGTTTTTCAATTTTTTTTATTGAAATTCTTTATTTTTTTACTTGATAGAGATTTTATATTATACGTGATTTTTTATTTTAAATTTTTTATTATAATGCTAATGATGAAGAATCGATACATAACTATTTAAAATAAAAAATCTCAAAAAATAAAAATTGTGTGTAGATAACTAATCGATAGCATTATAATTATAATAGAATGTTTGAATTAAAAATTTTTTAAAAATAAAGATTTTTAACCAAGTTAAAAAAAAAAAACATAAAATCCGAATGCGAGAAAAATCCGTTTGTGATCGACAAAATGCACAAAATATAAAAGCCATAATTGGGCTTATCCAACCTTTTTGCATGTTATGAATTGACAAGCATAGAGTTTGCATAAGAAAAGGTCAACAAAAGGGTTAATGGTAGACATGGAATTCATGAGGTTCCACTTTATAAAACTGAAGAAAAAGAGAACCGAATTAAATCGCCGCCGGTAATAAAAGAAGCGATAAGAATGATTTTTTTCTCTCTTTCAATATTTTTGTTTGGAAGCTATAAAATGACGTGCCTGCCACCTAATGAAATGTGATGGATGTAACAAAGTTGAATTAAAATGGTCATAATATGTCTCTTTCATGGTAGATTAATGGAGGTGTCTTTGATAAGTGATCACTACTGGTTTGATATGGAAGCTAATAACCTTCTATATATCTAGAAAGGGTGATGAATCTGCTGAGTCATTATTGTCCACCCCACCTTCCCTCTTTTCATATGGTTTATTAGTCTTAAAAATCAATCAATAACCAACAAATTGTTAGTCCTTAGTCCAATGGTAAATTAACTGGTATTTAGATGAATTTTTTATGAATATGTAAGGTTTGAATTTTGAAATTGCATTCGTTGAGAGGAGTTAAATCTTGTCGATATCGTTTTGAATATAATTAGTCTTATCTCTAATATAAAATAAGTATACCTAGATAAAACTATAAAAAAAAACAATCAATTCTTTGATTAGTTCACATGTGAGTAAATTATAAATTAGTTTTTTTAGTTTTGAGCAACGAATTAATTAGTTTTCTCTATTTCAAAAACTAATACAATTCTTTTAATTTCGTTTGTTCTTTTAATTAAAAAAAATAGATGTTAAGAAAAAGATTCATGAGAAAAGAAAATATTTTGAAATAAAATAATATTAAATTAAGCATAATTGATACTGATTAAAAAACTAAACAATTAGCTTTTTAAATAAAAAAACTAATTAATTTGTTTCTCGAAACTAGAATGAATAATTTATAATTTACTCATTAACATGGACATTCATAAATTTGATAAAGAAAAAAAGTTAAATAAGGAGAAGGCCATTTAATTTTAGACACAACAAAAACAATATTCCCTTTCTCCTCATCATTATTCTAAAAGTTTTCATTAGCATCCAATTAATTACCAACTAAACCGATAAAAAAAAACAATTAAAGTTAGGAGATGTTTGATAACCTCGTTTAAATAATTTAAAAAATTAAGTTATAATACTTAATATAAAAAGTTTGTTTGATAATCTAAATAATCTTATATTAAAAATTTAAGTTGAGTCAAAATCTACTTAATCAAATAAGTTAAAAATTTTAATTTATTACTTTTTGATTAACATGCTCGATTGAAAGATTTTTAAAATTTTTAAAATTTGACTATATTACCCTTATATATTTTTATAATTTTATATATATAAACCAACTAAAAAACAATCTCTACTCGTCCTCGTTGCTAAAATAGAGAAAACTTTCTCCATCATCGGTGCTATCATCTCGGAATTTAAAACAACAATTAATGTTATCTTAGATCGTATTTAATTTTTTTATTAATAATCATTTTTATTGATTATTTATTTATTTGTACATACAAACACATCTATGTATATATTTTATTTGTATTAAAAAATATCATGTTACAATTACAATGATAAAATTATCATGTATATAACTTTAATATGTTCAGCAATAATACTTATCAAATAAGTTTATTATATTCGAGTACTTAATTTTAAGTAAGCACCAAACAGTTTGTTAGAAACATATTCAGTATTTAATTATTCGATACTTAAAATTCAAGTACTTGACGATTCAATACTTAATTTTCAGTTTTATCAAATATTCTCTTAGTTTGTTTTCATGAAAACATTTTTTTCATCTTACTTTCTTGCATTTATCCAACTTAGAAAAATCTGATGAACATAGATAGTTTACGTAATATTATGTAATTCAGAAGAAAACAATTTAGCTAGTAATCTTCACGGCTTTTTTCTTTAATTTCTTTTTTGAAAAAAACCATAATTGCTTGCACGATTTATTCGACAAGTTGCACGACAATCAAATTAACCCGTGTTCCAATCGCCTCACTGTAACTTACAAGAACAATAATCGTTAGTACTTTTTTTGAGTGATTCATACTAATCAAATACCATGCATGATTGTTTGATTTCTCAAAAACAGTAAGGATTGAAGCTCAATCTGGAAGCTATCTCTTGCTTTAGGTTTATCGTGTAATCCATGATGTAGAATGTCTTGAGTTGATGCGAAAATTCGAAGAGAAAAGCAAGAAAATACAGGGCATCGTTTTCCTACGTGTAGAAAATATTTCTACATTGACCTTAAAGAATTAAGGTAGTTCTTTATTTTTAGATTATTGAAAACCTTTTATAAAAAATGCTCTCTCTATATATATATAATTTTACTTATAAGAGGTCTATTAATAAAGTGTTTTTTTTCTTTTCTAATGAGAAATAAACATCCCACTTAAAAATATTTTTTTATTACACTTAATTTATTATCTATTTAGGTTACATTTTTCGATAGATAAAAAAAAATTTATGCATTTTACATAGACACATATATATATATATCTGGTTTCAACGTATTTATTTTAGTATTAAAATTTAAAATATCTCTACAAATAGAACTAATCGAACATAAATTTATTATATTTTAAAAAAGTCAGTGACGAAATTAGAATTTAAAATCTTAAATTAAGCTGAAAGAGTCTCTTTCTTGTCACATGAGTCAATGACCAAAGTCATGGATTTAACAATTGATGTAAAAATTTGAAGCATTTGTTGGGGATAGCATTTACATTTGAATCGGATGGAGGAGTGTAGATAGCAATTATAAGTTTTTTCCAACACTCTTACCTAGCATTAAGGTAGCATGGCTACATTAATTACTATAAATGAAGCAAGTACATTGATTAAAAGTTGGAAGAGCTATGGCATTCCATAATCAGCTGGTCTAAGCAAATTAAAACTGCCGCAAGCCTAAACTAATAATAGCTTTGAAGTATGAATTTTGATAGATCGGTGTTAAGGGTATAGTTAGGATTCCTAATTAAGAGAGACAAAAGTAAACATACTATTTCAATATGTATTATTATATAAAATAATATTACTTTATCATATAATATTTGATGTAAATAAAATTATGGGTAAATTACTTAATTTGTTTTTATACAATAGTCTAAGTCTCCAATCTATCTTTATACTTCTAATTGTATCTATTATGTTTTTAAATAATGTTTAAATCTTTAATATGTTTTTTCAACCACAAACAAATTTATTTGATCAAAATATCTTAATCAAAATGCAAAAAAATATAAAAACTTAAAAAATAAAACATACGGATCTTGTGATTATATATATATATTCATTTCGGGTAAGGACTTTCGGTTAAAAAAAATTTACTCATGGTCGAAAAAATTAATTTGAATGATAGATTGGAGATAAAAACAATATTTAGAGATGTACTAGATACAAATAGAAATGTAAGGATTGTTTAAACTATTATACAAGTATATATTGACTTATTTATTCCAAAATTGTCATATTAAAATTGAATTATAAAATAAAAAACAATATGTTTACATGATAATTTCATATAATTATTTTAAACAAATCACTCTTTGGTAGATATGTTATGGAATAATGAAAAAGTTTCAAAAATTAAAGGGAGCAAATGTCTAGAAAAAAGAAAGAAGATAAATTCAAAATCCTTAAACTGTTAAAACCTATTATGAAATTTTGAAAAAATTAAGAGAAGCAATTATCCCCTGTCTTATATGTAGCTCCGCCTTTGATTGCCGGTTCTGCCAAAACTTATGAACCACAAACGGTCTAAATTCTGTATCAAGCAATGCTCATTTTGAAGCATTGTTGATAAAAAAGGGATCTTTTTGTGCAAAAAGCCGACTTGGTTATTTATTTGAAATTATTTCAAGCTAACTTGCGCAAAAGTTTTAACAATTTTTTCGATAAAAGAAATGTTTTTAAATATTTGAACTAAAAAATTGCATCTTTATATATATTAGGGTAAGAGATTTTCATATTGAAAAATGTAGTTGGGTGGGTTTTTTCCTCCCTGATTCATCGAAGATCCACGAGTATTTCGACTATATAATGAGAATTAGTCCTTTTTCATTACATAATTCTCCAAAAAAAAAAAAAAAAATTATTAAGATTCGATTCTTATTTTATTAAAATAGTCAACTTCCACACACAATTTTTAGTGGGGTTTCGAATCTAATAAAATCAGATTTGTGAGGTTAGGGTGAGGTTCTTATGGAGCCCATTTTAGGACTTTAATGAGACCTGCTTTTGTGTGCCCTACACATTAAAACCCTGCCTTGTATAAAATCTATGTATATGGTCTACGTTTGTGGGCTAAGAAGATCTAATCTTGCACATAAGATCTCATCCACCATGGGCTTCAACTAATTCTACATGTGCTTGTGGTTCAAAGAACAAATCTACACATGAAATCTAACTAGTAAAGGGACCAAACTACTTCGGTAAGGAGAATCTCTACACTGAATCCTGAAAAGAAACAGACAGACAACCATGCAAAGTTACGGTAAAACAACAGTAAAAAAGACAGACAGGCAGAGAACAAGTTAAGGAAGAAGGGCAGGGGAACCCATGTGCCCACCTGTGTTTCCAGTTATAATGAAACGTCTAACCTGATTTTTTTGGACATGCATTTGCAAGAAATGAATGTCACGTGGGGTCAAAAAGCCATGAATAATCAATACATGAAAATGTCACAGATATATGTGGCTTTGGTGGATGTGACTCTGCACTGTTGCATTTGTCTGCTGATATGGTGATCACACTTTTGTTCTTAGGGTTTATTAATGTAGTTTGTTAGTAGTAAGTCCTTGGCTGTTTGGCACCGAGTTGCTTATGTTTCTCGAACATTGCAGACATTTTGTTAATCAAGAAACAACAAATAAGGTGGGCATAGTTTTGAAATCTGACAAGATCCTGGAGGTATTAAATATCATTCATTGCTCCATCTGCTTGGAATCCCTTATAGAAAATGGCCCAGCTTGTTTTTCTCTCCCAATTCAACTTATTCAAGGCCATTCTGCGCAGATTAAACTGATCCAACTCAAAGACAATTGTCCACCATCCATCTTGTTCTGCTCTGGGATTAACCTAGCTTTAAAGTTGAGCCTCATGGGCCTGTCAAAAGCTACAGTCCTCATCGTTTCATCCAAAGTTCAACCCTGTGAGCCTTCGAGTGTTGAATGTGTTTAAAATTTTATACATAATTCATTGATCTCCCCAGTCCCCACCCTTTTCCCTTTCTTCATTTTCTCTAATCTCTTATCTGCTTTGGAGTTGCTGCAATTTTGAATGAGATTTCATTTATTTTACTGGAAATCTAGTTTTATAGTTTGAAACAACAAAGTGCTGAATCAGAATCACTTGGTACCACTGTGAATTTGTGGGCTATATTTAAAGAGATCACAATGAATTAGGACCAATTAATTCCATTCAATCCAAGTTTTGGCCATGTTCTGTTAGGATTCGTACCAAGAGCTGAATTAGAACCTAGACCTAGACAAAGGCAGGGCAGGGAGGGGACACACCACTTCACATAACCTAGTTGCTTTTTTATTAGCGTGGGATCAAGGGACTTGGTTATAATCTTCTCCAAATGATATAAAATGATGCTAAATGCCTCATTCATGTTCTAATGTAGAGATATCTTCAAGCAGAGGATGCCGGCCTCTGCCCATAGTACAATTTTACTCAACCATGCAGACTTGCTTAAGAACAGAACAAAAGGCAGAAGCAAAACATAGGAAAAGCAAAGCAGAGTTGCTACTGGACATGGATGGATAGAATAACATAGACAGGAAATGAAATCTGATAAAAGCATTAGCTTTTCAAAGGAGAAGACCGAAAGAGATGTGAAGGGAGGCGCATAATAAGCTGCATATACCATCTTCACCATCATCACAGATTCACAAAGTGGAAATCACAGCATGAAGTAGTTAATTAAATGTTGCGATAAAGTATGTACGTAAATAGACTGACCACGCCTTGTGTGTCCGACCACCACTTCAAAAATCTAAAACTGAAAGAGTTCTTCGCAGAAATCGTTCAAGGTGTAAAGCATATCAAGTCCCACACAGCAGAAAATGTTACAATACACTAATCACCACAGATATTTTCAACAGCAAAACAAGCAGAAACCAAAATCATGCCATAGTTGTATTTCAGCCAATGGACGCTCACTATTTTCACCAAGGAGGACTAACTGATGCTTTTTATGTACATCTTTGCACCTTCATCAAGGGAGAAAAGGAAAGTGATATTTACATTCTAATCTTCATACAATCTATTCAAACAAAAGTCTCTTGTTTAAGTATATAGTATTTTCTGGCTGAAGTTGTATTGAGCACAACACATATATGTTACTTTACAGTGGCACTCCAGATTCGAAGTCCTGTATCCTTATTAGTATAAACGAGCATTATTCTCAACTTCAACATATCTTTGATGCAGGAAGATCAAAGGAGCTGAAGAGCCTACAGATAGTATCTTTCCCTCTGATTATTGAACTTTGGAGGCAGATGACACCAAGGCTTCGACCATGTTGATTGCGTATCCTTCACCATTTGCCATATTATTCGTGTTAGCTTGACAATCTACCAAGACAATTCACTTCCCATTTCCACCAATATTGGCCAGTGAAGAAGAACCTACTACTTGGGTATGGAAGCATGGTAAATCTGTCTGACAATCGCCTTCCTTGACGACAGTAGTTGTGTTGCACTGGTTTTGGAATCGAAACACACCCAATTCAGTATCAATCTTTCCCCTAAGGTCCACTAATATGCTTCCTAGCCTCTAAACCTCGGCTTCGAGAATTGCTTGAGTAAAGAGGAGAAGGAGAGGAAGGACTTGTAGAAGGGTTTGTTGGATAGCTAAGTCCCAGTTCTTTCCTGGCTTTAAGGATCACTGAGTGAACAAGTGCTTCTGGTCCGAGAGTTAACCTAATCATTTCCATTTCGCCATGGTGTTGAATCAAAAGAAGACCCATGGTTTTTGAAGCATTCTCAGGGTCTATGTTTTGGATTCTTGAGAAGACTATTCTTGTTGCTTCATGAACATCCATGGTAGAAGTCGTACTAGTAGTAGTAGTGAACACAGAGTTTGGTACTATGTTTCACACCAAACCCCACCTCTCTTACGAAACCTTGTCGTTGGAGTAGTTGTTGTTTTGTCTATGCTAATAGAGACTCGTTTTCTTTCTCTTTTTTTCTTGATTTGTGAGAGAGTAAGTCTTGTGTGCTCTGTTTTACAAGTAAAACTTCTTTCTCAACCACAAACCCTGCCTAACAACTTGAAAGAATAGTATTAGTAATAGCTAGAACTAGCAGTAGCAGTAGAAAAGCAGTTTTCTTTCTCCTATTCCTGCAAAACCCAAGAAAAGAAAGGTAAAGAGAAAGAAGAAAAGAAAGCTTTCAAAAGGAGAGTATTCTCGTGTGGTTGATTAAAAGGAAGCTGAGCATCTATTAGCACAAAAAGATATCACTCTTATTCTTTCTTTTCCAAATTAATATTGCAAAACCCAGCTCTAGTCAATACAGGACAACTTACCCATGAAAGAAAGGAAGGGTCTATATCTCCATTTCTATTGGTTTTTTCTCGTCCTTTTTTTCTCTCCCGAACTTACTACAAGAGCAAACCACCGCCATCTCACTAGCCAGGTTGGCAGGAACTAGTCGTAGCAGCAAGCAGCAGAAAAGCCATCAATTGCTTCAGTGTGGCGGCAGCTCCTGCTGGTGTTTTGGGTTCTGGGCTAATATTTGACAGTCAAAGCTCTCTCTGTCTATCTACACACTATCTTATAACAATCTCTCTAACTCTCTAAGAACTTACTTTCTCTATCTAGATACTGTCTCTATGTCTCTTTCTTTCTCGCTCTCTCTCCCTCCTTTTAGTTTATGGAAACAAGGACCGGTGAAGTGGCAGAGAGTGAGAGGCAGAGTATGGGAGGTTGGGTCATGTCAATTGACATAACTAAATAATTTTTTTTCTTTTAATTACAAAATCATGTTTATTAAGAAGTTGTGATGAGGTTTGGATAGGCATGTTATAACTACCAATTAAATCAAATCTTCCAGATTAACAAGATATTGGTAATCCTATTTTTTACCAAAAAAAAAAAAAAGCTGCAAAGTAATTTAATTTATTTATTTTTATCTATTTTCGTCATTTTCAAAGTCATGGATAATTTAGTTGATAATCATCTTTTATTAGCTCATACAAACAAATTATATAAACAATTTGAAGATTGAAATAAAATTAAATCTAGATAAACTTGGTAATTAATTAAGCCATGGTTACTACTTTTATACTTCTTGCTATCATGATGCATAATTAACATTAACACTCCAATTTTGATTCATTGTGTTCGCATTCTGTAAACTAATTAAAAATTATTGTTGGCTAAATCAGATAAAAACATTTCCCTTAAAATATAACAACAAAAACTCAAAAAAACAATTTCCAATCATTTTGTTATTGTCAATAAAAACATTGTTTGAATTGTTGTTTTAGTATTTTTAGATGATTCTGATTTCTTTATATTAAAATTATCAAAAAAACATATTAATAAATTATTGTGCAATGATAAATGAGTTGATTTGCGTATGAATTTTTACTAATATACAAAGTTTAAATTATAAAATTATATTTATTGAGAAATGTTAAATTATATCGTTATTATTTTAAATAAAATTAATCTTATCTTCTATATGAAATAAGAATATCTAAAAAAAATCAAAATAATAGAAATAACAATAACAATGGTAATAATACTACGAGAAACTAGGTTGAGATAGTTTATAACGTAGTTTGTTAGTAGTAAGTCATTGGCTGTTTGGCACCGACTTGCTTATGTTTCTCGAACATTGGAGACATTTTGTTAATCACGAAACAACAAACAAGGTGGGGATAGTTTTAAAATCTGACAAGATCCTGGAGGTATCAAATATCATTCATTGCTCTGTTTGCTTGGAATCCCTTATAGAAAATGGCCCAACTTGTTTTGATCTCCCAATTCAAGCTATTCAAGGCCATTCTGCACAGATTAAACTGATCCAAATCAAAGACACTTGTCCAGCATCCATCTTGTTTTGCTCTGGGATTAGCCTAGCTTTAAAGTTGAGCCTCATGGGCCTGTGAAAAGCTACAGTCCTCATTGTTTCATCCAAAGCCTTCGAGTGTTGAATGTATTTAAAATTTTAAACATGATTCATCGATCTCCCCAGTCCCCACCCTTTTCCCTTCCTTCATTTTCTCTACCCTCTTATCTGCTTTGGAGTTGCTGCAATTTTGAATGAGCTTTCATTTGTTTTACTGGAAATCTAGTTTTGTAGTTTGAAACAACGAAGTGCTGAGTTAGTGCTGAATTACTAGGTAACATTGTGCATTTGTGGGCTATATTTAAAGAGATCACAATGAATTAGGACCAATTAATTACATTCAATCCAAGTTTTGGACATGTTTTGTTAGGACTTGTACGAAGAGCTGAATTAGAACCTAGAAAAAGGCAGGTCAGGGATAGGACACACCACATCACATAACCTAGTTGCTTCTTTAAAGCGTGGAGGCCTATATATCCCAGCAAACACACACTTTTCATCAGCGTGGGATCAAGGGACTTGGTTATAATCATCTCCTGCATTTGGTATCACTTACGGTTGACATATAAAATGATTCTCATTCATGCGATAATTTAGAGATATCTTCAAGCAGAGGATGCCGGCCTCTGCATCATAGCACTCGGCGAGCGTGCTTTATCAGCTACTAGTGCAATTTTAATCAACTATGCAGACTTGCTTAAGAACAGACCAAAAGGCAGAAGCAAAACATAGGAAAAGCAAAGGAGAGTTGGTACTGGACATAGATGGATGGAATAACATAGACAGGAAATGAGATCAGATAAAAGCATTACCCTTTCAAAGGGGAAGACCAAAAGAGATGTGAAGGGAGGTGCATAATAAGCTGCATATACCATTTTCACCATCATCACTGACTGATTCACAAAGTGGAAATCACAGCATGAAGTAGTTAATTAAATGTTGCAATAAAGTATGTACGTAAATAGAATGATCACGCCTGGTGTGTCCGACCACCATTTCAAAAATCTGAAACTGAAAGAGTTCTTCATGGAAATCGTTCAAGGTGTAGAGCATATCAAGTTCCACACAGCAGAAAATGTTACAATACACTAATCACCACAGATATTTTCAAAAGCAAAACAAGCAGAAACTGAAATCATGCTATAGTTGTATTTCAGCCAATGGACAATCACTATTTTTATCAAGGAGGAGTAACTGATGCTTTTTATGTACATCTTTGCACCTTCATCAAGGGAGAAAAGGGAAGTAATATTTACATTCTAATCTTCAGACAATCTATTCAAACAAGAGTCCGTTGTTAAGTATATAGTCTTTTCGCGATGAAGTTGTATTGAGCACAACACATATATATTACCCTACAGTGGCACTCCAGATTCGAAGTCCTGTATCCTTATTAGTATAAACAAGAGCACTATTCTCAACTTCAACATATCTTTGGTGCAGGAAGATCAAATGAGCTGAAGAGCTTACAGATAGTATCTTTCCCTCTGGTTATTGAACTTGAGAGGCAGATGACAACAAGGCTTCGACCATGTTGATTGCATGTCCTTCACCATTTGCCATATTGTTCGTGTTAGTTTGACAATCTACAATTGGAGGCAGACAATTCGCTTCCCATGATTCAATCAGTTTCCCATTTCCACCAATATTGGCCTGAGAAGAAGAACCTACTACTTGGGTTTGGAAGCATGGTAAATCTGTCTGACACGGTATGTCTATTGACCCACCAGTAGGTTGCACTCCACAATCGCCTTCCTTGAACACAGTAGTCGTGTTGCACTGGTTTTGGAATGGAAAGACACCCAATTCAGTATCAATCTTTCCCCTAAGGTCCACTAATATGCTTCTTAGCCTCAAAACCTCGGCTTCCAGAATTGCCTGCCGTTGTATTTTCCTCACCAGCTGCTGGTTCAATATACGCAATTTCCTTACTTCCTCTTCTAAGTAAGCCGTATGTGCCTTCTTCTTTTCCCTATACTTTCGAACCGCTTCTCTATTTCCTGCTGGCCTTTTAGCTTTAGAATTCGAATGCTCTCTACTTTTTATGTCGTCATCTTCTTCAGAGGCAATGACTTGGGTGTGTGTGTGGTAACATGTATGCGAATGGATTGCATCCGGGCCAGGAGGGTTGCAAGTGTGAGTGTGAGTACATGTTCTTGTATTCTTCAAGAATTCATCAAGAAGCGAATCCACAGATGCAGAACACTGCAAACTACCAGCTGAATCGAGATTCGGTAACAACACATGATTCGAAAGCTCTACCTCCCCATCATCCATGTTATAATTTTTCATTTCATTCCTCAACACAACAAGTACTTTCAGCCAGACACCTCAAAAAGAGTATATCTGCAAGCCAAAATTTCTAACTTTTCATAGACCAATCACCTCTGCTACTCTAACAAAGAAATAATCCTGATTCAAAATCGAACAACTTAAGCTTATAATAAACTAAAAACACCATCTTCTAACACAAAAGTCTGGATTGCAATTTGCATGATTACTGCCCCACTTAATACCTCCAGAATATATGCAAAGGCACAGAGACCATACACACAACATAATATTATAGCTGTCCGCAACCTCAATTGTCATAATCAACAAAAAATACATCAACTAACCTGTGAAACCAACAAAAAGCTTTAAAATGTGAATTCAACCCAAAAAAAGAAAAAAGAAAGAAAGAAAGCTGCTTTCTTTGGCCCATTTAACGAAAACCCAGATGGAGAATCTTCACAAGAAAATAAAATAAAGCATAAAGAAAGATCTTGAAATTGAATTCTAGTCATTCAACAACAGAAGAGAATCCAACCAATCTTAAGCTTCAAGTGGATAAGTGACAATACATAAACAAGCATAACTTTACAGTGCAAGAATTTCAAGAAAAGCAAGAAAATGTGTTTGATAAAAATGGGAAGCAAAAAAATTTAGATATTTTGATTATAGTGAAAGAGAGATAGACAGTTATTACCTGATCTATGTCAAGATTCTGAGACCAACAAGAAGCATCTCTCTTGTTCTTTCCTATGCTTCCTATTTGTTTGTCATGTAAATTGGTCTAACCGCTAATAGTTTTTTCCACCTTGTGCCTCCTCATTGGTAGATTGCCAATTGCCTTCGTTATCTATTTTGGACACAAAGTGAGGTACCCAAAAAAAAAAAAAAACATATAAAAATAAAGAATAAAAAACAGGAAGATATGAAAATGGGTTTTAAGGAATTTGATTCAACAGAGATTTTTTTTCCAACTATTTTAAGGGTACACTGTAATATCTATTCAGTGTATTTAGAAATTTTTAATAAATTTTTTCAGATACTCATTATAAAATTTGAATTCAAAAACTATACTAAAAAAATGTTGAGAACCACCCAATTTTTGGGATTCATTTCAAAAAATGTTTATGAGTTGCATGTTATTATATTCACCAATCTCTTAAAATCGATTTTAAAAAATATCGAGAACCAGTCAATCTTTGGGGTTGACTTTAGAAAATATTTGAGTTACATAGTATATATATTAAGCAACTTGTGATTTTTTTTTTTTTGCACATGTCCCATCATTTTTCATGTTATTTTCAGATTTTGATGTGTCAGACAAAATATGATTAGGAATTTTTTTTTTTGTAAAAATACCGATTTGTGTGTAAATAATTATTTTAAAAATCAACTAAAAAATAACTTTCTCTTGATTTGAAAAAGTTGATAGAAAATAAAACATACATATCCTTAGTTCCAAAAAAAAAAAAAAAACATACATATCCTTATTTTATTTGAAAAGAAAAATTGCCAATCCAATAAATCTTCTCAACTTCTGAGGTTACCTCATTTGTGAATAAATTTTTCAATAAGTGAAAAGAAGCTTATCATAGTTTTTGGTGTTGATTTTTGAACTTATTTTGAACTATTCATTTAACTTTTATTTTCAACTAGAGGTAGCAGAGTACTTTTGTGTCTCATTTTATCAACAAAAGCATGAAAATGGCTACGATACAAAGATTCCCAAATGGCCCATTGGCTTAAAATATGTCATTCATAGACCTGTTGTCCACAGAGACATGTACAAGGGGAAATGGGCCTTTGGCCCACTAAGCATGAAAATGCTAAACATTTTCAATCTCAACCATTATGTGATATAGCTCACTAACATCAAAAGGACAGATTCATCCCTGGTGGTTTAATTCTAAAAATAAAAATAAAAAAAATTCCAATTTTTAATATGTTTTTAAATTATTTTTTCCATTCTAATTGACGAATTATATTATTCAATCCAAAATTGTCCTTTTGAATTATATAAGTAATAGTTTTTTTCTCTCCTGAAAGTGCTCAAAATATTGTAAGAAATCAAAATTTTCAAGATTACCCAATCATTAATTTTTTTAAAAAAATTATATTATTATACAGTTCAATGATAGTTTTAAAATAAAAAATATAATTATGTCAATTTGAATAATAATAATAAAAAAAACTTGATAGAAAGATATATCGTACATGATATAATAAACATAATTGAAAATATAAACATAAATTAAAAATTTGATAGATGATTTTATAAAGATAGATTAAACTATTTACCTTTGGTCTCTTTAAATTTTTTTAAATTAATAAATTTCATGTGTTAATGTGTGTGCAAGTTTGATGCTTGTAGGTAGCGGTGATCAATATGCATGGTGACGCAAAACAATTCTCTCCATATGGTAGGAAGCTTTCACTAAATAGAAGAGAATGGTACAAAAAGCAGCTCATACAATTACAACAGAAATATTCATCTAAGGAACGTGCGTTTTGCAAAGAAATGCCAAAAAACTCACACATAAATTAAAACAACCAAATTAATGAAATCATGAGTTACCCTCGTTACAACTTGAAAGAGTGAATTAATCAACAGGAAAGTACACAAAAGCTTAGCATCCTTCAAATGGCAAAGGAGGTGATTTATAGAACATGTTCAGGTGGTTGTGGTGGTATGTGATTAAATTAAATGGGGATTGGGAATTTTAGTAATGAGGAGGGGGTGGAGATGGTGATGGTTGTGGTGGTGACTTGTAATAGTATGGAGGAGGTGGTGACTCATAATAGTATGGAGGAGGAGGAAATGGAAGGGGAGATGGTGGTGATTTGTAGTAGTAGGGAGGTGGTGGTGATTGGGATAATGGAGGTGGTGAGTTGTAATAGTATGGAGGAGGAGATGGAGAGGGAACGAGGCAATGGTGGTGGTGACTAGTAGTAGTATGGAGGTGGTGGTGACTCGTAGTAGTATGGAGATGGTGGAGGAGGTGGCGGAGATTTACTATAATATGATCGATGGGCGTGGAGCTTTCAACGGCGGAGGTGATGACTGGTAATAATAATGTAGTCTGCAATGATACTTTGGTTGTGGTGGGGTGACATATAACAAAAAGGTGAATGTTTTACATATCTTGATGGAGGTGTCGACTTGTATATAATATGGTAGATACACCACATGTTTTGGTGGTGGTGGTAACTTGTAATAGTATTCAGGCATATGTTTCAATAGCTTTGGTAATGGTGGTGATGATTTATAAAAATAAGATGGATGCTTCACATATTTTGGTGCAGGTGGTGACTTGTAATAATAAGGCGGAAGAACCACATGGTTTGGTGGAGGTGGTGGTGACTTGTACTGGTATAGTACTGTAGGTTTTACATGCCTAGGAAGATGAGAGTTGTAATGGTGTGGAAGATGCTCAACATGTTTTGGCATTGATGGTAGCTTGTAAGATGGGTGTTTGTAGATGGTTTGAGGATGATAAGGAGGTGGTGGAGCGGAGACGTAGCTGTAAGGCTTGTAGGCAACCACACTAGTGGCTGTGAGGCAAAATGCCACCGCATAAACAAGCTGCATAGGTCAAGGCCGGCCTGGCCTTCCCCAGGTTCTCATTTCTAGCAATTGAAGGTTTGTACCCTGAAATTAGTTCTTAAAACTGTAGTTCTGTGACTTGGAAAAGCTGGTGCAACCATTTATACAGTGATCTCTCCTGTGCAGGTAGGTGCATTTGTACGTCAAGCACGAGTTAGTGGCATCCCAATCAGAACTGCTTAAGACAAGATAATTGTGTTGGCCATGATGAAGTCAAGAACCGTACAAAGTACAAGTACTTGTGTTTCCATCATGCCTGAAGTTTTTTTCCCGTAGATAAAAGGACAGAATTGTTACATTATTGTTCCAAAAACAAATTGCTTCAAATCTTTCACAGAAGAGTATAAATCACATTACCAAATAATTTAAAATTTTGACTTGAAATGATTCTTTAATATGATATCGAATTTCGATAACCTAATGATCATGAATATTTAAATTTTGCTATTCTTATTTTTTAAAAAAATTAATTAAGTATAAAATAGTATAAGTATGTACAAGATTTAAGCTCAAAATGTTTTTACTTAAAAAAATATGTTAGATAATAATATAAAATCATTCATAAAACCTCACATAATAATTTAATTTTTTTAATTGAAATACTTATTTGACAAAATCTATTTATAATGACTCTATCCATATTTCCTAAAGGTTGCTCACGGAAAATGGAAATAAGAAGAAATTGAGGTCTTCATTATAGTTTTATAGTCCATAACTTAACTAGCCATTAAATATCACATCAGCAGAAAAGAAAAACATTTAATTTAATTTTAATCTTAGTGACTTTATAATTTTTTTTAACAATTTTCTTGCTGGTTTTTAATATAAATTTATCTATTCTCATATATATATATAAACCTTAGCCACTGTGCGGATTTTTCTTCTTCTTCTTCTTCTTTATTTTCTCTGTGATAGGCTATTATTCGAAATAGAATAAACTATTTTTAACATATCACCTAGCAATTTAAAATTTTAATTTGGAATGATATTTTTAATTACACAATTATATATATATATATATATATATATATATATATATATATATATATATATATATATGTATATCTTTATCTCCACTTCTTCAACTAGCTACACTAAGTCAAGCCACATCTTCTATTAATCGGGGCATGCTTTTAGCTGGCCGTACGCAAGGGTAGAAATTCATGTACAAAATTTTGTTGGACATAACTGACTTGGTAATTTATCCAAATTAAAAAATAAAGTTTACTTGTCAAAAATTGGTTTGCATTGAAAGTGATTAGAGCAGGAATTGAACTCTTGAATGTTTCAATTCCCTATTCGGCTTATATATATTATATTTTTACTTATAACTATATATGACTTGTCCTATATTTCTTTAGAATATCCAGATTACCAAATCTGTCGTCTGTAGCAGCTGGCTAAATAAACTATAAAAATCACACGTTTATTTTAGTTATTTCCCACTTGATTTAATTATTGATATATATCTGTGTGTGTGGGGATCAAACATATTATGACACGACGCGTTTGATAAAATAACAAACACAAAGCTACGTAATTAATCCATCTTTGACCAAAATTGGTATATTAACAAATTATGCCAATGTTCTTGAAATTTGTCGTAAGTCCATTCTAATTATAGTTTTGCTTTGAAATTACACTGTTTTACCTGGTTTCTTACAAATGACTTCTTTGAAAAACAAATAGGTCAAGTGGTTATAAGATATTCCGAATTTTTTATTAATAGAAAAAATATCTTTAACTTTTTTCTTTCATCTGATTTGAGTTTTAATTTTTTTTTTTTTTTTTTTTTTTACAATTAAGTCTTTTTGATTCGTTGATCAATTTAAAATAATAACATGTGTTCTGAAAAATATACTCTCAAGCACGTAAATCATTAAAACAACATTATGTGTTTTGAAAGACTTAAAATATAAGACACATGTCCTTGTTTTAATGGTCAGTGGGACTAAATGACTTAATTGAGAATATAAAAAAAATTGGGATTTAAATAAAAAAAATAAGGATTTTTTTTTGCATTGACCAATTAGCCAAACGAATATGTAGCTGATGAGATTGGTTGATGTAATTTAAGGGAAAAAAATATAAAAGAATGTTGATTTTAACTGGATTAGAGGTACTAATAGGTAAGCCTTAGGTCAAAATACCAAAAGAATAATTACTAGGGACTTGCGAATTACGATTTTTCTGCTTCCCATAAATTGACACAGATATATACCTCCAAAAGGAGCATTTTTTATCCTAGGGTTTTGAATTGCCTAGCAAAGACAAAAGGTCACAGAGGGTCTTTGTAGCTTGTAATGGAAAAGACACATTAAACAATAAAATCAACTTAGAGCAAATAGACATGCATTCAATAATAAGACATTAATTTTCAAGCTTGGAAGAAGCAAATATATGTAATTCCGACAAGAAAACAAATGTAATGTGATATTTATCCTTTCAAATGCAATGACAGGGAGTAAATTGCATATGATACACAGAAATTATACAATGAGCAAAGCTCAGTACAAAAGAATTCACTATGGATCTACATTTTCGATCCTTATTATACAGAGAAATTTGTTTGAACCAAAAGTGGAAAGTTGTCCGCAAACGACAAAGAAATATAAGGAAATGTATATTATTGCATGTTGGTCCACTTCAAATTGACCCTAAACGAGCTTAATAGTGTTTTGGTGGTGGGGGTGATGCATAGATGTATGGAGGAGGTGGAGAGTGAGTTGGGGGTGGTGGAGATGTATAGTAGTATGGAGGGGGTGGGGATTTGACTGGAGGAGGGGGTGATGTGTAGTGGTATGGGGGAGGGGGGACTTCTTTGGAGGAGGAGGAGATGTGTAGTGGTATGGAGGTGGTGGAGATTTCATTGGTGGAGGAGGTGAGGTGTAGTGGTATGGTGGAGGGGGAGACTTCTTTGGAGGAGGTGGGGAGGTGTAGTGGTATGGAGGTGGTGGAGACTTCTTTGGAGGAGGTGGGGATGAGTAGTGGTATGGTGGTGGGGGAGATTTCTTAGGAGGAGGGGGAGATGAGTAGTGGTATGGAGGTGGTGGAGACTTCTTTGGAGGTGGTGGGGATGTGTAGTGGTATGGAGGTGGTGGAGACTTCTTTGGAGGTGGTGGGGATGTGTAGTGGTATGGAGGTGGTGGAGACTTCTTAGGAGGTGGTGGGGATGTGTAGTGGTATGGTGGAGGTGGAGACTTCTTTGGTGGAGGAGGGGATGAGTAGTGGTATGGTGGAGGTGGAGATTTCTTTGGTGGAGGAGGTGATGTGTAGTGGTATGGTGGAGGTGGAGACTTCTTAGGAGGTGGTGGGGATGTGTAGTGGTATGGTGGAGGTGGAGACTTCTTTGGAGGAGGAGGGGATGAGTAGTGGTATGGTGGAGGTGGAGACTTCTTTGGAGGAGGAGGGGATGAGTAGTGGTATGGTGGAGGTGGAGACTTCTTTGGTGGAGGAGGGGATGAGTAGTGGTATGGTGGTGGTGGAGATTTCTTAGGAGGTGGTGGGGATGTGTAGTGGTATGGTGGAGGTGGAGACTTCTTAGGAGGTGGTGGGGATGTGTAGTGGTATGGTGGAGGTGGAGACTTCTTTGGTGGAGGAGGGGATGAGTAGTGGTATGGAGGTGGTGGAGACTTCTTTGGTGGAGGAGGTGATGAGTAGTGGTATGGAGGTGGGGGAGATTTCTTTGGAGGAGGAGGTGATGTGTAGTGGTATGGTGGAGGGGGAGACTTCTTTGGAGGAGGAGGAGATGTGTAGTGGTATGGAGGTGGTGGAGACTTCTTAGGAGGAGGAGGTGATGTGTAGTGGTATGGAGGTGGTGGAGACTTCTTAGGAGGAGGAGGTGATGTGTAGTGGTATGGAGGTGGTGGAGACTTCTTAGGAGGAGGAGGTGATGTGTAGTGGTATGGAGGTGGTGGAGACTTCTTTGGAGGAGGAGGAGATGTGTAGTGGTATGGAGGTGGTGGAGACTTCTTTGGAGGAGGTGGGGATGTGTAGTGGTATGGTGGAGGGGGAGACTTCTTTGGAGGAGGTGGGGATGTGTAGTGGTATGGTGGAGGTGGAGACTTCTTTGGAGGAGGAGGGGATGAGTAGTGGTATGGAGGTGGTGGAGACTTCTTTGGAGGAGGAGGAGATGAGTAGTGATATGGAGGAGGTGGTGATGGAGATGGAGGTGGTGGAGATTTATAGTAATAAGGCTCATAAGCCACGGCACTGGTGGCTACAAGGCAAATTGCTATGGCATGTATCATTGGGGACAAATGTCCCAGCTTCCCCTGGTTTCCCATCTTTAGAACTCTTCCTTTTTGTGTTTGCATGGTTAGCATGGATGCCATCCCTTTATATACTGATCTCTTCAATCATTGTCGACACAGATATGCATTTTTTAATGATGATTACAGCCTGTATTAAACCATATAATTATTTTTCCAAATCTGACTGAGCTCCAACTCCTATATTCTTCATGTCTACTTGTTCTTGGTGCTTTCCCACTATTTCTTCTCAATCATGCGTATAATAAACCTTGAAATTGTCAACTTGAGCTAGAGTTGGTGAAGTACTGCCACAATATTCCATGTTAGAACTCTAAAACGCGTTTGTGGCCAAATTGGCTTAAATGTCTTAGCCATTTACAAAAATAATAGAGGTGATGAGGAGAAATGAATAAGAGAGAGAGAGCATAATTTGTAAGTCAAAGATTGCCATTTTTATTTTTCACTAAAAAATTGATGCCTTCTTATTTAGACCTAGCAAAGTTTTGCAAAATGGCTGAACGTTGTGCTGAAAGGGTTGTGTTGGCAGGTAGCAAGTTATAATATCTCAGTACCGTCGGTGAATAAAATAAATGGGCACAAGAAATTAAAATATAATTTAAAAAAGAATGTCAAACATTTGATAAGAGTTTGCCAACAACCTCTAATAAATTCAAGAAGATTAATCTTCCTTCCCTGGAAAATCTAATAAACTATTTTCTTTTTAACTTGTCATTATAAGTTTTGACATGAATTCGATAATTCAATATATAGTTATATCCACCTAGTAATGTGAAAATTGAGGTTTACCCTTAGTAAAAACCTTTTTATTTTCTTTTGTATGATATTAAATATGAATTGATAGTGGTTTTAAAAAATTTAGTTTTTAAAATTAAACGTTATCCAATGCTAACTTAATAAAAAAAATTATAAATACTTAAATATTGATTAATGTTAAAACCGATACGAACATATATATATTCTCTCTCTCTCTCTCTCTCTCTCTCTCTCTCTCTCTCTCTCTCTCTCTCTCTCTATATATATATATATATATATATATATATATATATATATCAGTTCTTCCAAATATTTATCTCTAATTCAAGAATTCAAGAGAGAGAGTACCATTAATGCTAGATCTAGAAAATAATGGGCAATGGGGTAGGAATGGGAGTAAGTTAATTATTTTCTAGCTTGTTTGATTGGTCAAATATATATATTCCCAGCCATAATTAAACTACCCTACAGGGAAAAAAAAATATTGAGTATTCTATATAAAATCAGTGTATTCTGTATCTGCAATGGAAAAATGAGAAGATTCATTTCTAAAAAATATGTATTATCATTACAACAAACTATTATTATTTGCGAAGGGGTGCAAGATCTGTACATGCATGTTATGGAAAATTAAGAAGGATCTTTTGGCCTTACTAATACATCTATTATCATCAATCAATCAAATAAATAAATAAATGAATGAAAAGGTTCTTTTCAATGCCAAATAAATAATCGTAAAAGAATCTAATCATTCTTGAATTTTAAATCATTTGAAGTTGAAGTTCTAAATTTCTTTTATTGGTTTTAGAGATCTAAGTGTTTTTAATTTTTTTGAAATTTAATCTATCCAATAATTTTCAACTATCATCTTAATTTTCTTCTAAATTTTCAATTTTAAGTATTTTGAGTTGAAATTTTGCATACACATTAAAACAAATTCAATCATTTGGTAGAAAAATTCAAAATTATATTTGTTTATTTTTTAACTATTAAAAATATAGAAAATCAAGAAAAAGAGAAATAACTACGAAATGATTCTAAATTTTTTTAGGAGTCTCACATAAATCTCACGGAATGATTTTTATTATAAAACTATTTATGTGATTGTTATTTTTGAGATAAATGATAGAAAATGAAGGATGAGTTAAATCTGAAAAAAATTAAAAATTCAACGATCTCCAAAACCAGTAAAATAATTCAGAGACTTAACCTCAAATGACTTAAAATTTAGAGATAGTTAGACCCTTTTAGTCAATAAATAAATAAAAACTATTGTCTATTTTGATTTCTAGTTGAAATGTCAAACAATTTGTTCAGAAATTCCACAGAATTCTACACAACAACTATACGTAGTAGTAGTCTCCTAATAAAATCAGGAAAATTGGACTTATGATTTATGAAGTACAACATTTCCAAATTAAAAAGATTGTCACTGATTAGGTTAAGTCTTCAACTAATTTCTCGGATTGATCCATTCCTCTAACATATTAAGGGACTTGGTCAGTTCATATATACGTAATGAACCAGAACGCTAAGCAGCCTATGATGTGTTTGTTAATTAGGAAGTCAAGAGTGATTTGTTCATACTCCATTTATAATGTCCGTACATATATATATATATATATATATATATATATATATATATATATTCTCTTCATTTACATAATTTTTTTTTTTAATTTTAACAAACACGACATGAATATTTTCATTTTTTTGAAAATGATTGCATCAGGTCAAAATGGTTTTAGTTTAAATAATAATAAACATAAATAATCGAAGGTCAAATTTTATTTTATTAAAAGAAATTGATATGACAGTTTAACGATTGTGCATCGATAATTTAGAAAAATAAAGATTGGAGTCCTAATAATTTTATTTTATATTGATTATTATTTAATGGAGGATGATTATTTCTATTTTGTAGCTAAAAACTCAAAGAATCTCTTGAGGAACCACAAAAAAAGAAAATAAAAAGAAAACTAATTTACAAGATTGGATCAAGTTTGCTTGTATAGAAATTTGTCACGCTAATGACAAATTCTTCCCGTAGATTAGTCAGTTAATTTTTTCAACTGTGTAGCCGAAAACTCAACGAACTTCTTTTATATATAAATACAAATCAAAATTGGTGATTTTCTTTTTCTTTTTCTTTTTATTTATTTTTTTGGTTGGTTGTAAAATACAAATCAAGGGACAAGGGTAATATACTTTTAATGCAATTATTATGTTTGACGAGGGGACATGATTGAGAACTCTTAGTTGTACGGAGGGAAAAAGAAAAAAGAGCACGACGACTGTTCAAAATTGGATGCTAGAATTTTTATATATTTTTGCTTTTCAAAGACAAAAAATCATTATCACCAAAAGAAAAAATAATTAAAACTGTGGAAAAAAGAGAGCTAAGGTTCACAATTCCATATCTGCTCCACTTTGTATTTCACATTAAAAACAAAATAATATTTAATATTATTTATCACAAGAATTATTTGGGAGATCAAAATGTTAAAAAGTATATAGTAGATAAGGAGGAAAAGAAAAATCAATTTCTCTGCTAAAGTAAAAAGATTTGAACTATTCCTGGCAACATCCCCATTTTCTTCTAGACTCGTGCTTAAGTCTCAATGTAAATGTATGTGAAGACCAAGAGAGGTACTGTTCAACTAAATTAGGCAAGATAGATTAATTAGCTATTTCTAAGATGTTGGTTTATGACTCATATAAAACCTAGATAATTACCTAAGCTTTTTTTTAAAAAAATATAACTCACACACCCAAAACTCCTAACAAAACTAGTCTATTAGAATTTGAATCCGTGATCTTTTATGAAAGATTACTACAATCTGGACTACAACCTTTTTAGTCGAACTAGTCTATTAGAATTTGAATCCGTGATCTTTTATGTAATAGTTTTATAGTGAAAATCATCTCGTTTTTTATACATAAAAATATCCTTGATATTTTTAAGGATATTTTTGTGCATTCAAATGGTTTAAGCCATGCTTGGTTCGCACCAAATATTGAAGCAAATACTGAATATAGTATTTTTTTTTTTTGCTGTCGAAAGTGGATATAAATTATGGTCCATTTATTTGTCTTCTTTTACCAAATATTGAAGCAAAACAATGAATTGTGAAACTTTGAGCCATAAACTTGAAATTTCATCTACTTTGCAGTGGTCTAACAATCTCTCTAGTAAAATCTTAACACATTCAATTTAATTCTTGTTCAACATCTTATCCTTTTCCTTTTCAATATAGTATTTTTTTCTGACCAGATTTTCTCCATCTCCCCCTTTTGATTTGATGTAAAAATGAGAGTTAAGCATAGACTCGAAGACAAAAGAGAGAAAGAAATCCCACATCGGAAAAGAAGAAATAATATAAGACCTTTATAAGCCTCAATTATTAGACCTGACCAGCTGAGCTCGGTAACGTGGGCTTATAACCCAAGTAGTAGCTTGGAAGTAATGGGACGTTGTCCAAGCCCAGAGAGTTGGGTTCAATCTGGCAACACACTGGCCCGCCCGTTCCAAGCCAGGAGTTGGGCCATGGCATCATTCCTAGTGTAGACTTGGGTGGCGTGGTTCTTAGAGTGGAGGGCACAGCGTCAGGCTGGTTTCACAGAGCACAGCGATCACCTCCCGCTCTTGGTGGTGGAAGGATAACGGGTCGCTGCCATCTGGATCCGTTTGTCTTAATGGGCTGGTCTAATTGGACTATTATTATTATTTTTTTAAAAAAAAAATTAATAAAATAAATACCAAGGTTAATTTTTTAAATTTTTCTAAAATTTTGAGCGAAAATCATTCATCAGTTCTTATATACCAAAACCTACATTTAAAATCATTCATCAGCTTGATTCTCCTCTCAAAATCTTTGCTTTTGCCGTTGTTGAAATGATTAAAAGATGGATTGGTGACGGCATAAAAAAAATAAACAAATGAAGATAAAAAGATGAAAAAAATATGAATCTTAGAAATGTTTGTGAAAGTATCCGAAATGTTTAATTTGTCATTCCAATTAATTTTTTTGGCCAAATAATTTTTTTGACTCGAAACAACCCTAATTAAAATGTAAAAAAAAAATCTAAAGATTTCAAACATAGAACATATGAGTCATTTGACTTTAAGTATTGTTGTTTTTCTTTTTCGCATTCGGGTCAAAAAATTGGACTCTTATTTTTTTTTTTTATCTTTCTTTTCTTTTTTTAAAAAAATTTAATAAAATTAGATACCAAAGTTAATTTTTTTAAATTTTCTAAAATTTTGAGTGAAGATCATTCATCGATTCTTATACACCAAAACCTACATTTAAAATCATTCATCGGTTAATTCTCCTTTTAGCATCTTTGCTTTTGTCGTTGCTTGAAATTATTAAAAGATGGATTGGCAAGGACATAAAAAAATAAAGATGAAAAGATGAAAAAATATATAAATCTTAGAAATGTTTGTGAAAGTATTTGAAATATTTAATTTGTCATTCCGAATATTTTTTTTGATTGAAATAACCCCGATTAAAATGTTAAAAAAAAAAAAAATCTAAAGACTTCAAACATACAACATAAAAGTCGTTTGACTTTAAGTATTGTTGTTTTTCTTTTCACATTCGAGTCAAAAAGTTTTTATAATCGAAAAATTTGATCTAAATGGCAAATTTATCATTTTAAAAAATTTTAAGAACATATGAGATGTAATTGAAAATGTAGAGACAAATGAGAGATTTTAAATATTATATAAGGATATATAGTTATTTACCTATTTATTAATAAATAAATTAAAACTAGATGTAGTTTCATTGTATCTAAGCTCTTTCTTAGGCTTTTTGTGATTTTTTTTATTCCTATTGTGTGATATTATCTCTATCTCGGGTCATTAAAGTTTTGTCGTATGCAATTTAATCTTTACATAGTTCTAAGTTTTCCTCATTTTTTTGTTTCGGTTTTTATATTTTATTTTTATTTAGATCCTTTAAAGTTTAAAATTATTCTTAGTTCTATCGTTGTATGTTAATTTTTCTTAACATAATTTATTGAATTATTGAAAATATACTCTTTGATTTGATTTTAATACATTATTAAAGTTAATTAGTAGTTGAAGTTGAACCTTAAATGTAAATGAATTACATTAGCATATAGTCCACCAACACACAAAAGGTTATTGCACAAGGTTTTAAAGAGTAAATGAATAGCACTAGTCCCTCTCATTTTGAGAAATAAATTAATTAGTCTTTCTCATTTCAAAAACTAATTATTTAGTTTCTATGTTTTAAAATCTACTTGTAATTTAGTCATTTTTAATTATTTTTTTCTAAGAAATATAAAAAGAAAAAAATATGAAAAGATTGATCTAAAAATAAGAGATTCTATAAAATAAAAATAATATTAAATTAAGAATGGTCAATATTAATTAAAAGATTAAATAATAATTTTTTTTAAAAAAATGACTAATTAATTTATTTCTTGAAACTAGAGAGACTAATTTATAATTTACCATGGTTTTGAAGAAATTTTTTTCTATTTTTTCCATATGAGAGAGAGAGGGGGAACCTAAAACATGATATATTTTTTTCGGAGGATAAAGGAGAAAAGAGAGTAAATTATAAATTATTCTCTCTAATTTTGAAAAATGAATGAATTATTTTTTTATTTTAAAAATTAATTAATTTTATATTTCAAAAATTTCTTGTAATTTATTTTTTTTATTTTTTTATTTAAAAAATAAAAATGGAAAAATATAAAAGGATTGATAAATTTTTTTTATACAATAAATCTCCATGCATCCGATTAATGCCCTCAAATCGCCATCATCCGGATAGATAATCGACCCGGACCTGGACTAAATAGACCTTGATCCAACTGATTTCACTTCCTCTTTGCCACTCAAAAAAGTCGCCAACGACGTTTTCCATGCCTCCCGTACCAGTGACGTCGAACGCCTCAAGTACTTGCTATAATCGGGCGTCAATGTCAATGCGTGGGACCAGTGGGATTCCGTTGCCTTGTACTACGCTTGCTTCGTCGGAAACGTGATGCCGCCCTCATGTTGCTGGAGAGTTGAGCTATTAGCTCTGAGCGCCTATTTGACGGCTACAGGTGTCGCTATGCCGCTTTGAATTTGAAGGTCAAGAAGTTATTGAAGGCTTTTGAGGCTAGGCCGCCGCCCTTGACACCGTTGCAAGCCGCCTTGAGAGACACTTTGTTTAGCTGCAAGGCGAATAGGGTTTATTTGGAAGAGAGTGAGGCGATTTATCATGTTTCAGGTTGGTGCATTATTTTCTTTTTGGATTATTTATTATTTATTTTTGGTAATTTTCGTTAAGACTGGTCTCTTTTTGTTTTGGATATGACTGTGTTTATTCCTTTTTTGGTGAATTTGTGAAGTAAAATACTGTATTCAAATGGTTTGAGCCATCTTTAGTTCGCATCGGGTTTGAGTCGAACCTTTATTATAAACTCCAGTCAGATTAGAATGCACTCATAAAAAAAAAAAATCCCATTCTTGAGTGATTCAAAACACGTCCTAAGCATATATCTTTCTATTTGATTTTGGATAAAACATTCTTTTGAGCATCGTTATGGTGCTCCACTGCATGCATGCGTCTTTAGTGGTGTTACTCTAGCAGATGTTCGGTGAGAATGAAAAGCTTTATCTTTATAGTTATATTGAGCTGCATTGTTTCTTGGGAGGATGCCTTGACCTCTTGTTTGTGCTTCATCAATCTTTTTTATTTGATTCTATCAGGAAAAGAAAAAATTTGGGCTGATCACAAGAGTCATTTTCTTTCATTGTATTATGTTTTCAACCAATCTTTGTATAAGCTGTTGCGACACTTAGTCACTGTTGTTTGGATCTATCTCATTTGAGATTTAATTATATTTATCCTGGTTTTCAACTTACAAGAACCCTCCTCATTGGATTAGGGCAGGTTATGCTAGATTTAGACAATGTAGAATGTTAACTTCAGTGGAGTTTTATGCATGATTAAATGGGTTAGAGAATTGAAAGTCAAAAAATGTTTGGATATTTCTGTGAGATTGGGAAATAAATTTCACAAATGATACAACGCTATAGAATCTGAATCAATTGGAAGAGATTTGGGCTGAGAAATGGAGAGGACTCTGGTTAAGAGCTCATGTTTGAGAAATGGGACTGGATATTTTGATCTTTCAGTTTGTGATGACTTTGTGTTGCGTGTAAAGGTTTATTGAAACCTAAATGACATGTTTTCTATAACCTCGACTAGTGTTTATCTCAAGTAGAGATCGAATGCCATGCAATCGAAGCAGTTGGGAACTAGCTATTAGAATTGAACGAAAAAAGTATAGTTCTGCCATAAAAGACAATACAATTCTCATTAGAAATGTAATATTGCGATTACATTATGGAAAAGAAATGATACAATAAATGCAGCATCATATAAAACAATTCATCAAGAATCTTTATTTTAGATCTTTATTACACAAAAGGAAGTTTGTTACAGCACACATTAAAACAATTTCGGAAATTTGTTCAGAAATGATATGTTATAGTTATTGGAGTTGCATTTCAAATTGATCCAATATGAGCTTAGTAGTGTTTTGGTGGGGGAGGTGATGAATAGACGTATGGAGGAGGTGGAGAGTGAGTTGGGGGTGGGGGAGATTTATAGTGGTATGGAGGGGGTGGGGATTTGACTGGAGGAGGGGGTGATGTGTAGTGATATGGTGGAGGGGGAGATTTCTCAGGAGGAGGAGGTGAGGCGTAATGGTATGGAGGAGGTGGAGATTTCTTTGGTGGAGGAGGAGATGTGTAGTGGTATGGTGGAGGGGGAGATTTCTTTGGAGGAGGAGGAGATGAGTAGTCGTATGGAGGTGGTGGAGAAGTGTAGTGATATGGTGGAGGGGGAGACTTCTTTGGAGGAGGTGGAGATGAGTAGTGGTATGGAGGTGGTGGAGACTTCCTAGGAGGAGGAGGTGATGTGTAGTGATATGGTGGTGGGGGAGACTTCTTTGGAGGAGAAGGAGATGAGTAGTGGTACGGTGGAGGGGGAGATTTCTGTGGAGGAGGAGGAGATGAGTAGTGGTAGGGAGGTGGTGGAGACTTCTTTGGAGGAGGAGGAGATGAGTAGTGGTATGGTGGAGGTGGAGACTTCTTTGGTGGAGGAGGTGAGGTGTAGTGGTATGGTGGAGGAGGAGACTTCTTTGGAGGGGGTGGAGATGTGTAGTGGTATGGAGGTGGGGGAGACTTCTTTGGAGGTGGTGGGGATGAGTAGTGGTATGGAGGTGGGGGAGACTTCTTTGGAGGGGGTGGAGATGTGTAGTGGTATGGTGCAGGGGGAGACTTCTTTGGTGGAGGAGGTGAGGTGTAGTGGTATGTTGGAGGTGGAGACTTCTTTGGGGGAGGTGGAGATGTGTAGTGGTATGGTGGAGGAGGAGACTTCTTTGGAGGGGGTGGAGATGTGTAGTGGTACGGAGGTGGAGGAGACTTCTTTGGAGGTGGTGGGGATGAGTAGTGGTACGGAGGTGGAGGAGACTTCTTTGGAGGTGGTGGGGATGAGTAGTGGTACGGAGGTGGAGGAGACTTCTTAGGAGGAGGTGGGGATGTGTAGTGATAGGGTGGAGGTGGGGACTTATTTGGAGGAGGAGGGGATGAGTAGTGGTACGGAGGTGGAGGAGACTTCTTTGGAGGTGGTGGGGATGAGTAGTGGTACGGAGGTGGACGAGACTTCTTAGGAGGAGGTGGGGATGTGTAGTGATAGGGTGGAGGTGGGGACTTATTTGGAGCAGGAGGGGATGAGTAGTGGTATGGTGGAGGTGGAGACTTCTTTGGAGGAGGTGGAGATGAGTAGTGGTATGGAGGTGGTGGAGACTCCTTTGGAGCAGGTGGTGATTTGTGATGGTGCGGTGGATGCACTAAATGCTTCGGTGGAGGTGGGGACTCGTGCTTGTGATGCGGGTATGTCGAAAAATGTTTACGGTGGTGAGGTGGTGGTGGAGAAGCATAGTTATAAGGCTTGTCAGCAACCACAATTGTGGCTACAATGCAAAATGCTATAGCATATATCATACGAGACATATGCCCCGGTTGGCCCATGTTTCCCATCCTTGGAACTATTCCTTTTGTGTTTGCATGGTGGCATCAACGCCAGCCCTTTAAATAGTGATCTCATAGTGATCTCTTCACTCACTAATTACAAAAAGTCAGAAAGATATGTCTCTTGACAGGCTGCATTAAACCTTTAAAATATGATCCAGATTTTGTCATACTGTGTCTGTAATACGTTTTTAATTTCTTATTCTCCATGTCTTTTGTCAACTCCTTAATGCATGGTTGTGCCCACTAAGGTAATCCAATAATCGGAGAATGCTCTTGTGATCGGAACATGCAAGAAGTTTCATGTCTGCTGAGAAAGATACCTGAAGTCAAAATTTGCCATTCTCAGTTTGGATTTAAAAAAAAAACCTCTTCTGATTAAATTAGACTTGGCAAATTCTTGGAAATTGCTGAAAATGCAGGATAAAAGGCGGCATGTAAGATAATATAACTGAATAGCAATATTAAACTCCAAAAGAAGTTTCAAATAACAAGTACTCGTAGCATTAATTGTCGGTGTTTTTTATATAAGCTTTTGTGAAGCTGTTCACTTAAGTTTTTCACCTTGTTCCTATTCCTTGCTAGCTATATCTTGGTGTTTTATTTTATTTTTAATTTTTCCACTTGATTTATTAAAAGAAAATATTATTGTCAGTTAACAGGCTGGAACAGGAAATTTTGACTGTCCAATATAATTTAAAACCGTATGTTGGTAGAAACTAAAGATTTATTCAAATGCATATGTGGGAAATAAAAATATACCAAAACACAATACTTTTTATTTTTTTGATTTAAAAACCCTGCTAATTGTACACATTAATTTATAATAGCTCTAGGAATTGAAGATATGTATATATATATATATATATAACTAATGTCAAACTCATTTAAGATATATGATATTTAATCAATAGAGTTCATATGATTTTCAAAAAAGCAATAAATTCTTCCAGCAAATATAAACAAGAAATCTTGCTTATTCGAAATTAAACTTATAGCACCTAGTGAAATCGGGAGTAAATTATAAATTAGTCTCTTTATTTTTGAAAAGCAAATTAATTAGTTTATTTTATTTTAAAAACTAATCATTGAATCTCTTGATCAGTATTGATCATGCATAATTTAATATCATTTTGTTTAACAAATATTATATTTTTTCATCTATCTTTTTATATTTTTTTTTAAATTTTTTTCTATTTCTTAAAACAAAAAATTAAAATAAATTGAAAAAAAAAACAAAAAGAATTAAGTTACAAGAAAATTTTAAAACATAAAGACTACATAATGAGTTTTTACAATAGGAACAACTAATCAATTCGTTTGTTTATTGAAATTAGAGGGACTAATAAATAATATACTCGTACATTTTCTTGTTTCTTTGTTTTTGGATGAAAATCCAAATTTTATTGATTCAGCTAGATTGATGATACCATTATCATCTAGCTAGGGTGTATTAATTAATTAAATGCTTGGATTAGTCAATACATTCCCCAGTTATTACCACCTATGGAGCACAAGAATTGATCATAACATCTGATGTAGGGTGCACAAATTGCATGTGTATGCTATTGAGAAATGAGATGTTTCATTTTCACTTAATCAGTTCGGTCTTTCGGTTAAAAAAAAAAAATGCTAGACTGATTCTATTTCTGAGTTGCAAAAACAGCACACACACACACACATATATATATATATACCCATCTGGTGTAAAAGATCTTTTTGTGTTTTAGCCTTTCTAGTGAAGGACTCGACCTTTGGAGCCTGGAGGTGCCACTGATTTCCAAACAGTAGAATAAATTTCGGAACTAAGGGGAAAACTACTACTGTAGCCGAAGTTATAAAATCATCGTTTCTATATAAATTACTTTTTCCGTAAAGAATCAGCCTTCGTATTTCTTTCGGAACAATGAGACATTGTGGTTAAAGGAAATAGGATTCAAAAACTGTCAGAATACGAATACAGTTAAGAAGACTTTAAAAGTGTCAACTTCTAGCTGTGACTGTTAGGAAACAAATAAAAAAAATAAAAATAATTATACAATACAAATATTTTATGTAATACAAATATTTTATGTGATTCAATTATGGTACCTATTCTACGATTGTACTAAGATTTTTTATTAGATTTTTTTAAGTGACGACTACAAATATAAGTGATGTTATTTCTATTTATAATGTGAATAATTAAGATTATTAAAAAAAAAAAACCTAACGGATCTATGCACCTGGTTCAATATTTTATAAATCTTTACAAGCCCCACCCCCGAGCTCTCACAAGAGACTACGCACTTTTGACTCTTGTTTGTTAACCGACTAGCAAGACTCGTCATATTGGATGTGTATAATGTCTTGCTAATTAACTAGCAAGACCATCCTTTATAATCAAAGTTTGAAATTGAAAAAAAAAATTTAAAAAAATGATAAATTAATATAGTAAATTTAAAATAATGAAAAAATGAGAAAAAAATATTTGAAATACATGTTTAATCTAAATAAGTATTTCAGAAAATTTATATATATTAATCATGCAGCTATGATTTAAAAATTATCTAAATCTATTTTTCAAAAGAAAAAATAATCATGCTCAAGAAATTTATTCCAAAATTCATATATATATATATATATATATATATATATATATATATATATATATATATATAAATCAAAATTGTCGAGTAAATATAATTTTAAATTAATTGGATGATAATTTAAAAAAATAAAAAATAAAAAAAGTAAATTTTAGGTAATAAAAATAATTAACAAAAAACTTTAAAACAAAATTGGACCAAATCACAATATAATTAAAATTTGAAATTGAAAAAAGAAAGAGAATTTTTTAAAAAAATGACAAATTGAAGTAGTAAATTTTAAATAATAAAAATAATTAACAAAAACACTAAAACAAAATGGAACCAAATCACAATACAATTAAAGTTTGAAATTGAAAAACAAATATAGAAAAATTGAGGACCAAAGTGTTACAAAAATACTATGAATAGTGAAAAAAATAATGATACGTGAGTGTGCGAATAGTATTTCAAATAGTAAATGAATAGTAAAACTATATTTTGCTTTAGTTTTATTTATAGTACTTTTATTTTAGTCCTTCAAACTTTAAAATTATTTACTTGTGCTCATTTTTATGGTCATATGCTAATTTTCCTTCAAATATTTTATCAAATTACTGAAAATAGGCACTTTGATTAAAATTTAATGCATTGTTAGAATAAATTAGTATGTCTATTTATTTAAATATTTTTTAGGTAAATATACCCATATGCCCTTATATAATTATCAAAATCTCTCATATGTCTTTAGATTTTTCAATTGTATCTCATCTGTCTTTAAAATTTTTTGAAATGTTTAATCTCAAATTTGTTTACAATAAAATTTTTTTGATCAAAATGTTTTTAACTAAAATACAAGGGAAAAAGCACTTAAAGTAGGATGACCTATGTGTTTTATTTTTGAAGTCTTTATAATTTTATTTTCATTTTTTTTTGCATTTTGATAAAAAAAAATTCATTTGACCAAAAAAAATTAATCAAAAGGACAGATTGAATATTTTAAATATTTTCAAGCACAAATAAGATACAATTAAAAATCTAAAAACATACGAAAGACTTTGAGAATTATATAATAATAAATGATTATATTTATTTATTTATTATCTTTCAAATTTGTGTAGTAATTAGAATGCCCTTACAAGTAAATTAGCAGAAATTTATTTCCTTCTTTGTTCCAAAAAATTAGAGTAATAGTTTACTCCAATATAAACAAAAAAATTATTGTGTTTATAAAAATCACAACGTCATTAGAAAACTTATGTTAAGGAATTATGGTTCTCCGGAGAAAAAGATAAAAGTTGGTTAGTAGTCTAAGCTGAAAACCTTAAATGCAAATCTATTACATTAATATATATTCCACCAACACACAAAAGGTTATTGCACAACGTTTTGAATCGAAGAAAGCTTCTTCTTCTCTCTCTCTCTGTTTTTTTTTTCTTCATGAGAGAGAGAGAGGAACCTAAAACATGATCTATATTTTTTTAGACAATGAAGGAGAAACCAGAGTAAATTATATATTAGTCTCCCTAATTTTAAAAAAATGAATTAATTATCTTTTTTTAAAAAAATTAATGAATTAATTTTATGTTTTAAAATTTTGTTTTAATTTAATCTTCTTCACCCTTTTTAATCTATCATTATTTTTTATTTCAAAAAATGAAAATTATAAAAGGATTGATAAAAAAAAATGAGTTTTTTTTTAATACAATAGAACACCATCCATCCGATTAATGCCCCCAGATCGCCCATCATCCGGATGGATAATCGACCCGGACCTGGACGAAATAGACCTTGACCTGTCTGATTTCACTTCCTCACCCACTCAAAAAAGTCCCCAACGACGACATTTTCCAAGCCTCCCGTACCGGTGACGTCGAACGCCTCAAGCACTTGCTATAATCGGGCGTCAATGTCAACGCGCGGGACCAGTGGGATTCCGTTGCCTTGTACTACGCCTGCCTCGTCGGACAACTTGATGCCGCCTGCATGTTGCTGGAGAGTGGAGCTATTTGTTCTGAGCGCACGTTTGACAGTGACAGGTGTCACAATGCCGCTTTGAATTTGAAGGTCAAGAAGTTATAGAAGGCTTTTAAGGCTAGGCTGCCGCCTTTGGCACCGTTGCAGGCCGCCTTGAGAGACGCTTTGTTTAGCTATGAGGCGAATAGGGTTTATTTGGAAGAGAGTGAGGCGATTTATCATGTTCCAGGTTGGTGCATTACTTTCTTTCTGGATTATTTATTCATTTATTTTTTGTAATTTTGATCAAGACTGGTCTCTTTTCGTTTTGGATATGACTGTATTTATTTATTTTTTTTTTGGTGAATTTGCGAAGTAAAATACTATATTCAAATGGTTTGAGCCATGTTTGGTTCGCACCAAATATTGAAGCAAATAGTATTTTTTTCTGTCGAAAGTGGATATAAATCATGGTCCATTTATTTGTCTTCTTTTACCAAATATTGAAGCAAAACGATGAATTGTGAAACTTCGAGCCATATACTTGACGTTTCATCTACTTTGCAGTGGTCTAACAATCTCTTCAGTAAAATCTTAACACAATCAATTTAATTCTTGTTTAACATCCTATCCTTTCCTTTTCTCAATATAGTATTTTTTTCTGACCAGAACTTCATCTCCCCTTTTGATTTGATGTAAAAATGAGAGTTAAGCATAAGAGAGAAAGAAATCCCACATCGGAAAAGAACAAATAATATATAACGTTTATAATCCTCATTTAATCAAACTGGCACAAGCTGAGCTCGGTAACGTGGGCTTATAACCCAAGTGGGAGCTTTGAAGTGATGGGACGTTGTCCATGCCTACTGAGATGGGTTCAGTGGCTGCCTACTGGCCCGCCCGCTCCAAGCCAGGGGTTGAGCCAGGGCATCCTAGTGAAGACTTGGGTGGCATGGTTCCTAGAGTGGAGGGCACAGCGTGAGGCTGGCTTCACAGAGCAGCGACCACCTCTCGCTCTTGGCAGTGGAAGGATAACGGGTCGGTGCCATCTGGATCCATTTAGCTTAATGGGCTGGTCTAATTGAACCATCATTTTTTTTTTTTACCTTTCTTTTGTTTTTGTTTTAATTAATTCTTATTAATGATGTCAATCTTAAATGTTATTTTATGTTTCAGTAACGATGGAACAACTATTTGACCAAAAGTAAATATTAGACACTCAATTGTTAAAATCAAATAAGTTCGGACACTATATTGTTAAACAGTGTTAAAATTTTACGTTTTGATAAACACTAGTTTTAAAATTTTGAGTGAAAATCATTCATTAGTTCTTGTACACCAAAAACTACATTTAAAATCATTTCACCACTTGATTCTCCTATCAGTATTTTTGCATTTTTGCTTTTGCTGTTGCTGAAATATTTATGGAAGTATTTAAAATGTTTAATTTTTTATTCCAACTAATTGAATCGGCCAAATAATTTGTTTTTACCAAAATAGCCTTGACTAAATTGGAAAAAAAAAAACCTAAAGATTTAAAAAATGAAACATGTAAGTCATCTAACTTTTAAGTGTTTTTGTTTTTTGCATTTTGGTAAAAAAGTTTTTATAATCAAAAAATTTGATTTGAAAGGCAAATTGAACATTTTAAAAAAAAATTTAAGAACATATGAGATGCAATTGAAAATCTAGAGACAAATAAGAAATTTTAAATATTAAATAAAGACAGATATATATATTTATCTTTTTGTTAATAAATAAATTAAAATTAAATGTAGTCTCATTGTATCTAAGCTCTTTTTAGGCTTTTTGTGATTTTTTTTTAATTCCTATTGTGTGATGTTGTGTGATATTATCTCTATTTTGGTCATTAGAGTTTTGTCGTATGTAATTTTATTCCTTACGTAGTGTAAAGTTTTCTTTGCTTTTTTGTTTCAGTTTTTATGTTTTACTTTTATTTCGATCCTTTAAAGTTTAAAATTATTCTTATTTCTATCGTTGTATGTTAATCTTTATTAAAATATATATATTGAATTATTGAAAATAAACTCTTTGATTTGATTTTAATACATTATTAAAGTTGGTTAGTAGTTCAAGTTGAACCTTAAATGTAAATGAATTACATTAGTCCCTCTCATTTTGAGAAATAAATTAATCAATCTCTCTCATTTCTAAAAATAATTATTTAGTTTTTTTGTTTTAAAATCTACTTATAATTTAATTATTTATAATTTATTTTTATTTTTTTAAGAAATATAAAAAGAACAAAAATGAAAAGATTGATTAGAAAACAAGAGATTTTATAAAATAAAATAATATTAAATTAAGTATGATCAATACTAATTAAAAATTAAATAATAATTTTTTTTAAAAAATGACTAATTAATTTATCTTTTGAAACTAGAGAGACTAATTTATAATCTACTCTCGCTTTGAAGAAAACTTTTTTTTTCTTTTTTCCATGAGAGAGAGGGCGGATCCTAAAACATGATATATATATATATAACCTTTTTTCAATCTATTTTTGTTTTTTATTTAAAAAATGAAAAATATAAGAGGACTGATAATTTATTTTTTATACAATAAAACCCCATCCATCCGATTAATGCCCTCAAATCGCCCATCATCCGGATGGATAATCGACCCGGACTTTGCCCGGTCTGATTCCACTTCCTCTCTGCCACTCAAAAAAGTCCCCAACGACGACATGTTCCAAGCCTCCCATGCCGGTGACGTCGAACGCCTCAAGTACTTGCTATAATCGAGCGTCAATGTCAACGCGTGGGACCAGTGGGATTCCACTGCCCTGTACTACGCTCGCTTCGTCGGAAACTTGAGCCGCTTTGGATTTGAAGGTCAAGAAGTTATTGAAGGCTTTTGAGGCTAGGCCGCCGCCCTTGACACCGTTGCAAGCTGCCTTGAGAGACACTTTGTTTAGCTGTGAGGCGAATAGGGTTTATTTGGAAGAGAGTGGGGGCGATTTATCATGTTTCAGGTTGGTGCATTATTTTCTTTTTGGATTATTTATTATTTATTTTTGGTAATTTTGGTCAAGACTGGTCTTCTTTCGTTTTGGATCTGACTTTATTTATTAATTTTTTGATGAATTTGTGAAATAAAATACTGTGTTCAAATGGTTTGAGCCATCCTTAGTTCGCATCGGGTTTGAGTCTGACCTTTATTATAAACTCCAGTTAGATTAGAATGCACTCATTAAAAAAAAAAAAAAAAAAACCCATTCTTGAGTGATTCAAAACACGTCCTAAGCATATATCTTTCTATTTGATTTTGGATAAAACATTCTTTTGAGCATCATTATGGTGCTCCACTGCATGCATGCGTCTTTAGTGGTGTTACTCTAGCAGATGTTTGGTGAGAATGAAAAGCTTTATCTTTATAGTTATATTGAGCTGCATTGTTTCTTGGGAGGATGCCTTGACCTCTTGTTTGTGCTTCATCAATCTTTTTTATTTGATTCTATCAGGAAAAGAAAAAATTTGGGCTGATCACAAGAGTCATTTTCTTTTATTTATTATGTTTTCAACCAATCTTTGTATAAGCTGTTGCGACACTTAGTCACTGTTGTTTGGATCTATCTCATTTGAGATTTAATTATATTTATCCTGGTTTTCAACTTACAAGAACCCTCCTCATTGGATTAGGGCAGGTTATGCTAGATTTTGACAAAGTAGAATGTTAACGTCAGTGGAGTTTTATGCATGAGTAAATGGGTTAGAGAATTGAAAGTCACAAAATGCTTGGATATTTCTGTGAGATTGGGAAATAAATTTCACAAATGATATAATGCTATAGAATCTGAATCAATCGGAAGAGATTTGGCCTGAGAAATGGAGAGGACTCTGGTTAAGAGCTCATGTTTGAGAAATGGGACTGGGTATTTTGATCATTCACTTTGTGATGACTTTGTGTTGCGTGTAAAGGTTTATTGAAACCTAAATGACATGTTTTCTGCAACCTCGACTAGTGTTTATCTCAAGTAGAGATCGAATGCCATGCAATCGAAGCAGTTGGGAACTAGCTATTAGAATTGAATGAAAAAAGTATAGTTCTGCCAAAAAAGACAATACAATTCTCATTAGAAATGTAATATTGCGATTACATCATGGCAAAGAAATGATACAATAAATGCAGCATCATATAAAACAATTCATCAAGAATCTTTATTTTAGATCTTTATTACACAAAAGGAAGTTTGTTACAGCACACATTAAAACAATTTCGGAAATTTGTTCAGAAATGATATGTTATAGTTATTGGAGTTGCATTTCAAATTGATCCAATACGAGCTTAGTAGTGTTTTGGTGGGGGAGGTGATGAATAGACGTATGGAGGAGGTGGAGAGTGAGTTGGGGGTGGGGGAGATTTATAGTGGTATGGAGGGGGTGGGGATTTGACTGGAGGAGGGGGTGATGTGTAGTGGTATGGAGGTGGTGGAGATGTGTAGTGATATGGTGGAGGGGGAGATTTCTCAGGAGGAGGAGGTGAGGTGTAATGGTATGGAGGAGGTGGAGATTTCTTTGGTGGAGGAGGAGATGTGTAGTGGTATGGTGGAGGGGGAGATTTCTTTGGAGGAGGAGGAGATGAGTTGTGGTATGGAGGTGGTGGAGACTTCGTTGGAGGAGGTGGAGATGTGTAGTGATATGGTGGAGGGGGAGATTTCTTTGGAGGAGGAGGAGATGAGTAGTGATATGGAGGTGGTGGAGACTTTGTTGGAGGAGGTGGAGATGTGTAGTGATATGGTGGAGGGGGAGACTTCTTTGGAGGAGGTGGAGATGAGTAGTGGTATGGAGGTGGTGGAGACTTCTTAGGAGGAGGAGGTGATGTGTAGTGATATGGTGGTGGGGGAGATTTCTTCGGAGGTGGAGGAGATGAGTAGTGGTATGGAGGTGGTGGAGATTTCATTGGAGGAGGTGGAGAAGTGTAGTGATATGGTGGAGGGGGAGACTTCTTTGGAGGCGGAGGAGATGAGTAGTGGTATGGAGGTGGTGGAGACTTCCTAGGAGGAGGAGGAGATGAGTAGTGGTATGGTGGTGGGGGAGACTTCTTTGGAGGAGGTGGAGATGTGTAGTGGTACGGTGGAGGGGGAGACTTCTTTGGAGGGGGAGGAGATGTGTAGTGGTAAGGAGGTGGTGGAGACTTCTTTGGAGGGGGTGGAGATGTGTAGTGGTATGGAGGTGGGGGAGACTTCTTTGGAGGGGGTGGAGACGTGTAGTGGTACGGTGGAGGGGGAGACTTCTTTGGAGGGGGTGGAGACGTGTAGTGGTACGGTGGAGGTGGAGACTTCTTTGGTGGAGGAGGTGAGGTGTAGTGGTACGGTGGAGGTGGAGATTTCTTGGGAGGAGGAGGAGATGAGTAGTGGTATGGAGGTGGAGGAGACTTCTTTGGGGGAGGTGGAGATGTGTAGTGGTATGGTGGAGGAGGAGACTTCTTTGGAGGGGGTGGAGATGAGTAGTGGTATGGAGGTGGTGGAGACTTCTTTGGTGGAGGTGGAGATGTGTAGTGGTATGGTGGAGGAGGAGATTTCTTAGGAGGAGGAGGTGATGTGTAGTGGTATGGTGGAGGAGGAGACTTCTTTGGAGGGGGTGGAGATGTGTAGTGGTATGGTGGAGGGGGAGATTTCTTTGGAGGAGGAGGAGATGAGTAGTGGTATGGAGGTGGTGGAGACTCGTTTGGAGGAGGTGGAGATGAGTAGTGGTATGGAGGTGGTGGAGACTCCTTTGGAGGAGGTGGTGACTTGTGATGGTGCGGTGGATGCAATAAATGCTTCGGTGGAGGTGGGGACTCATGCTTGTGATGCGGGTATGTCGAAAAATGTTTATGGTGGTGAGGTGGTGGCGGAGAAGCATAGCTATAAGGCTTGTCAGCAACCACACTTGTGGCTACAATGCAAAATGCTATAGCATATATCATACGAGACATATGCCCCGGTTGCCCCATGTTTCCCATCCTTAGAACTATTCCTTTTGTGTTTGCATGGTAGCATCAACGCCAGCCCTTTATATAGCGATCTCTTCACTCACTAATTACAAAAAGTCAGAAAGATATGTCTCTTGACAGGCTGCATTAAACCTTTAAAATATGATCCAGATTCTGTCATACTCTGTCTGTAGTACGTTTTTAATTTCTTATTCTCCATGTCTTTTGTCAACTCCTTAATGCATGGTTGTGCCCACTAAGGTAATCCAACCATCGGAGAATGCTCTTGGATCAGAACATGCAAGAAGTTTCAAGTCTGCTGAGAAAGATATCTGAAGTCAAAATTTGCCATTTTTAGTTTGGATTAAAAAAGAAATCTCTTCTGATTAAATTAGACTTGGCAAATTCTTGGAAATGGCTGAAAATGCAGGATAAAAGGCGGTATGTAAGATAATATAACTTAACAGCAACGTTAAACTCCAAAAGAAGTTTCAAATAACAAATACTCATGTCATTAATTGTCGGTGTATTTTATATAAGCTGTTCACTTAAAGTTTTTCACCTTGTTCCTATTCCTTGCTAGCTATATCTTGGTGTTTTATTTTATTTTTAATTTTTCCCACTTGATTTATTAAAAGAAAATATTATTGTCAGTTAACAGGCTGGAACAGGAAATTTTGACTGTCCAATATAATTTAAAACTATATGCTGGTAGAAACTAAAGATTTATTCAAATGCATTTGTGGGAAATAAAAATATACCAAAACACAATACTTTTTATTTTATTGATTTAAAAACGCTACTAATTGTACACATTAATTTATAATAGCTCTAAGAATTGAAGATGCATATATATATATATATATATATATATATATATATTAAAAAACTAATGTCAAACTCATTAAGATATATGATATTTAATCAATAGAGTTCATATAATTTTCAAAAAAGCAATAAATTCTTCCAGCAAATATAAACAAGAAATCTTGCTTATTCGAAATTAAACTTATAGCAGCCAGTGAAGTCGGGAGAAAATTATAAATTAGCCTCTTTATTTTTTAAAAGCAAATTAATTAGTCTATTTTATTTTAAAAGCTGATCATTGAATCTCTTGATCAGTATGGATCATGCATAATTTAATATTATTTTTTAAAAAAAATATTATATTTTTTCATCTATCTTTTCATATTTTTTTTTTATTTTTTTCTATTTCTTAAAACAAAAAATCAAAATAGATTGAAAAAAAGAAACGAAAAAAAATTAAGTTACAAGAAAATTTTAAAACATAAAGACTACATAATGAGTTTTTACAATAGGAAGAACTAATTAATTCGTTTATTGAAATTAGAGGGACTAATAAATAATATACTCGTACATTTTCTTGTTTCTTTGGTTTTGGATGAAAATCGAAATTTTATTGATTCAGCTAGATTGATGATACCCATGTGATGGTAAAATATCTTTTTGTGTTTAGCCTTTCTAGTGCGGCAAGCCAAGTGAAGGACTCGACCTATGGAGCAGTAGAATAAATTTCGTCTGACCATTCCGTCAATTAAAAAACAAGGAAATAAATATTCATGTGTTGCACCCCAGTTTTTGATGAAAAACAATATTAGATTAATAAAGAAAAAGCCACTTAATAATTGAGAAAATTACATAATTATTACAAACAAGTGAAATGCTCAGGAACTAAGGGAAAAACTACTACCATAGCCAAGTTATAAAATCATCGTTTCTATATAAATTACTTTTTTCGATAAAGAATCAGTCATTTTATTTCTTACGGAACAGTGTGGTTAAAGGAAATAGGATTCAAAAACTTTGTCAGAATATGAATACAGTTAAAAGGACTTTAAAAGTGTCAAATTCTAGCTATAATTGAAATAAATCAAGTAAAAAAATAAGAACAATCACACAATATAAATATTTTACGTAGCTCAAGCAATGGTGCCTATTCTAGGGTTGTATTACGATTTTTCATTAGGTTTTATCAAATGATGACTATAAATACAATTGTTATTGTTTCTATTTATAGTGTGAACAACTAAAATTACAAAAAAAATACCTAACAGACCTATAGATCTATCTCAATATTTTATAAACCTTTTGGAGGCTCAACCTCCAAGCCCCCGCAAGGAGCGCCGTTTCCTTGATCCTACTTGCTAATAGACTAATGAGACCATCACGCTGTATTTATATAACGTCTTATATTATAAACTCTCATTTATGTCAGTTTTACAACTTAGCAATAACTTCCTTCCACACCGGTTAAAATGTCATTCATTAATTGTATGAAATGTGTTGGATCTAAGACTAAAGAATTAGAGGGGGTGCGGATAATTTTTTTTGAGGGTAGTAGAGAATAACACTAATATAACTATATTCTACAAATGCTCTTAGCTGGATTTAGGAGAATGGGAACATGAGACCTTGACTGCTAAATAATGTTTTCAACTCCATTAGTGTTTTGGTTGAGACCTTGAAATTGGTCAGCTCTGTCCACGTTCTGGAGAAGCAAATGCAGTGGCGGATGAGCCGGCAAAATGTTCTCCACGTACTAAGGAAGCTTGGATAACAAGGACCTACGAAGGATAGGTATAATCCCAGTTAGTACCGGCCTTATGTAGGTCAAGAATCGATAACACTAAAAAAAGAAAAAGTAAAATAATGAGTTATGCATTATTTAAAATACTATTCATATAGATTCATTCGCACCATTCTTGTACTATTTTTTTTATTATGCAATGATATTTTTATAATTTTTAAATATTTTAAACATATTTATTATGAAAATTTTCGTAACATTACATTTTAGTTTTTTTTCAAACATTGTTTTTTTATTCCGTAAATATTTTTTATTTTATTTTGTTCTATCTTTTTTGTTTCATTTTGGTCTTTTTTTCCTCTCGTTTTCTTTAATTAAAAATTTTAAAGCAAAAAAAAAGTTTAGAAAAGAAATTTACAAAATAAGTTTTTAATTAAGAATCTATTAATTTTTACATTTTTTATACTATTATAAATTTTTTAGTTTTTGGATAGAGATAAATAAGTAATGTTTTGAAAATTTATGAAAAATATAAAGAATAATAAGTTAAATTTAAAATTTTGATTAAAAACTAAAAAATTAAATGAATTTTTATTCAATTTTGATTTAATATATTTTGGTATATGCACAATATAACATGAAACATCAAACTAAAATAATTTTATGTGTTTTGTCCGATTTACGAGTGGCGGACGCGGGACCAAATGTTCACGGGGGCCAAAATAAATGTTTATAGATTTGTCATGCTTTACACAAACTTATATATATTATAAATAATATACCAATATATATTTTAAAATAATCTCACAATACAAGCATTCAAAATAAATTACAAATATGAATATGCAATAATTTCTAAAGTATGATATACAACAAATTAAAAATTCACTTAAAATACAAATAAAATATTCAAATTTTCAAACAAAATACATAAATAAACCACTACCTAGGTTTACTCGGGAGCCACCCTCTAGCCTCACCGACATACGTACTTAAAAATATTAAAGATTATAATAACACTAGTCGTTCCACTAATAAGTTGAATAGATTTCAAAATAGTCACTTTAGTAATATAGAACCTATAAAATATAAACAATAAAAATCGTTATTATAAACAAATAAATAATTGAGAATCTAGTATATTAATCTAAATATGGTTGTAATTAAAATAATTAAAGATATTTTTTAATACCATTAATAAAAGAAGAACGATTATTTGCAAATTGTGATCCTGCATTCCTACTATTACAATTATTATTATTATTATTTTGTCTTTGAGAGTCCATAGCTACAAGCACAACAACGAGTCAACAACACAAAATTTCAAGATCAATATTACATTTTTAATTCAAGTTGATAGCTTATTAAAATTTTATTAAGCCATGGATTCAATATTTTAATAAATACCTTAATTACATAAAATTAAATTAGGAATACAATTGATCTAATATTTTAATTATAAAATATTATTTAAAAAAAATTGGTTAGTTGTCAAGATTCAATCAATATATAAAATGAAAAACTTAACAAATTACCGATTTTTTAAGAAAATACTTGTTGTGTTGTCGAATAAGAAAAATCTAAATTAAAGAAAATGTTTTCTTTTTAGTATTTTGAATAGAATAAGAGTTAAGAGAAAAAAAAATGAACAAAATTAATAGTAATGAGAAATAATTGAGATTAAATTAAATAAATATTAAAGATTTACTTGTGTCCACTCAAACAGCTAAAGATAAAGGTTAAAAAAACAATAAAAAGGAAGCGACAACAGAAGTTAGTGTTACTCTAGTATAGTATATCATAAAAGATAACGCGGGGGGAGGGGGGTGGAAGTTTGGAGGGCGGGGCGGCGGCCCGGGCCCCTGTAGGAATGTACGTGCGTCCACCCCTGTCGATCCGCAACTTAATGCGAGTGAAAAACTAATATTATCTAAGGTTCATCTATTAAATGCTTGGATCAGTCACATATGTTCCCACTTAGTGCCCTTATGTAGGGCAAGAATGGATAGCAACTGACCTAGTTGTTATTGAAAAATGAGAAGATTTATTTTCACTCAATGCAATGAGATATATATATATATATATCAATTTTAACAGCTACTATTTTCCTTGAATACACATAATTAAACTAGAGTTACTGTTGTTAATACCTGTTTACACCTAAAATAAACAATTTTACTCACGGATAATATTAAAAAAATGACTTTAATCATGGATCCATCATATATATATAAATTAAAAATATAAATATAAATTCTCTAACTAAAGTTTTAAAAAATTAAAAATTCAGAAACTGAATTTTAGATAGATTAAAGTTAAGAGGATGTTGGGCTACATTAGGCCCAAATTATATCATAGTTTGTTAGAGAATTCAGCTGCTGCAACAGTGGGCTTGTCAACTTCGTGGGCTCCTTCACTGCTTCGAGCAGCTACTCGCCAGTTTTAGTTTGGTTCAATTCCTAATTCCTAATTCCTGATTAATACATTTTGTTCTAAAAAATTATTTCTTCATTAAGATTAATATTTTCATCGAACTATATAACTTGAAAAAAGGTAATTCGATATTTAAGATTTCAATTTTGGGACAGAGTTAGTTCCTGTGTCCAATTTTCTTACCAATTATTTTTCATAAAAATATAATGACTAATTAATTATTTTAAAACTAGAGGGACTAATTTATAATTTACTCCTTCCGTTACAGAACACTTTTCAACCTTGTCCTCCTATGTCTTTTTCAGTTAGGGGGTCAAAGTGTGACTTGAGATCAACAAAAGAATAGTCAAAGTGTGAGTTGTCCCTTGTTCTTAAGATAATATATAAAATGCAAATTTTTAAACTAAAAATTTTTAATTATAATCAGTAGGATTATAACAGCTATCTACAAAATTTTATGTAATTATAATCTCATTTATTTTTTTTTCTAAAGCTTCAGTCTTTTTGTATTTTACAAAGTCATTAATTATAATTAGTCCTAATTATACGTGAACTAGTCCAAAAATATTTCAAATTATTTTCAATTCAAAAAATTGATTACATGTGATAAATACAACTCAACCAATTAACAAATTTGTAAATTTTTTTGAAAAGATAAGTAAAAACTTACATGTGTGATGAGATCATAAAAAAGATAAACTAGAGATACACTAAATTATCGACCTAGTGATACGTGAATTGATTTGTGAGCCAAATTTTTATTACTGTATAGGATTTGAATTTTGAAACCGCACTTGTTGAAGGTAATTGAATCTTATTGTTCTTGTCCTAAAGAGTATTGATTCTATTTCAAATGTAAGACGAAAATATATGGGTAAAAAAAAGAAAAAAAGAAAAAAGATAAACTAGAAGTAAGGACATGCAAATAATTGGCGAATCTACCTACCTACCATAAGATCAATCCCTTACCCTCTAGGGTTTTGACTTGCCTACCTCATTCATGGAAATGGAAAGTGGCTTACATATCCATATTTAGAAATGGCAAGCTAAGCATCTCATCATCTTGGAATGCAACAATTCAAAGAATTTCAACGCAGAATAGAAAGCAATATATGAATTTGATAAAGAAAAAGAAGGATATAATTCTCTTTGGAATTGTAATTCCTGCCATTACATTACATTACGATCGATACAACAAAATGATACAGTAAAAACTACAAGCATTTGATTCCACGATAGACCTTCATTCTAGATCCTTATTGCACATAAAAACTTGTTTCGTTGAAGATCATTGTCTTCTTTTTGGAAATTTGTTCGTAAACAATATATATAGATAAAAGAAAGTGCTTTATTGATACAAATACATTTCGAACTGATCCAAAAGAAGCTTAGTAGTATGGAGGAGGTGGAGAGTGAGTCGGGGGTGGTGGGGACTTGTAGTAGTAGGGAGGGGGAGGAGACATTTTTGGAGGAGGAGGTGATGTGTAGTGGTATGGAGGTGGTGGGGACTTCTTTGGAGGAGGAGGTGAAGAGTAGTGGTATGGGGGTGGTGGAGACTTCTTTGGAGGAGGTGGGGATGTGTAGTGATATGGTGGAGGGGGAGACTTCTTTGGAGGAGGAGGAGATGAGTAGTGGTATGGAGGTGGTGGAGACTTCTTCGGAGGAGGTGGGGATGTGTAGTGATATGGTGGAGGGGGAGACTTCTTTGGAGGAGGAGGAGATGAGTAGTGGTATGGTGGTGGTGGAGACTTCTTTGGAGGAGGTGGGGATGTGTAGTGATATGGTGGAGGGGGAGACTTCTTTGGAGGAGGAGGAGATGAGTAGTGGTAAGGAGGTGGTGGAGACTTCTTTGGAGGAGGTGGGGATGTGTAGTGATATGGTGGAGGGGGAGACTTCTTTGGAGGAGGAGGAGATGAGTAGTGGTATGGTGGTGGTGGAGACTTCTTTGGAGGTGGTGGAGATGAGTAGTGGTATGGGGGTGGAGGTGAGGGAGATGGTGGTGGTGGAGATTTCACTGGTGGAGGTGGTGATTTGTAGTAATAAGGCTCATTAGCAACCACACTGGTGGCTACCAAGCAGAATGCTAGAGCATAAATCATTTGAGACAAAAGTCCCGGCTGCCCACGTTTTCCCATCCTTACAAGTTACAAGGACTCTTGCTTTTGTGTTTGCATGGTATAGCATGGATGCTAGCCCTTTATATAGTGAGCTCCCCAATCACTATTAACACTATACTGATTCATGATTACAATCATAGCCTCGATTAAAGCATTATAAAATCATCCAAAAAATCCAACCACAATTATAAATTTCCTATTGTTTAATCTCTTTTGTCAACTTTCTATAATTGACGTGTCCCCACTTTCTCATCAATAACAAACTTTGAAAATTTCAGCGTGAGAGAGTTGGTGAGATGCTCTATTGCTGTTCTCGAACTGCAAAACACGTCCTTTGTAGTATGTACTTTCAAGTCAAATTTTTCGCAAATCAGATCACACTATAAAGTAGGTGTCTTGTACTTCATGCTTAGCAAATGGCTTGCGATCAACGTGCGGTAAAGGTTATGTGGAAGGTAGATCAAGCTCCAAGGTGATAAATTTGGATCCAGCAACTTCAGTGTCGGTGAAATTATATAATTGAGTATCAATCCGCACTTTATTTAACAATAGGGCAAGAAAATATTGCTTAGGAAACCTACAACTACTTGTGAGTGAGATGTTGCTTTATTAGAATTGTTTTCCTTATATTATATATAAGATGTTCCTTCCATTTGGATTTTGATCGAAACCTTTTATTTTTTTATTTTAATTAAATTTTTTATTTTTTTAGATTTCTTATAATTTCAGAATTTTTGTTATAATATCACTAATCAATAATCAATTCGTGAAATTATAAAATAAAAAATTTTAAAAAGATGTTGATCATTGATTGCCGACACTATAAAAAAGATTTGAAAAAAAATCAAAAAATAGAATATCTCAATTAAGTAAATAAAATAAAATAAAATAAAATATCTCAATTAAAAAAATCCAAAGAATACGAGGTTTAAATATGTGAAAAGCCTATTATATGTATAATCTTTTTCATTAAACGATAGATTAATGAAAATGAATTTTAAATCTGAACCGTAACCGTCTTTTTAAAAAATACTCCATATTGAATCACAAGTTCTTTGATACAAAAATATACAAAAACGAGACTCGATTCTGAAACATGATAATCCCTTTTGTTTTTATGAAAATACTATGTATTGAATTACAACTTCATTGATATAGAGACGTACAAGATTTTGCAATGAACTTGCTAATTATTAATCTCTACGAAAGTTCAAAGTTATAGAGACGGCATTATTGAGTTTTAATTGAGCAGAAAATTTTCTAATTCCGCGTGGAACAGACTATTTTAACTATTAATTAATTCCCACCTAATTTACTTGGATTATTCAAATATATATCCCTAGTCAATTCTCCAATGTAGGACCAGAAATTGAAAGGATTGTACTGTCTAGTATTCATTGCTTGCTTGTGTGGAAAAAAATGATGAAAGGACTCGTATCAACTCAATTTAATTAATGGTATTTCTCGTTAGCAACTATATATTATTATAATTCTAGTTTATTTTCATTCCACTTGAAATGTTAAATCATTTGTTTAACGTTTCTTCAGAATTCCAGGCAGCTACAGAAGTCTTTGATGAAACAGACAGATTTTTTAATTTATATACACCGTCTAGAGAAGGATTTAGCTCTTTTCGAGTTAGTAACAACATGATGTATTTGAAGAGATTTATGTATGGTGAATTTAACACACCGTTGGGCGTTGTATATTGATATATTTATAGGTTACAGAGTTCTTGTTTAAAAAGCAATAGTATATACAAAGATAAATACAAGGATAAATAGAGTTCTATCCTATTTATAATCCTTTTCTATGTCCAATTCTATCAGTATCATATTTGTGAAATTAATCTGAACAGTTATTTTGAAATCGCGTATGTTTTACTGAGTAATCGGATTTGTAATATGGATTTCTTTCTATCTGTTGGATGTCTGCAAGTATTATTGAGATTCTTCAATCTTGAATTGCATATTATGAACCATTAATATAAGTTAATGTAAATTGAGAAGATTTATTTCCACTCAATGCAATGATATATATCAATTTTAACAGCTACTATTTTCCTTGAATACACATAATTAAACCAGGGTTTACTGCCTAACACCTGTTTAAATCTAAAATAAACAATTTTACTTGCGGATAATATTAAAAAAAAAAAAATACTAAATTGTTTTACGGCAATATGTGATGGGTGTGTATAAATTTAATAATGGTAATACCACATTGATTGTGAAAGATCTACCTTACCATGATTTTAATTTTTTTTCCCCATCATTTAGTCACAAAAGATCTGCATTAGATTCACTTGGGTTCGTACAAAGATCTTCTCTATTTTAAATTTTTTCCCATGATTTAATAGCTAGAGATATGGCTGAGAAGTCACTTGAGTCCGCACATGAGTTTGCACGTATAAGAGTTTACATGTAAAGATAGACAGCAGTTTAATTAAAAAATCTAGACTAACAAATTATATATATATATATATATATAATGCTTCAAGAAATCCAAGGACTAATCAAGATAAACCAAATTATGGCTAAAAGAGTCAAACTTTCTTTGAATTTTAGTTCATTTGAAAATAAATTTTTTAACTTTCAATTTGTATTTTGACCTCTATATATATATATTTTAAGATTGAGTCCATCCTCTTATTTTTAGCTATCACTCATCTCTTTTAAAAAATTCAATTTCTGATATTTTGATCTAATGTTTTACACACACATTGAAAAAAAATTCAATACATTTTCTAAAAGAATTTCAGAATTTTTCAAGATCTGAAATCATATATTTTTTATTTTTATTTTTTAAATATTCAAAATTGAGAAAAATAAAAAATAATTCGGAATGATTTTAAGTTTTCAGATAAATCTTACTTGATGATTTTGATCACGAAATTATTCATGTAACTGCTTTTTTTAAAAATAAATTAAAAAAAAAAACCAAACGATGGATGAAATCTAAAAAAAATTAAAGTTTTAAAAAAATTCAAAAACTGAATTTTAGATAGATTAAAAGTTCGGAGGATGTTGGGCTATTTTAGCCTCAAATTATATTATAGTTTGTTAGAGAATTCAGCTGCTGCAACAGTGGGCTTTTCAACTTCGTGGGCTCCTTCTCGGATTCGAGCATCTACTAGCCAGGTTTAGTTTGATTCAATCCCTAATTCCTAATTATTACATTTTGTTCTAAAAATTTATTTCTTCATTATGTTTAATATTTTCATTGAACTATATAACTTGAAAAAAGGTAATTCGATATTTAAGGTTTAAATTTTGGGACAGAGTTAGTCCCTGTGTCCAATTTTCCTACCAATTAAGTTTCATAAAAATATAATGACTAATTAATTATTTTTAAAACTAAAAGACTATTTAATTTGTTTTGAAAAACTAGAGGGATTAATTTATAATTTACTGCTTCCGTTGCAGAACACTTTTCAACCTTATCCTTCTATGTCTATGTTAGTTTGCAGGTCAAAGTGTGACTTCAGATCAACAAAAGAATAGTCAAAGTATGAGTTGTCCCTTGTTCCTAAGATAATATATAAAATACAATTTTTTTAACTTCAGTCTACTTTTTAATTATAATCAGTAGGATTATAAAAACTATTTATAAAATTTTATGTAATTATAATCTCATTTATTTTATTTTTTTTTCTAAATTTTCACTCCTTTTTAATCTTACAAAGTCATTAATTATAATTAGTCTTAATTGATATTGGTGCTAGTTCGAAAATATTTTTAATTACTTTCAAATAAAAAAAATTGATTCCAATAATATAAGAGGTGATAAACACAATTCAACCAATTAAAAAAGCTTAAAATTTTCTAGAAAAAGATTATTAAAAACTTGCATGTCTAAGCTTCACACCGTCAGGACTCTTAGCACATTCAATCAGAAACAAAGGATCATTGGTTTGGAAGACATTACTCTCCCATATTCTCTACCTTCGGGAACACTCTATCTGCGTTGCTGGATCTGATAGTGTGAAGCTTTGGAAAGACAAATGGACAGCTGCTGATCTCTCATCTCCCGCTAGAGACTTGAAAATAACTTTTGAGCAAACCATTGCAAATTCATCAGTGTACAACTCTCTCCCTGCTCTTGTCCAACAGGAATTAGATCTTTTGTTTCTGGATAAGAATATAGAGGATAAGTTGTGCTTTATAGGTTCTAAAACCGGAACTTTCAGTACTAAAGATTATCATAATGCAACAAGGGTAGTTGCTCTTAGCTTTGCACGGTGGAGGAGTCTTTGGAATCAATGGATTCCACAGAAATTAGGTTTCTTTGTTTGGAAGCTATTGCGCAATGCAGTGGCAATGGATGAGAATATTAAGAAGTGTGGAATTCATTTGGTTTCGAAATATCATTGATGCTCTTCTCCGAATATAAAATCCATAAACCATCTTTTCCTGCACGGAGAGATAGCTCTGCACCTGTGGTAATTTTTTACAAGAATAATGGATGTCCACAAGGAGGTCAGGAACATGGATCACCTAGCCTCGGTCTAGTTTTACAAAAGTAAATTTTCTTCTTAAAAATCTTTTATAAAAATGATTATTTGTAATTATAGATTGTGGGAGTTGTGGTTAGCCTAGAACAAATCAGTATTTGAGGAAGAAAAAATGCGTTGGCTAAAAATCAAGTACAGAGTTCTTTTATGGCTGCATGAACTATTAGATATATTATGTCCGAAAAAAAAATTCTTCCTTCCATGACAATGTATGTCTAGGTGTCTTAGGTCTTTCTCCTGTGTTTCCTCATCCCATCAAAAGGTATTGGATTAGATGGCTGCTACCTCCCATGGGTAAGCTAAAGCTTAACATCGACAGGGCTTCAAGGAACAATCAATGCGGTGGTGGAGGCTTGAATAGGGATGCTAAAGACAATTTTATCATGGTATTTTCTTATTTTTTTGATCTAGGAACTAACTCCATAGGAGAGGCTTTAGCTTTGCCGGAGGGTCTAAAATTATGCAAAGAGTATAACATTTTATATGACATTGTGGAGGTTGGTTTGTCTTTGACTAGGGGTAGTATCTCCCAAACTGTTTCGAATCCTTGACATCTTACATATATTTTCAATAGTTTGGCTATTATTCATTCGGGTGTTTATATTCAGTATTGTTTTTGAGAAGGTAACATATCCGTGAATAGGCTTGCAGACTGGGCCTTTTAGCACAATTCCCATAAGAAATGATATGCCTTCTACATGTAGAGTGGCTATTTCGGATTATAGATTTGGTCTTTTTAATTTTCCTCAACAATGAGTTTCTTTGTGTATTGTAAGGTTCATTCCTTACTCATTTTGTTTCCGGGGTTTAGATTTTCTTACCCTCCCGGCATGTTAGGTTAGGTCGGATCTGTCTCATTTTTGTATTTTTTTATGTTTCATTTATCTAATTTCGGGATACCGCCCTTGGACTAAAAAAAAAATGAGGTCATAAAGAAGATAAACTAGAATTACTAAGTCGTTGGTCCGAGTTGTAAGTAAACCGGTCCGTAAACAAATTTTTTTACCAATATATAAGATTTGAATTTTGAAATCACACTTGTCGAAAGAAATTAAATTTTTTTGTTTTTGTTTTGAAGCGGACTAGTCCTATTTCTAATGTAGGACGCAGAGACATATGGATAAAAAAGAAAAAAAAAAGAAGATAAACTAGAAGTAATGACATGCAAATAATTGGCCGATCTACCTACCTACTAGAAGATCAATTCCTTACCCTATAGGGTTTTAACTTGCCTACCTCGTCCGTGGAAATGGAAAGTGGCTTACATATCCATATTTAGAAATGGCAAGCCAAGCATCTCATCACCTTGGAATGCAACAATTCAAGGAATTTTAATGCAAAATAGAAAGCAATATATGAATTTGATAAAGAGAAAGAAGGATATAATTCTCTTTGGAATTGTGATAGCTGCTATTACATTACATTACGATCGATACAACAAAATGATAAAGTAAAAACTACAGGCATTTGATTCCACGATGGACCTTCATTCTAGATCCTTATTGTACAGAAAACTTGTTTCGTTGAAGATCATTGTCTTCTTTTTGAAAATTTGTTCGTAAACGATATATATAGAGGAAAGTACTTTATTGGTACGTATACATTTCGAACTTATCCAAAAGAAGCTTAGTAGTATGGAGGAGGTGGAGAGTGAGCCGGGGGTGGTGGGGACTTATAGTAGTAGGGAGGGGGAGGAGGTGATGTGTAGTGGTATGGAGGTGGTGGGGACTTCTTTGGAGGAGGAGGTGAAGAGTAGTGGTATGGGGGTGGTGGGGACTTCTTTGGAGGAGGAGGAGATGAGTAGTGGTATGGAGGTGGTGGAGACTTCTTTGGAGGAGGTGGGGATGTGTAGTGATATGGTGGAGGGGGAGACTTTTTTGGAGGAGGAGGAGATGAGTAGTGGTATGGTGGTGGTGGAGACTTCTTTGGAGGAGGTGGGGATGTGTAGTGATATGGTGGAGGGGGAGACTTTTTGGAGGAGGAGGAGATGAGTAGTGGTATGGTGGTGGTGGAGACTTCTTTGGAGGAGGAGGAGATGAGTAGTGATATGGAGGAGGTGGTGATGGAGACGGAGGTGGTGGAGATTTATAGTAATAAGGCTCATTAGCAACCACAGTACTGGTGGCTACCAAGCAGAATGCTAAAGCATAAATCATTTGAGACAAAAGTCCCGGCTGCCCACGTTTTCCCATCCTTGCAAGTTACAAGTACTCTTGCTTTTGTGTTTGCATGGTATAGCATGGATGCTAGCCCTTTATATAGTGAGCTCCCCAATCACTATTAACAAATATAATGATTGATGATTACAATCATAGCCTCGATTAAGGCATTATAAAATCATCCAAAAAATCCAACCACAATTATAAATTTCCTATTGTTTAATCTCTTTTGTCAACTTTGTATAATTGATGTGTCCCCACTTTCTCATCAATAACAAACTTTGAAAATTTCAGCATGAGAGAGTTGGTGAGATGCTCTATTGCTGTTCTAGAACTGCAAAACACGTCCTTTGTAGTATGTACTTTCAAGTCAAAATTTTTGCAAATCAGATCACACTAGCTATAAAGTAGGTGTGTCTTGTACTTCATGCTTAGCAAATGGCTTACGATCAACATGCAGTAAGGGTTATTTGGAAGGTAGATGAAGCTCCAAGGTAATAAATTTGGATCCAGGAATTTCAGTGTCGGTGAAATTATATAAGAGTATCAATCCATACTTTATTTAAAAATATATAGGGCAAGAAAATATTGCTTAGGAAACCTACATCTACTTGTGAGTGAGATGTTGCTTTATTAGAATTGTTTTCCTCATATTATATATAAGATGTTCCTTACATTTGGATTTTGATCCAAAACTTCTATTTTTTTTATTTTAATTGAGATTTTTTATTTTTAAAGATTTTTTATAATTTCAGAATCTTTTTTATAATATCACTAATCAGTGATCAACTTATGGAATTATAAAATAAAAAATTTCAAAAATAGAATACTTCAATCAAGTAAAAACAATATCTCAATAAAAAAAAATCTAAAGAATTCGAGGTTTAAATATGTGAAAAACCCATTATATATATACATATATATATATAATTTTTTCATTGAACGATAGATTAATGAAAGTGAGATTTAAATATGAAACGCAATCGTCTCTTTTGCTTTTATAAAAGTACTATGTACGTATTGAATTACAAATTCATTGATATAAAAATATACAAAAATGAGACTCGAATCTTAAACCTGATAATCCCTTTTGTTTTTATAAAAATACTATGTATTGAATTACAACTTCATTGATACAAAGACGCACAAGGTTTTGCAATGAACTTGCTAATTATTAATCTCTACGAAAGTTCAAAGTTATGGAGATGGGATTATTGAGGTTTAATTGAGCAGAAAATTTTCTAATTCTGCGTGGAATAGACTATTTAACTATTAATTAATTCCCACCTAATTTACTTGGATTATTCAAATATACATCCCCAGTTAAACCTCCATTGTAGGACCAGAAATTGAAAGGATTGTACCATCTGGTGTTCATTGTTTGCGTGTGTGGAAAAAAATGACGAAAGGACTCGTATCAACTCAATGTAATTAATGGTATTTCTCATTACCAACTACATATTATTATAATTCAAGTATTAGCGGAATTCTTCAATCTTGAATTGCACATTTTGATCCATTCAACATATTATGAACCCCACTAATATACGTTTAATGCGAATTGTTTGACAAAAGAACAGTTATAGAGACAGCAGAGAGAAAATAAGGATAATAAGAACAAAGACTCTTGAGAATTCGATGCCTAACTCTTCACCAAATTATTTGGATCTCTTCTTTCAAAGACAAGATCTTTGTCAAAATAACTACTTTACTTACCCATTTAGTCAAGTGGTGATCCAATCCATACAGCAGCTTCTGGAGAGTCAATAACAAATGTGAAACCATCAGCCGATACTTTTCTAGAATTGGCTTGCAAACCATGGTTACGCTCATAGTTTTAAATGGCAAATGAGATTGTAAAAATAATCACGATCATGGTCACAAATTACGATAATGATTGCAACAATTAGTGTCGTAAATGCATTGATTTGCAAACAATGGTTGCACTAAGAAGCTAGGAGCTCTCGTTCCAAATCTGTATAAGGTTACAAAAAAATGTACCGTCGACACATGAATGACCAACTTAAAACCCAAGTCTTACTACGAAAAAACTGTCAACTTTTAACTAAAATATATATATATATATATATATGGTTGGGAATTCACATTTAAAGGATGTAAATAAATTATGCATCTTACAAAATTACATGGAAAACGATCAAAAACTTTCAAATAACTAGATAACAAAGGGAAGAAAAAGGATCGATCCTTTGAAAAAAAAACAGAGAGAATAGATTTGGAGCAATCTCCTGGGGACCCCAGTTATGACCAAACCATCTGAACTAGAGATTATTTGTAAGCGTAAATAAATTATCTTTGAAGGTTATGGCATCTAGATTGCTTTGAACTATATTTACAGCATGAAAGCTCGATCAAATCTTAAAAAAAAAAAAAAAATTCCACAGAATTTCATGCCAACTCACAGATGAGTAATACCTCACGATACAAGTTTTTCATCGATGTTCACCTCAGAGCGAGCATATGCCATAATGCCATACACCAACAGGCATACTCTAATGAAGACCTAATATAGATATAAGCAACCCAGATAATCAAGAAACAAATCAATGGACATTCATTTGTTTGGAAGTCAACAGTCAAATATCGTTGGTTATGTTGGTGTAGTATGAGATTGGATTGATCATAAAAACTCATAAAATCCCCAGCATCTGGACTCAAAAACTTCATTTTTGTGTAAAGTTTGTAATCTGATTTATTACAAAACTAATATCATTCCTTTCTACATAAGAAAATGAAAATTTGATACAGACAACTGTGTGAGCAAGAAAAATACCCAAACTCGAGAAACATGGAAAAATGAAAAAGTTTTCTTCTTTATGTCCATCAGTCATTATACCTTAATGCTTTGATGCATCGCCAAAAACCTCTGTATAGCATATGGGGCAAGCCTATAGGTAGATAGATGGTCATCAGGTTTTGAAGAATTGAAAAATAGACCACAACTCATGCTATTCTCAAATTTTTCGTAAAAACGTCACCAGCTTACCTTGTTGATGCTAAGCCATCTGCTCCCACAACCAGCATGGTAGATATGTTTGCATGGTAGAGTGATCTGGCGATCACCTCGCGTATATTCCATCTGGCAAATCACACACCTATATCCAACGAGAAAAATGCTTAGACTGTAGTCTGGATGGCAAACCAGTGGATGATATAAAGGTACCGAGTTGGTGAAAATTATGTCAAAATTCTCACTGCATTCACGTAATTGAAAAATACAACCAACAAAAACAAGGAATCACTGTTTAAACTGCTTCTGCATCTGGGTCACCAATTAATTAATCAATCTGAATAATTTTATAGATTCAGCAACATAACAGCCAATCTGTGCTAATGAAACGGAACAAAACAGAGGCAGAGAACATAAACACTTTATTGATTGACAACAATTCGCTCAGAATCCAGGGACGGCAGACATGAAAGTTGTAAGAAAAATAGACAACCAAACTACTACATGCCATGAAAAGAAATGTTTATCCATCTATAACAAATGTAAGCCCATATAGTACCTCTCGCTTCTTGATTTCCTCCTTGAGAAGAAACTGCGCTTGTATTTTGAGATTGGAAGCAAAGAAATAAGCTCTTGGGAAAGACCTCGATTTTGAGTTCCAACTGTCTCACCTAATTCAAGTAATTCCTGAATGGGAAAGATTTGATTAATAATTTTGCACAAATATATGCAAGTAGAGTGTTGTCGACCAGACACAAATGTCCAGAAGAGCAGAATGTTCCAATTACCAAGATTTTCTATGAGTTGGAGGTTTGTAAAGTTTGATAATTCTGAAGAAAAGGAAATTTAACACAAGCATGAGAGTGTGGTAGGAGGCGGATCTCTATTTCATCTCAACAAGACAAAAATCAGATTTTCTAGCAGCTAATGAGGTCCTGATATTAGCTTGGAGTCTTCAACCAAGAAGGCTCAAGGGTTAATGACAAGATCAGCTTATGATGATCGTAGTATATTTGATGTGAGTACCCTATAATATAGGACTCGGCAATCTACAATTAGGCTTCAGCTCAACTCGAGGATAGCACACACAGGAGCTATATTCAACCACAAAATTTGAATAAGGATACAATTTGAACACCAGTGATGAGATTTATCAACCTAAAAATTATCTAAGAATTGAACCACTAATTTGTGTTCATAAATTTTCTATGCTGCAAATGGATAGTATTTCATCACGCCTACAAATGCAGATTTCATTCATATATGCCTATCAAAAGAAAAATGATCTAGGAAATTAAGCCTCCCTCAAAAAGATGTTAAAGTGACAACCTCAGAACATGCTATAACAAATATCATCCGCACGGAAATAAACAGGATACAAGGAAAACTCTGACAAGACTAATAACGTATCCGATTGAGATATACACTCATACTATAAAGAAAGCCTCAGAATCTGCTTTAAGAGGTTAGCATTTCTGTGTGGTCCTTCCTAAAAGGGCTTAAAATGAGTTTTGTGAACTGTTGAATCTCAAAGCTTTCCAATGCACAAGGTCTGGAAACTCCTAAATCTGGGAGTGGACCTTTTATATTCTGAATGCCTTTTGGCGAGTAAAGCATTACAAAAATATGGAAAATTTATGAAAACTACATAAGAAAATAAATTGAAATTTATGCTCTAACCTCATAAGTCATACTGTCAGGATCAACATTGTCTTGCCATATAGCCTGCATAGGCCACAGATGATACAATATAGTTATTTAAAAGGGTACAACTATACAAGGTATTCTAAGGGATGGGAAAAAAAGAAGCAAATAAAGTATATTAACAGCATTTATATCTTATATAAACCAAGGTAGTCTCCAAAAGCCTCTTTGAGCATGACTGCATATTGATATGAATTAGGCTATACTAGTAAGAGACATTTTTGGCAGAAGCATTAGATGTTGGAGTATGGCTTCCTATTTTTACATGATTTCTCTAAACATGGTCTTTTGCTGAGGACTACATATTTCTGTATGAAATTATAAATAAATGAGAGAAATTAGTGAAATTTAAAGGATTACATATGGAGTCTCTCTTTCTTATTTCTCTATTTCCTTCTCAATCTAGTGATTTTTCTCTTTTGGATTATCCTATAATTTAGAACTCTGTATTACTGTCATTTGAGTGTTTTTTTTTTTTTTTTCCATTTTAAGAAGTACTGTATCCTAGTTAATAAAATTTGTTACATTCCTGAAAATTAAAGAGCATAGATGCTCCCAGTAAATAGCCTGTGCAGCCACCTATGACAAGAATAGGTGTATGTACATGTTAGAGAGAGAGAGAGAGAGAGAGAGAGAGAGAGAGGAAATAATATAGCTGTTGCATCAGGTATAACATGTTGAATAACAGGACATTAAGAAGTTACCGCACCTGATAATCATGACCATTATGATGCCTGCGCAGACCTGAACAAAAGAGCATAACAGAGCTGAGAAAAGGCTGCCCTAGTGCCAAATGAATGCAAAAGGAAGACATCACAATGTGCAAAAGGTATGAATCAACTCAAGCCAACAGAACATTAATCCCAAGTTTAACTAAACTGAAAAGTTAAATCTCAGAACAAAAAGATCCATGTATAATTTGCAATGTAATTCATTTATGAAAAGTAACTATATTGCATCTAAGTGCTCAACCCAACTTGCAAAAAGATGGGATTTTGGTAAATGGTCAATGACAATAACAACAGTAGAGGAGTCCAAGAGCATAGTATATGGGTCTTCAACAGCCTTCCCATTTCACTATAAAAAAACAATCAGGAAGAAACAATCAATTTAGCAAATAATAGATTCTTTCCTTCCTTGCTCCGTTTTCCCTCTTCATGAATTACATTTAACCACACAGTGATATCACATAGCTAATAATAGAGGCAAACAAAATATTAATTAGACTACTTGTTGGCATCGTACTACCAATATAGAACTCAGAACTTACATTCCACAGGGTCATCATGAGAAATCCTGTTTTCATTTGCTTCCCATTCTGTATTTACTCTGGAAGCCTGTTCATTAGTAATGGTAGAAGAATTCTCCAAGGGCCTTTGATATTCTTCATTTCGTAGCTCATGATCATGGATCTCATAAACATGAGCAGGGTCAATATATGAAGTGCTCCCAGGTGGGGATAACACGAACTTGTAGAAATTTGCATTCATCGAGGGGTACACGCTATCCTACAAATGCAAGAAGGAAATGTTCATTTGTACAAGAACAAAACCACAACTTACTAGTTGCTCCATTATCTATATATGTGAAAATGAAATACACATAACAGAACCAGGAAAAGAACCTGTTTCTGTTTGGCAATGAATTTGCATTTTTATGGATCTAAATATTGTGGAAAGCATATATATTATTCTAACGGGATATTTACCAGATATGCAAATAAAAGGTACCTGGACATGGGAACCTCCATTGAAAATGAAATTCACATGGTCATACGTGAGACCTTCGAAATATTCAATAAAACTTCCAGCCGAATTATACGGGTAGCTAGCGTTCATGTAATGACCCTCCATGTGCGTATTCCAATTCATTTCAAACCGCTAATCTGTCACACAAATAAGCTATAACATGAACACGAGCCCACAACATCTGAACAGAATTTGGTTTAGCCAAAAAAGCAGGTAGAAAGTAGAAACCAACCTGCTCTTCTAAAATTGACACTTGGAGTCTTCCTCTCAAAACCAAAACTTTTGCATCTATAAACTATCCCTAATCACTTTCTAATCATCTCAGAACTCCTGCAAATAAATCAACAAATTAGCATAAAAGTTGATGGGTACAGGATAAAACAAACTAATGAAACCAGTAATGCTTGCATATTCAAAACACATAAAAGAAAAAAAGAACCCAACTTGTTGAAAATTGCTTCAAATAAAGCCAAGATTAACCGAGAAACATTGAAAGATAAGAGAAATACAACCAAAATAGCTCAAATAAGCCATAACTTGTCCTTTCTACCAAAAGAGCCAAGAACCCATTTCCACTAAGCATCTAAATCAGATGCTAGTGATCTCTAATTACCTATATCAACTAAAAAGGAACAAGTTTTTATACATTTCCTGCAAATCATGAAACTTTCTACCACTCTTTACTACAGCAAGATTTTGATCTCTAAAATAACTGTTATATTAAGTGCCTTCTTGATCTCGAAAACAGAAAGAGCCCACATTGTAAAAATAAACCAAAAATCAAGAATTCAACTTATACCTGATCAACCAAGAAAAACGTGGGAGGAAAATGAGAGAAAAATGCGAAACAAGTGGATCAGGGAAAGAAGACAAGAATATATACCTCTATATATTATAAGCAATAAAGAAAGAGAATGAGAATCTGATACTTACTAGCAGTAAAAAAGAAAGGAAAGAAGAAAGAACCGACAGACATTGACTGGTGATGCCTTTAGGAGAAGAAGAGGAGGAGGAGAAGAGAAAGTCCAGAGCGAAACACACTCCCTTTCTTTTGCCCCTCTCTCTCTTTCTTTCTTATTATTCTCTGTCCTCAGAGCAAGTGTGAATGAACGTGGGCTGCGTGCCTGTCGTGGCTCCTTTATTGCAGCATTACCCTTTTCTTACTGAGTTACTGAGTTACTGTATAGCCATTAACGTTTGCTTACCTTGCTCGTCATCTCTCTTTGTTTAACCCTCAAAATCTTACTACCTTAATAATTTTATGGAAGTTAACAATTTTTTATGTCAATCCCTTCTTACGTTCCTTGTCTTTTTAAAGACATGAAACAGGGTAGAAGAACAGTTTTAATCTTTTTAACCTTAATCTAAAGATAAGTAAATAACCCAAGGAGTGGGTTAGTTTTCGTGCATCAAAATATCCTTTATATTCAAGAAGATTTCTATATGAGCCAATGCTTAAAAGATATACAGGTTAGGTTAATTGTTTTTTTTTCTTTTTTAGTTTCATGTTATTATCTTTTGAAACATCACCGTGAATGCATGGAATGTGTCACTGGTGAGATTTCGTTATAATAATGATAGGATGGTAACAAAATAAATTGAGGAGTAAATAAATTCAATCAATACCAAAAAAAAAAAAAAAACAGTCTTAAACAAAATAATTTAAAAAATACATAGAACATGTATAGGCAAAACTCAATCATATATAGACAGAACTCACGTAAAATTCATCTTACATAGTTGAAACTTCAAGTGACTATAACAAACTTCCCAATCCTTTAAAGCATGATGCATCTAATTAAATTGTTTTACCATAGCTATGTCCCGTTTTCCCCTCTTTTGGAATCGCTTGATTCGTAAGAGAAAAAATGTCATCTCCCGTAGGTTTATCCAATACTATTAGAAAAATGACCACAAATTATAGCATAGCATTGATAAATTTTGGTATGTTTTTAACTGTTATAAAATTAATTTATATATTAGAATTGACGAAATTTTAACAGAAAGAACTAATTGTAAATGAAAAATAATTCAAAAAAGGTATAATCTGAAATTAAAAATTGAAAAATTGATTATCAGAGTTTATAAGAAGTTTTGAATCATTTAGCCTAATATTAATACAGTAAATATGTTAAATAACCTAAAATTCTTCTTCCTCTTCTTTATTTATTTATTTATTTATTTTACTCTGAATCCTAACTAAATTTTTTTACCACTTGACAGGAATTGCCACAGTTGTAATGAAAATCACATGATTTTTTGGGGTGGCAGTGAGTGGTTGGCTAGGGTTTTAGAAAATGGACCCCATGTGATATATATGGTTAAAGGAAGCTCACCAAACCATACGATTCTCTCAAGGAGAAGTTGGTGTCAGTTAAGGTTGGTTGGTTAAGAATCTATCTCCAAAACACACATTCATTAAAGATAAAGTTGTTTGCCTTAGCTGGAAATATATCCATCTTCTGCTGAACAAAATCATGTATTGGGGGCCATTAGGGTTTAAAGCTTTCTCATGGTAGGGCATCTAAAACAATAAACTTTAATACAAATGAGGGGAAAAAATTATATTTTTAAGTATTTTTTTAACATCCATGTCCTATATAAAGTGTACAGTTTTCATAATTTATTGTGGGGATGAATTTTTTTAGCAAATGCATGACATGGAAAGGATCAAAATCATGAAGAAAGTTTTGGAATTTCCTCAATCGGGACCCCACAAAAGAATTCCCATGTGCTTGAGAGAACCCATCTATGCTTGTTGATTAAGGCTCATGAGGAAATCAAATTATTCCAGAAAGTGCAGAGAAGTTCTTACAACAAGTATGGATGGATGGATTGAGTAGTTAGGTCCACCACAAAATGGGGCAAACTTGGATGTAATTTTTACTAGCACCTTCCTGTCTCTTCCCTATCTTGTTCATCCACCTAAACGTATGATTTTTCTATCAACAAATGTTGGTAGGTGGAGAATTTCTGAGGAGCAAATGAGAATGGTTGCACTAAACCGGCTTGATAGGTGAATGATTCATTAAAAAAAGGCCATTAAATGGATTTTTTTAGGTAAAAAGTCCTATCAAATTTGTTAATGAGTTTTTATTAGGGTTGAAAGGATAGGTGTCAAAGTTACATTCCCAGCTTGGCCAATCCTGTTGTCATCTTTCTTCTTCCATACAAACAATCACATAATTTGATCTTTTTAATGTCTCTCCAAATTGGTAAAAAAAATGTCAACTGATTAAATGAGAAAAGATGCATTGTTAACCATAATTTTAAATAATTGTCGTTATACATTATATAACGGCCGTTATATAACAGTTTCGAAATATTTTATTACTGTTATTTTAGTATTATAATAAATCGCGATCCGTAATATAATTATCGGTATACATTATATAACGGTTTCGAAATATCATGTTATTATTATTTTAGTATTATAGTAAGTTGTGATCCGTGATATAAGCTGTGATCGTTTTTAAAATTATATTGTTGACATTAGGTATGGTTTAGAGGAAAATAGGTAAGAGCCAAAATCACTGAAGCAAAAAAGCAAGCAGAGAAGTAAAAATGAAAATGTGAAAATTGCACTATTATGTCCCTCATCGTGATGGTGAAAATTGATTAGGTACTTCGTAGCTAAAAGTCAGCCAGGCCAGTGCAGAAGCAGATGTGTTTTGCATCCCAATGGTTCAAGTTTATGATGCTTGGATGCTACACCAATGGCCAGTGCCATGGCCCATATGGTCATGCAATTAGCGTGGCCTGACCAGAGAGCCTAAAAGGTTGTCAGGCATGTGGGAGAAACAGAGAGATGACAAAGAAACAGAGCATGAATGCGAATGAACAAAACCTAGCGTGCAAGCAAGGACGAATCATTGTGTATATATTCCTTCTATCCTTTTTGTCTCCACATTTGTCAAAAGTTAAATTCTGTTTTAGGCTATCCCTGCTGTTGATATCAAAACCCAACATTGGATCCCTACTTACCTGCAAAAAGGTGGGGTTTTGTTTTCCCTTTTTCTTTTTTCATCATGTTTTGCATCCCACCTAGACCAAGCCCATGGCTCTTTCAAATAATTTCTTTTAGCACACCCTGATGGGTTAAGCACAGCCATATTGGACCCAGAGCAAAATCATCATTCTTAGCATTCCCTGACTAATTGTTGTCTCAGTTCCATATGTAAAATGCATCTGATATAGAGAATGTCTTTGTGTTTGAACTTAAAAGCCTAAGAGAAAGTCATTTAAAACAGTTGAAGCTTCAGACATAGCAAACTCCGATTGTCTTGTTAACCGGATTAAACATTCATAAATCTGTTCAGATTGAGGATGTGATTTATCTCTAACAATAAATTCATTGACAATGCCATTTACCTCAGTTGAACTAGAACCAGGAGTCTTCTCGACTCCTCTTTCCATCATCATCTTTCTTACATTCCGAGCCTCCTCCCACTTACCGGCTTCCTTGTACATATTTGCTAGCAAAACATATATTCCACTGTCATGGGGATCCAACTCAAGAAGCTTTGAAGCTGCTCTTTCCCCTATCAGAAGATTTCCATGAATTCCACAAGCAAAGAACAAAGCACCCCACACCATAGCACCTGCCTCCATTGGCATTGTTTTAATAAACTCTTCAGCCTCCTCCAACAAACCAGCCCTACCAAGAAGGTTCACCATGCAGGCATAGTGTTTAGGCTGGGGAGACAGGTTGAATTTGGATTTCATTTGGTCAAAATACTTGCGACCCTCTTCAACCAACCCTCCATGACAACAAGCTGATAGGACCCCTAGAAAGGTGATTTCATCTGGCATCAATCCAATATCAATCATCCTAGAGAAGTAAAATATGGCATCGTTAGCATTCCCATAAAGAGCTAAACCTCCAATTACGGCTGTCCAGGTCAAAGAGTTTCTTCCAGGCATCTCATTGAAAACCTGAAGAGCCTTTGTCATATTTCCACATTTTGCATACATGTCAATTAATGCAGTACCTAAGGCAAAATCTAAAGAGAGATCCTGCTTTTTGACATAATTGTGAATCCACATTCCAATAGCTAGAGCTCCAAGTTGTGAACAAGCAGATAAGCAATGAAGCATGGTCACCTTATCAGGCTTCATATTGCTCACTTGCATTTCACGAAACAATTCTAATGTCTCCAAGCCAAGATTGGATTGAACACAGCTTCCAATTATGGCATTCCATGCCACAACATTCTTCTCTGGCATATCATGAAAAAGCTTCCTAGCGGTATCCAAAAGCCCATTTTTGGCATACCCAACAATTATCGTAGTCCATGAAACAACCGTCTTCTTTGTCATATTATCAAACATTGCTTTCGCCGCCTCAAGATCCCCACATTTCACATACATGTCCATAAGTGCATTAGCAAGTGAAATTTTCAAATTCAATCCACTTTCTTCAATATACTGATGAATTTCTCTCGCAAGTTTCAAACTTTCTAATTGTGCACATGCAGAAACGACACCAATCATCGTCACCTCATCAGGCTTAACTTGCTCCGTTATCATTTGTTGATAAATACCCATTGCCTCCCTTGGCTTCCTCCTTCTAACATACCCATTAATCAATGAATTCCAAGAAACCAAGTCTCTAACACAACCTTCATCAAACACCTTATGTGCTAACCCCAACTCTCCAACTGAAACCAACAAATGTATAATCCCATTATACAAATAAAGATCCTGATCAAAACCCATTTTCAATACATGTCCAAGAATCTGAAAACCCATATAATATAGCACTAAATTAGCACAAATTTTAAACAAAAAAGAGTAGGTATAATTATCAGGCCTACAACCAGCCCTGGTCAACATCCTTTTATACAAAACTAAACCTTTTTCAGGAATTTCACTCTCTACACACCCTCTAATCACTGTATTCCAAGAAAACACATTTGGGTTTTCTAAATTACTCAATATGTTGACACAATAATCAAGATTTCTCGATTCTGATATTGCACAAAAGGAAATTAAGCGACTTGCAGCAAACCCATCTGAGATTAACCCTGTAAGGATCATTTGAGCTTGAATTTGCTTCAATTGAGAGAAAGACTTGCAGTTTTCTAGTAAAGAGAGAAGTGGGTTTGAGAGAACAAAATAGTGTGTTGTGTTCCATGAAGTGGGGTTTGGTTTGTGAGTAGAGAGAGAGTGTGAGTGAAGAGAAAAACAAGAAAAGAAGAGGTTTAAGAGAGGTTTTGGGATTAAGTGATGAGATCTTACGCTGGTTACACAGTAAATTGTCATCTGTTTATGTTTCTGTTTCTGTGTCTGTGTCTGTTCTTCTATCTCTACGAGGGTCGGAGAGAGAATGAGTTGAGGCGGGAAAGAATTATTAGAAAATTCTTCTAAAACATGATTGTAATTAATTTATTTGAAATAAATTAATTTTTAGAATTTTAAAAAAATTAAACGCAAATCATTAGTATTATTTGTGCGAATGCATAAATAATTTTCAATAAAACTAATTATTTCAATTTTTTTAATAAATCATGATTATTTTTAGTGGATTATAGTATACAGTATAAACCAAAAAATATTTTTAAAATAATAATTTATAAAAAAATATATTGAAGTTAATAGAATGCAATAAAAAAAATCATAAAATTAATTTTGACAAAATTTGATTGTATAAGGAATAAGGAAATATAAAACACGTGAATTCTATTATTAATTATTTATTAAAAAATAATTTAAAAATTCATACATAGAGAAAAATAAATCATATTTATTAACAAGAAAATTACATAAAAAAATTAAAAAAATAAGAATTTCATTAGAACTTTCATAAGAATCAGCAAATTAAAAAGATCAATTTTAAATAGTAAAAATAATATTTTCTAATATATATATAAAAGAATGCTAAATTTGGGAAAAAATTATGAAAAACATAAGGAATAATTAGCCTATTTTCTCTCTTTGTTTTGTGAAAACATGAAGGACGAAAATAGAAAAAAATATTAAATGTGCATATGAATGCTCAAAAATATTACAAAATGACCGGAATCTAGTCTAACCGAATCTCTCTCTCCTATCTTTTCTCTCTTTGTTTGTGTCTCATCTTTCTATCTAAAGACTATAAATATCTTTTGAAAATATGAAAGATAAAAAATGTTTTGTGAAAATATGAGGGACGAAAATAGAAAAAAATGTTAAATTTGCATATAAATGCTTAAAAATACTAAAATATTCACACAAAAAAAAAACCATCGGTAAAAATTAATAAAATTGCCGTCTAGTGAATAACTAGATTTTTGTCACGCTACGCTACGGATTGGAAAGAACAAGTAAAATTATTTTAGTTTGAAGATTTGCACTATATTGTGAATCAACCAAAATATAATAATTATCTTTTATTAAAATTTTGCATTTGACTAATTATTCATTGTATTTTTCAAACATTTTCTACAAAAAAGAAACATAATTTATTCTTATTTATTCGATTCTTAACTAAAAACTTGTGATAATCTAAAACTCCATGGATTTATAACAAAAAATTTATTTTATAAATTATTTTTTTCAAAAAATCTAATACAAATTCTTCGAAAAATATTTTTAATGTTTAGATTATATATATATGCTATTATCATTTAAAATTTTTAAGAGTCCATCATATAAATTATATAAATTTATTTTTTAAAAAAATAACCACATTGTAAAATTTGTTTAAAAATCCATGCATAGAGAACAATAATTCATGTTTATCAATAAATAATATTTTAAAAAAATTAATTTGATGAAAACATTGATAAGAAATGACAAATTAAAGAAATAAATTTTAAACCATAGTCATATAATCTAAAATATATGTTTATTTTAAAATATAAAAACATATCATATAGATATATTTGTTTCATGCGATAAATGTGAATATAGTGATAGATATATTTATTTCATGCGATAGATGTAAATATAGTGATAGATAAATTATAAATCAATCCCTTTTGTTTTGAAAAATGAATTAATTAATCTTTTTTATTTCAAAAAATAATTATTTAATCTTTTTAGCCAAGCTAATTTATTTTTTTATTTTCAAAAAATTTTTCTTTTCTCATCAATCTTTTTCATAGTTTTATCTATTTTTTATTTTTTTATTTCTTAAAACAAAAAGTCAAAAAAATTGAAAAATAGCAAGAATGACAAAAATTAGTTTTTGAAATCAAATGGACTAATTAATTCATTTTCTTGTGAAAGAGGGATTAATTTATAATTTATTCTTGAAGCTCCTCTCCTCTCACGAAAATAAGGAGAAAAAAATGCAAATCATGGGAGCATTAAATGCTTCATCCAGAAAAGAAAAGGAAATGACAAAAAAATGTTAAAAGAGAAATAAAAAAAGAGAATAAGTGAAGGGCAAATTTTTTTCACAAATCCATTGAGTGGCAATGAGACTAATTAAAAACAAAAGAGAAGGCCATTTATAATACAAAAGAAAAAAAGAAGGAAAATGACAAAAAAAAGCTAGGGAAGAAAATTAAAAAGGGAATTAGTCAAAGGCAAATATGAATTTTACAAATCTATTGAGCCGCAAAGAGAGTAATTTAGGGTAAAGAAAATGCTTTCTACAACGCAAAAGGAAAAAAAAAAAAAAAAAGCTCAGTCTATAGTAAATATAAGAGAGGATGAACAGTCTACCAACAATGAAATTCTTTTTTTTTTTTTTTTTTTTGATCTTTGGCTAATGAACTGGTAAATTGTTAAAAACAATTTGAAGGCTATCAGATATAGTTTAATCTCTATAAAACTACAAAACTTATGGCAAGATTTTGATAATTTAGCCATGAAAGATAATGAGAGATAAGTGCAAAAGTTCTTTACTAAAGTTTCCTATTAGTAACCCAATGAGAGGTTACAAAGATGCTATCGAAACATAGTTTTAAATCGTGAACGGTTAAAAAAATTATTATGATCGTTATTACGAATCATAACTTATTATAATATTAAAATAATAATAACAAAATGTTACGAAACCATTACACCTTTACATAATGACCATTATTTATAAATAAATGCATCGGAGTTAAGAAATTTGTTGGCAAGTGTTAAGAAGCCTACAAAACTCGAGGACGAGGATCGAGCAAGAAGGAAGCCTTCCATTTAAATGGTTAATATTGGCCAGGAAAAAAAATACAAAGATGGAGCAAGAAACCCTAAAAACAGAGAAAAGGGAGGAAATGAGGGAAGGAATAGATGTAGAAATAGAAACACTGATTGTAAAGAGTGTAGTAAAGATCGAAATTCTCAAGGTATAAATCAAGGAGGTGGAAGAGATTTCTAGCAAAGAAATTTCAACCACAACTCAAACTTTCAATGACGGATTTGTAAAATATGTGGGCATGAATAAAAAATTGTCCACACAGATGCAGATATCGCAACCATTCACAAAGGGAAACAGAATGCTGGAAAATTCAATTCTACTCTGCAGATTAGTGTGTGCAGTAGAAAAATTATCAAATCCTACGTGGGAAATTCGTTGGGAACACAGCATGGCAATGGCATGTATAATCTAGAAGTTGATGCTTTCCTTTTCCCCCTAGATAACTATGCCCTTCCATTTTTGCGAAAGATAAATTTTGGTTCGTGATCTTTGCCAAAAGATTAGCACCCTAAAGATAGTAAAGAGAGCAAGACAAAGTACTAAGATGAGCTCGCCCTTGAATTCGGCTGGTATACTTTTAGTTTTAAATGCTTATCTTAAACTAATTCTCTTCACTAAGCAGATTTGAATATCTTTTCCAACCATTATCACAAAATGATTACATATTACTAGAGTGGTCCATCTTCTATGTCCATCTGCAGTCTTCCTAGATGCAATACGCATAGTGATGGATGCATAAATTATGCTTTCTAATTTAGTGTATGCATGCCATGCTGTGTACGTGTGCAGGCTCATTTTAACCTAAAAGTCATGACTAATGAAAAGACAACCTGCTTCTCATGCAAAAACTTCCTATTTGTTGGTATAAAGTTAGGTTTTTATGCAATAAAGAAGGGACAAATTTCTCCTGTATAGTGGTGGTTAACTAAGGTGGAAAACTCAGAAAGATGTTTAGGACTCAAAAACTTGAGAGAGTTGGTTGTATCTCCTTACTCTAACAGGGAACTAGCTTCTCTTTTTTTTTACCTTAATATCTTTTCCTATTTTGAACTAAAACCCTCTCTTAGATCAGAACAACCACGTGAAGAGTTCTATTGTTTAGTCTTTGAGAGGTTGGCTGCAGCTCCTTACCCAAACAGGAAACTGGCTTCTTTTTTTCCCTTCGTATCTTTTCCTATTATGTGCTAAAACCCTCTCTTAAATCAAAACAACCCGTAAAGACTACTGTGTAGTCTGCTATGTACTAATTCAAACAGAAGGTTGGCTACTTTCAGGTTAAAAATCAGCATTCACTCTTCTCCATTATAATCAACATATCTTCACATATCTTTGGTTTGTACAGGATTGTGAGTTCTCTTGCTCTTTATTTATTATTTATTTTTTTCTTTCTTGTGATTGGTTTTGCCAAAGTCTTCGTTGCAGTTTGAAAGTTTCTTGCCTTTAGCTTAGCGTAGTCCTTTAATTTATCAACTTTAATAGTGTTTAACCTTTTGTTTAGGGCTGAGAGATTTCAACTCTTGGGCTGCGTGATCGAGGACAATGGAGGTTAATGGGAGGGAAGATCTTCAAGTACCTTTGCTTCATCCTTCAGGGAGTTTTATAATAGATATTCCTGAGAAGAAAGCGAAGACAATCACATTCAAAATTGGGGGTATTAACTGTGCATCTTGCCAAACATCCATAGAATCTGCACTTTTAAAGGTTAATGGAATCGAGAGTGTTTCAGTGTCATGTTTTCAAGGCCAGGTTGCAGTCAAACGATGGTGCCAACGTCTTTTATAGCATATTTCATGCATGCCTACGTGAGATTAATTTGACAAGCAAATGTGCTTCTGATATGGTCTTATTTTAGGCAAAGAAAATTAAAAAAGTTGTAGAGGCGACAGATTTTCCAGTTAGGGAGTTTCCAGAGCAAGATATTGCAGTATGCAGGCTCAGAATCAAAGGAATGACTTGCACTAGCTTCTCTAATTCCATTAAATGTGCCCTAAAAATGATTGATGGTGTGAAGAAAGTAGCTGTTGGTCTAGTTCTTGAACAAGCTAGGGTCCACCGTGATCCTAACCTCACTAATGTTGATCAAATCATCGAAGCAATAGAAGATGCTGGTTTGAAGCTGAACTATCAGGCTCTACAATTGATATCAACAAAACATTGTCTAAAACTTGAAGGAGTGAGCTCTACGGAAGATGTGACCATAATCCAATCTATCCTAGAGTCCCTTGAAAGAGTAAATCATATTGAAATGGACTTGACAAAAAACAGGATTACGGTAACATATGATCCAAACATCACTGGTCCAAGATCTCCTATATAAAGCATCCAGAAGGCTGGACAAGGGACTAAAGTGTAGTACAATTCCAGCTTGCATGTCCCTTCAATTAGAAGAGAAGTAGAGTGGCAGCAAAAAATTCGGACTTTCAGAAATTAGTTCTTCCTGAGCTGCCTATTTTCAGTTCCCTTATGTATTTTGTCGATGGTGCTTCCCATGCTGCCTCCTTATGGGAACTGGTTAGGCTACAAGATTTACAAAGTGCTCACTGTTGGTATGCTTCTGAGATGGATCCTATGCACATCAGTGCAGTTTACTTTTGGCCGAAGGTAATAATAATACATTAGTTCTTTTTTTCCTTCCAAAATTTACTATTCTTGGCACTGATAGGGTTATGTTTTCCTTGGCTTTTGTTAATTGTTACTTTGACAGGTTTTATGTGGGAGCATATCATGCATTGAGAAGGAGATATGCTAATATGGATGTTCTGGTTGCACTAGGCACCAATGCTGCTTATTTCTACTATGTATATACGGTGATAAAAGCATCCACTTCTGACAGATTTGAAGGGCAGGATTTCTTTGAAACTAGTGCCATGTTGATATCCTTGATTCTGTTAGGGAAATATCTGGAGGTTGTGGCTAAAGGAAAAACATCAAATGCTATTGCAAATCCTCTTGGAAAAGCTTAGAAGATAAAAGAGTTATAGGTAACCTTCTTTTTGAAACAAGTACATCACAAATTTCTCCTCACCTATCCTGCCACCTTCAATACACATTTGATATCGAGAAATTTATTTCTGAGTTGACTTTTCTGATTGAAACTGGAAGCGGATGAAAGGGATGACCGTTACAATGGTCGGAGATGGAATAAATGACTCGCCAGCCTTGGTTGTAGCTGATGTTGGGATGGCAATTAGTGCTGGGACGATGTGGCTATAGAAGCAGTTGATATAGTTCTCATCAGAAGCAATTTGGAAGATGTAGTTGCAGCCATAGATCTATCACTAAAGACCATCTCCCGAATCAGGATAAACTACTTCTGTGCACTTGGCTACAACACGATCAGCTTGCCTATTGCTGCTGGAATTCTGTACCCTTTCACAGGAATTCGATTACCTCCTTAGCTTGCTAGTGCTTGCATGGCTACTTCATCTCTTAGTATGGTTTGTTCTTCTCTTTTGTTGCAGTCTTTTGTGAAACCTCTTCGTACAAAGCACAATAACGCTGTTTATTTGCTAGCTTAGAGCTTGACTCATCGCTTCTGTCCTCAATTGCTGCATTCTGCAGCTGTTACATTGTAATTTGCTTCACGTAAAACAAAAACACCACCTTTCATTCTATGTTATTTTTGCATTTCAAGCATGATATAAGTTCAGCCAAAGCTCCCCTTGTCATTAGGTTTGGTCTTTGTAGTTCCAAACTAACAGTCAAGGTTTAAGCAGACCATATAGGTAGCAATCTCAAACGATATTGTAAAATACTACATTAACTTGAATGAAAAAAACAAATACCCTCGACGAAAAAATCCTTCATTTTGCTCTCTGAACAACATGATTTTTTTTGAATTTGTCCCTTTTTTCAGGATTTTGTTGAGAAATTGATGAAAACAAAAACCCTTAAAAATTCTCTTAACTCCTCTCCTTTCTCTACTAGTAAACATGTTTTTCTAAGTTGTTAGAGAAAAAAGGATAGACATTGAGAGGATTTTTATAAGTTTTTTCGTTAATTTCTCAACAGAACCCTAATGAAAAGAATAAATTTAAAAAATTATATCGTTTGAAAAAAAAATCAAAGTCTTTTTTTTTTTTTTTAATTCAAGAGGCATTTGTTTTTTCTCTCAAATTGAGGATGATGTTTTACAATTTAACCCAAATAATAATATGGTTATAAAAAAAGAAAGATTGTTTTACTTGAAAGAAGATGAAAAAAAGATTTTGTTTTCTATAATACGAGTTAATAGAATGATATGTCCTATTTTGATCCAAATCATAATTTAGTTCTTTTTCATCATTTTAATTGTAATTCTAAGATAATACTAATTTGTTAATGCTACTATTATAAATTTATAGAAAAAAATAAAATTTATTTGATATTATAACTTTTGGATTATAAATTACTCAGACTTTGGTGAATTTTTTTATGAATTGAAACAAAAATAGTTTCCTGTCTTACATTCTGTCAATTTATCAACCGGAGACAGACGAAATACGAGGGGAAAAAAATCAAGCTTGAATGGGGTGATTGAAACAAAAGAAAGTTGTGGAGCTAAATTAAGATAAACCATAAACTATCGGGGTAGAAATCTACCTTCTTCTTTTTTTAACACGTTTGATAATCAGGGAATTAACAGCATCTCTTGTCCGTGGCAAACAACCTTTTCACCGACAACAACATCTCAACACGTGGCATTTCTAAGTATGTTTCAATAGAAAAATTTTATAATATACAATAAATAATTAATGATAAATATAGAGGTTATTCTATAAATTTATTTTAAGAGAAAGATATACACATTCAATTACAACTTATTTATCAACTATAAAAATAAATTTTGTATTGATTCAATTTTTTTTGAATTTTTTTTATCTAAATTTTTTTTAAATTTAATTCATAAAATAAGAATTATACATGCATTATAAAACTTCTCTGTTTCTATCAACCCCAACCCACCCATCCCCTCTCTAAGACCTTTCTATTCGAAGCTCTCTACCCCACAGACCACAGTGACAACCTGTGTTGTGGATCACTAACAAGGTAAGCTAGAGAATTAATACTTTTTGGTTTTGACATAGATATTATGTAGTACAGTTTCATCTGTACTGTGTTTTTAGCTTTAGTTCATAAGATATAGATTTATTTTTAGGAAAGTTTCAAACTTTATTGCTTGGAATAAAAAAGATTGGATCTTGTTGGGTTGATTACTTGATTTTGATTGTGAAGTTTATTTATTATTATTATTTTTTTTTTTTTGTATATTTGCAGCTTTAGAAATTCTGGGTTTCTGAGAAATATTACAGATTAAGCTTGTAGGATGGTTTTGGATGTTTAATACTTGATTTGATATGGATTTGGTTGGTGGGGTTTTGAGGTTTTTATGGTGACCCTTTCGTTTGGTTGGTGAGAAAATGCAGGAAAATGGAAGAAAGTGGGGTTTTATTCGGGGATTTGTTTTCTTTGGCTGTTATGTTTCTGATGGTGGAAATTTTGGTTTAGATGATCCAAGTGGTTATTATTGGAGTAAATGCTTTCTTGAGCATTGAAATATATGAAATTTGGGATTTTAGTTCATCGTCTGTTACTGAATTTACTTGTCCATTGAAGAGGATATTAGGATTTTGGGATTCAGGAATTAAGTGTGTTGACATGGATAATTCGGGTTTAGGAGGTCGTTTTTTGACTGGTCCAAGTGGTGATTTGTTAGACCTTGAGTCACCAATTCATAGACACCAACAATCCCAGTTAGGTCATCCCTCACTAGCTCACCAACATCAGATGAACTTAATGGGTTGTTTCGATAATGATCACCAACCAATTGGACTGATGGAAGTGAAAGGGTCAACATCAAAAGGATATAATTTTGGTAAAGGAAAGGCTGTTAGTCCGTTTAATGGTGCACATAGTGGCGATGTTAGTGAAGATGATGACCAGAGTTTTATGGAAGATGGGAATGTTGAGAACTCTACTGGTACTAAGGGCAAAAAGGGGACTCCATGGCAGCGAATGAAATGGACAGATAATATAGTTAGGCTTCTTATTGCTGTGGTTGCTTGTGTGGGTGATGATGGTACGTTTGATGGTGTTGAGGGCCTTAAGAGGAAATCTGGGCTTTTGCAGAAGAAAGGTAAGTGGAAAATGGTGTCAAAGCTAATGATTAGCAAGGGCTGTCATGTTTCGCCTCAACAATGTGAGGATAAATTCAATGATCTGAATAAGAGGTATAAGAGGTTGAACGAGATTCTTGGGAGGGGAACTAGTTGTATAGTGGTGGAGAACCCCGCTCTTATGGACTCAATGTCTCATCTTTCATCCAAGGCAAAGGATGATGTCAGAAAGATATTGAGCTCAAAACATTTGTTTTATAAGGAAATCTGTGCTTACCATAATGGGCAAAGAATACCCAATTGCCAGGATCTTGATCTACAAGGTTGTTCATTACCTCTTGAGAGTTGCTCAAAAGATAATAATGGGTCAGCTGAAGATGAAGCCGAGGGAGATGATGACAGTGATGATGATGAGTCAGATAATGAAGAAGATAATAATGCTGATGAGGATGGGGAGAGGGTGGGCCAGTTGTGTGAAGGGAAAGTGAATGACGAGCATGCCCCCTTTGGTCTCAATCGCGTGGGCGAAATAGTTTTGATGTTGAAATGGCAGCGATTTTTCATGACCCTACAGTATCACCATGGGAGAGAAAGGAGTGGATTAAGAAGCAGAGGCTGCAACTCCTAGAGCAAAAGGTAAACATCCAGGCACAAGCTTTTGAACTTGAGAAACAACGATTCAAGTGGTTGAGATACTGCAGCAAGAAAGATAAGGAGTTTGAGAGGTTGAGGTTGGAGAATGAGAGGATGAAACTGGAGAATGAGCAGAGTGCTTTGCAACTGAGGCAGAAGCAACTGGAAATGGATTTTAGGACTTCAGAACCATCATTTGACCCTGCTTGCCTTGGTATTGACAGAGTGCAAGGAAGAGATCAAATTGATCTGGGCAGGCCTCAATAGCTTCTTTACAGATGGATTCACAGTTCACTCCTGGTATCTTGCATGACTTCCCCGCAATATCTGTAGCATTATGCATATGAAATAACTAACAACATGTACCACATATATTCCTTTAGACTAACCTTAGGAACATTCGATACTTTCTTCTCTTTTGCTGTAAAGTGCAAAACCTTAGTGCAGCAGCTTCTTACCACTCGTCTTCTCATAATGCATTCCTTTTACCACTTGATGGTTGTTCATATATGTAAAAACATTTAATTTGCTAGTAATAATCACTTGGACAGAAGCTACAATTCTGTTCACGAACGTTAATGGTTCTCCCCCTTCCCACTCTCCATGCTTACGGGTGATATTTTCTTTATTGAAACTTCATTGAATATTCCTTTCTGGTCTACCAAATAGATATGCTCCAAGCATTCCCATCTACAGGGAATGAAACACCTATCTATCTTCCTTTCTTCAGTGTTCCATGCTTCACTAGTTTGCACTGATCATTTCACATCAATACGAGTTTTTAGCTGCTTGAGTTGTATTTTTCCTGGCAAATAGTGATCTGCAAGACGGTAAGAGAACCTTTATGGTGCGCACAATGTTGGTCTTCTCTGAAATACTTAGGCATCTAGAAATCTCTCATTATTGTATGTGTGAGGTAATGTCCAGCTGAATATTCTAACATTCTATAAAACATATCATAGCCAGCATTCACCATGTTGCTCCTGGTGTGTTTTGGTATTGTGGTTGCTCCCTTGTTCTTGACATTGGTTTTTAGGTATGACAGGAGGAGCTGTACTCCCTCTCGCATAAACTGGGGATCCACCATGAAAATTATGTATAGATCCTATATTTATGTGAGAGAGAAGCACACAACTCCCGGTACCGAATAGTTCCACTGTGTCTTTTATGTTTTGTTGCTATAATATGCTTTGTCGTGGCTCGTGCTTAAGATTTTCATATGGAGGTCCATGTTTTGTCCCATGTATTTTTTGGTATTCTCTTAATGTGGCTCGTGTACTCTTTTTTTTATTTTTTTTATTTGATCTCTTATTCACTTTACTCTAGTTATTTTCTTAATGTGGCCTCTTTGATAGGATTCCAGTTAATTTTATTTTCTAGTAATAAGTAATAGGGGGATGACATGTTATATAAAAGTGACACGTGATGCTTTATCCGACATGTCAATTCACCTATCAATTTCGTTCGACAAGTTAGATAGAATTCCATTAGAGGGATCACGTTAAGAAAATTTAGGGAGTAGAGAGATCCGACACAAAAAGAGAGTAAGAGCCATGTTGAGAAAATCTAAAGAATACAGGAATGATCATGTTTTTAATCCTATAGTTCAAGGCTCTTGAAACACTTTAAACAAAGAATTATTTTCGAGCCTCTCAATGAATGAAAAAGAAGTGCTAACTCATACATGAGAAATCTCAGATGACTCCATGAATAACTATCGGTATTTATTTTATGTTATGGATCTATGATAATAAGAGAGACAGATACAAAGATTTTGTACAAGTAAAAGTGATAAGAATGTTATTTTTACAACTCTCTTTCTTGTTTCTTTCTTTTCTTTCTTTCTACATCAATATTTGTTCTCTTTTTTTGTGTTTATTTCTAACGGTTACCTTTCGATAAATTTTATAATATTTAAGGAGTAATTAGTATATATGTACAGTAGTCATTTTATTTTTTTATTTTCAAGGAAAGAGAATAGTTATTCCATGGGTTCATTTTTAATGAAAGATACAAGTAATAGTCATTTTATGGATTTATTTTTAAGGAAAGAGAATAGTTATTTCATGGGTTCATTTTTAATAAAATATATAATAGTTATTCCATGAGTTCATTTTTAAAAAACAGACGGATACATAAAAAAACAAAGAATCACATCCAAAATTACCGAAAATGATAAAAAAAAATTTTCACTTTGGTTTATTTATTTATTTTAATTTTCTCTTTTTCATTTCTCTCTCTTTTTTGTATCTATCTTATTTTGTCAAATAATTTACGTTAGTTACATTTTGAATATTATAAAATTTCTCACTACTCTGGTATTATCATAAAAATTTTCGATGGCGATGGAGATTGGGAAGGAGTTTGGATTGTAATTTTAGGATGCCAAATTTTGAAGCTCAAACAAAGTCATATTCTCCTAAGAATTCTTCAGTCCACTAAATTCAGCGGAATGGATTGAAAGATATCATCTACTCCTATTTTATTGCAAGTCATCGAATTGTTTTCATGGCCCCAACAAAGACTTGTCAGAAAGTTTTTCCAAATGTTCATACATGTTGAATTCTTGGTTGCAGCAAGTCCACGCAATTTATGCAAAAATAAATGTGATTTCTTTCCTCCTCTAAATGAAAAGATTTCTGAAAAAAAAAAAAAAAAGGGTTTTATTTTGAGCCAAATTCATCCAAAGAGATATCTACTTTTCTATTTATATGTATGTTCACAAAATATTTGTTCGGTCAAAACATATTTTTCTAAATTCAAAAAAGGCAAGAAATTATGAAAATAAAAATGCAGATATGGTATTAATAATCTTCTTAATTTGTATCCGAAATAAAAAAAAAAAGAAAAAGATAATTTCTTTGAGACAGAAGAAATACAATAATAAAAAATGATAAAACATTTTTCATCTAGAAGAAGTTGAAACTTCTTAAAATAACGAGGCAGCCAATTCCAGAACAGGATCGTCACCAAATTGTCAAAAATGTAAACTACAGGTACAATCCACCTTGGTCAAGAAAAGAAATTTCCTAAAGTAGAGAATTTAAAATCGTAGACAGCTTCCATGTAAAATGAAGACCTTTTCAACATGCATCTCTCTTCGCCTATATATATATATATATATATATATTGAGAAACAAATTTATCAATACAACTAATTATTTAGTTTTTATATTTATTTTTTTTGTAAGTTTATTCTTTTGTTTTTCAGTTTATTTTTATTTGTTGGTTTTTGTTTTAAGAAATAGAAAAAAATTAAAAAATATATATGAAAGGATTGATGAAAGAAGAATATATTTTTGAAATAAAGTAATATTAAATTAAATTTGCTTAAGACTAATCAATGAACTTTATAATTATTTTTTAAAACAAGGAGGATTAATTAATTTGTTTCTCAAAACTAGATGGATTAATTTATAATTTACTCTCTCTCTCTCTTATATGAGTATTTTTTTATCCAACTTTTGCATTAATTGAGATTAAGTTCATAATTTTTTAGAATTATTTGATTTGTTATTTCTATCAATTTAGGAGTATAAATAATTTATTTGAGACCCAATAATGAATCTATTCAAGCATCTAGACCATTAGAAAAAAAAAATCACATTCCAATTACCCAAAAAAAAAAAAAAGAATTATTCTTGTTTTGAATGTAATTATAACTTAGTTTTTTCATGTTTGACAACCTATAAATTAGTCCCTTTAATCTAGTTAACTTGTTTTTTTTTAAAACATAGATTGATTTTTCTCCGAACTCTCACTATGTTGGTGTTTTAATAAGAGATTAAATTGTTAATTTTATGTTTAGGATTAAGGAAAAACCAACAAATGTACAACAATCGACAGGAGTCTTCAGTATAGGGATTAAGTTATAGGCTTTCAAATAAAAGGACTAATATATAATAATGTCCAAAGTATAGGACTAAAATAATAAGAGAAGAGACAGAAGAAAAGTAGAAAACTGCCACTCCATGCACCCTCACCTACCCTAACAATTCTCTCCCTCCACATATAAATTTTCATATTGCCTCTCTTCTCCCACTTCGCCGCTCCAAACCCTGAAGACTCCTTGTTTCTCTCGTCACCACCAACAAAAACAAGGCTACAGGTAATGCCTCTCTCTCCCTCAAGCCATTTCCTTTCCGCATGAATAGTTTACTTTTGACTGATAGTTCATGATCTTTTGTTCCTTGTCTTTCGGAGTTGTCTATGTTTTGTTTGTCTTGCATTAACATCATCATGTTTATATAAAACCCGCTTTTCTCTCTTAGATCTCTCCCTCCCTCCCTTCTTTTGCTGCTTCTTGGCTTTTTTGTTAGATCTGTCGCATAGTGTTTTTATTCTTCGAAGGATTTTAAACTAAAAGGTTTGTTTTTTATATCAATATTTCACTTTAATTTCTTTTGGCTTCATTGGATCTTAAAATTTTGATTTTTTCTGTCTTTTGAATCTATGGTTAGATGAGTTGTTGATACGATATGTGAATTGGGTTGTTGTCTTTTTGGTCTGTGATTATTCTTTCGTGTCATTTTGATTAGAAAGATTCAATTTTTAGTGTGGATGTTGGAGTGAGTGATAAATCTTTGTGCCACTTAATTGCAAATGGTGATGATCTTGATTGATTGAAGTATGATGCTATCGTTAATGGTGTTTTGGTTGGATTTTCCAATTTAAAAATATGTTTGATTGCTGTTTAAGTGGCATGATTTGAATCCTGTGTCAGAGTGTTTGCTAAGTTGATTTTAAGCTATGCAGGGAATGAGGATTCCACTTTGTTGGGGTTATTGCATCATTTGTTTTTGTCGCATCACTCGGTTTAATGCTATCTTTGATAGGGTTTCCTTGCATTCTAACATTGTTTGTTGAATTCGATTTGGAACAGGGTTTCATTATTTGTGAGAGGAAATGGCTGATAGGCACCAGCAACCATCTGTGATGCAAAAGATGGCCAGCCAGGTCTATCTCAGTTCCGGCCTTTCCCAAGGCTTTCAGAAGCCTGCTTTACACCAAAAGCAGTTTGCATATGGAAATTATTCCAATGCAGGATTCCAGTATGCCATGACAAGGACTTGCCGATCTACCCCTGACATGTCTGTGGTTGCATCTACCACCTCACCTGTACTTGTCCAAGCCCCATCTGAGAAAGGTGCTGCTGGCTTTGCTATTGATTTTCTCATGGGTGGAGTTTCTGCAGCTGTGTCCAAAACTGCTGCAGCTCCCATTGAGCGTGTGAAGCTCTTGATCCAAAACCAGGACGAGATGATCAAGACTGGTCGACTCTCCGAACCATACAAGGGAATTGGAGATTGTTTCAGCCGAACAATGAAAGACGAGGGGATGTTGTCATTGTGGAGAGGGAACACAGCCAATGTCATCCGTTACTTCCCCACTCAGGTTTGTTCCATGGATGATACTTTACTAAACTATCTCATTCCCTATGGGTTTTATTTTGTGCTTATCTAGTTAGTCTACGTACGCTCCTCCAGGCCCTGAACTTTGCATTCAAAGATTACTTTAAGAGGCTTTTCAACTTCAAGAAGGACCGTGATGGCTATTGGAAGTGGTTTGCTGGTAACTTGGCATCTGGTGGAGCTGCTGGTGCCTCTTCACTACTCTTTGTCTATTCTCTGGATTATGCCCGTACCCGTCTTGCAAATGATGCGAAGGCTGCAAAGAAGGGAGGGGAGAGGCAATTCAATGGCTTGGTTGATGTCTACAAGAAGACATTGCAATCAGATGGTCTTGCTGGGCTTTACCGTGGATTTAACATTTCATGTGTCGGCATTATTGTATACCGTGGTCTGTATTTTGGAATGTATGATTCTTTGAAGCCAGTAATCCTAACTGGAAAGTTGCAGGTTAGTGGTTTCTGCTTTTAATTGTTTAATAGTTAAGAGTTCATTTGTTGAGGTGCAAAATTTTCTCATGATGTTTTGTTCCTCACTTGATTTCAGGATAGTTTCTTTGCTAGCTTTGCTCTTGGTTGGGTCATCACCAATGGTGCTGGTCTTGCATCCTATCCAATTGACACCGTCCGCAGAAGAATGATGATGACGTCCGGGGAAGCTGTCAAGTACAAGAGCTCCCTCGATGCATTTGCTCAGATCCTCAAGAATGAGGGTGCTAAATCCCTCTTCAAGGGTGCTGGTGCAAACATCCTCCGTGCAGTTGCTGGTGCCGGTGTACTTGCCGGATATGACAAGCTTCAGGTGATTGTCTTCGGAAAGAAGTATGGTTCTGGTGGTGCCTAATGAAGTCTCATTCTTCTCTGCCCCATACAATCATAGATGGTGATGAAATTTTTGAAGTTCCATTCCAGATTTATTCTGGATGATTCTTTAGACTTATTTAAAATTACTTTTTTCTGATGAGTTTTTCAGTTTCAGGATTTCCTTTCCTGTAATCCTGCCTTCTCGGAATGTTTGCAATTGCACAACATTGATTTTGAACGCATCAAGCTCATAAATGATCTTTCTAGTTTTATTATTCTCCTGTGTTCTTTACTGTCTTGCATAAGTTTTGCATTTGCATGATTGAATAATGTGATGGACCTCATTAGGCTTCTATAGTTGTGTGATGATTTGCAACTCTGAAACGCACCGGAGGAAGCAATGGGGTCTGAAAATGAGGACAGACTGAAGCTTTCCTCCATAGATGGAAAAGAGGAGTGCCTTTTCCCCATCCTCTTAACAATGGTCCTCTTACATTTTCATTGCCTAGCTATAGAAGAATTTGAACTGGTGGAATTCTCTTGCGATCCGAGTTATAGTATCAACTCAACGTACTTAGCAGCAATACGGTTCAATTGAACTTGTAATAGATTCACAAGATGAAGCAAAAAGCAAATCCATGAACTTAAGATATTAAGATGAATTTGTCATTTTTCTAGTCGGTTTTATAATATAATATATTTCCATACAATAAATATAATTTTTTTACAACCATATAATAAAATAGTATGTTACATAAAAATAAAAACAATATTATTTAATTGATGAGGTTAGGGGAGGATGGGTAGGGATAGGAGGCATCAAAATCCAAGTTGAATATCAACTAGATCAGATTAAATTATCTGTAAATACGCTTTCAATAATAATAATAAAAAGTTAAATGAGTCGAATCTTCTTTGTAATTCAATTCATTTAAAAATTAGTATTTGAATTTTTAATTTCAGATTTGATCTAAATATTAAGATGTTTTTTTAAAATGTCATATTAAATTTTTAATTTACATTATTATAGTTTTTTATTTAAAAACTAATGCATAACCAAGAACAAATCATATTTTTTAACAACAAAAATATGAAAAATATAGATAAGAATAAATAAAATAAAAACTTTTGATTAAAAAATAAAAAAATTAGATGATTTTTTTTTCCTTCGATTCAATATATTTTAGTAGAATTGCAACATACCACAAATGGTTTAATGGCAAATTTTGCTCTCATTCTATTACGATTTGATAATTTCGAACTCATAATTTCAAATTACGTAATTTGAATCCTAAAGTGATGGAGATTAGGCAAATGTAATCCAAATTGCTCAATTTCCATTATATGAATTCCTAAACAACATCGTTTTAATATTCCGATATTAATTATTATTTTTTTAAAATACTTTTAACTCCCCTAATCTTGAACTTTAAAAAAAAAAAATCTTATAAAATATTATATACATTTTATAAATATTTTTAACCCCGTAATTTTGAACTTTTTTTTATAAAATGTTATTATAAAAAAATATAATTAACAATGAACAATTTCATGTCTTAAAAAAACTTATAAATTAAAATGAACGTAATTAAAAGTTGACCCTCCTAATTTTAAAAATTATATAAAAAAACATTTTTTTAAAATATTTATAATATTTTATAAAAAAAAATAAAGCCTAAAAAAGGTTCAAAATTAGGAGGGTTAAAAATATTTATATAATTTTTTTATATATAATTTATAAAATATTTTATAAGAAATTTTTTTTAAAAAAAAATTCAAGATTAGGGGTTAAAAATATTTTTAAAATGCCCTTTTGCTTAATATCCTTTTAGCCTTTGTATTGCGGACTGTAGCTATATCTTTCGGTACCCAAAAAGTCCAATTTCCTCCCCCTTAACAAAATTCATGTGAGAGTTGGCTTGTAGAAGAATCAAGAGGAGCAAAAATCATTATGAGGACACTAAATTATTGTGTATATACCAAGGGCATGCACATGTTTTTAATCACAGCAATGAGAGCAATGGTAGATACAGAGAGAGATTAAAAACTAGCTAACATGGAGATTGCCAAATATTATGTAATGAGTTAGCCTTCAATAGTCTCTATCTCTAACGCGCAAAGGCTTCTTATAAGACTGCAACAAGAGAGAAGAACAAACCACGCTAAGTGATGAAGCAGCCATACAAGCACCAGCAAGCCAAGGGGGAGCCGAATTCCGGTGAATGGGTATAGGATCCCAGCAGCAATAGGCATGCCAAGTATGTTATAGCCAAGAGCCCATACATAGTTTAGCCGAATCCGAGACATGGTTTTTCGAGATAGATCGATGGCTGTAACGACGTCTTCTAAGTTGCTTTTGATGAGAACTATATCAGCAGCTTCTATGGCCACGTCAGTACCTGCGCCAATTGCCATGCCAACATCAGCTGCAACAAGAGCTGGCGAGTCATTTATTCCATCTCCCACCATGGCTACAGTCATTCCTTTCCCCTGCATTCAGTTTACAAATTTACTCAATTTGAAAACTAGTAAGCAATCAGTTCAAACCCAACCCAACCCAACCCAATTGCTGTTCAATCAAAATGCAAAAGAATGACTAAAAAAATAGAACCAGTCAGACTTGTTCAAATTACATTAGCCACAAAAAGTAAGCACACCTGTAAATCTTTAATCCTGTCAGCCTTTCCCGATGGGTCTGTTTCAGCAAACACCTTCTCAATCCCAACCTCCTTAGCAATGGCAGTTGCTGTAGCCCAGTTATCACCAGTCACCATGATGCTTGAGATACCCATGGAACGAAGGAAAGATATAACACACTCAGCCTCAGGCTTCACTGGATCAGTCACAGCAAAAGCTCCAGCAACCTCTCCGTCTATGGCTACTAACACACACGTTCTAGCTAATTGCTCATGTTCCCGAATGTAGATCTCAACCTCAGAACCAACTAAAACATTACAAACCTGCATGAGCCTCCTGTTCCCAACCAAAACATTTCTGTTGCCCACTTTTCCACTCACCCCAGCTCCAGTGTGCACTTCAAAGTCCTTAATCTCTGTAATATATTCTGCATCAGATCCAATCTTCTGGCGCAGCCTCTTAGCATGCTTCACCACAGCTTTTGCTATTGGATGTTCACTATTTGCCTGAAGATATGGTAGGAAAAATGTTATTTACCTCATTTTCTAGCAGTAGTGGAAAGTTCTTAATATAATAATCTCGTTCCCCACCATTTTATGAGTATGATTTCAGTATCTAATATATCAATGATTCTTCAAGAAACACAATAACTGTCCACATTCCATAATACTTGAGAAATGGAAACTAATCTTACTTATCTTTGTACTAGCGCTAGTTCTAACGATTCTATTCCTCCCACCCCATGCAAACCAAGTTGTTTATTAAACTAGCCTCTTGAACCTTTGTTGGTTTCACGCAAAATCAAGATGAATCTAAATCATATAGTTTTGACTTCAGATCAATGCTCAAGATATGGATGCCCACCTCTGCAGCAGTAGCCATGTCACAGAATTCCTCCATAGAGAAACTGGAAAAGAGCACAGCACTAACTACCTCTGGTTTTCCAACTGTTAATGTCCCTGTCTTGTCAAAGACAACCGTTTTCACCTGGAGAAATCAACGAGATCAATAAAGAGAGAGATTGAAGTTAAATAATTCACTTGTCTCTAACGATTATGAAATGCACTAGTGAAATCTACTCTTTCCTAATATAAAAAATGGCCAAGAAATTGATTTATGAGATACAAAGCTAGTAAGAATAAGGTTTGCTGAATTCCCATGCATAATACCCAATTTCTGACAACAGAGCTGAAGGCATAACAGAACAGTTGCCTAACCTTGTGTGCCTTTTCAAGTGCATTTCCACCTTTGATGAGCACACCTTGAGAAGCACCCTTTCCGGTGGCAACCATGACTGCTGTTGGCGTTGCTAGACCCAGAGCACATGGGCACGCAACTACCAGTACTGAAATTCCAAACTGCAGTGCAAGTTCAAATCCATCCATTGCTTTTGGTATCCAATGTCTTGGGTAAAGACCAGCCTCTCCAGGTATAAACCATCCTAGCCATGTAATAAATGCTGCAATAATAACCTGAAATGGCATTTCTAATTCTCAATGAGCAATGAAAAGTAGTTACGTAAAAATTGGAATGTTCTGCATTCACAATAATCCCATATCATTCCAAAAAAAAAAAAAAAAACAGAAAAGGTATTCAAACAAGTCTAAGAGTGGAAGATCAGAAAATGCATTGCCCTCACGGCAATTCTTATATGTATGAATGGATACCTTATACAACGAAAGTAGAAGCCTTTGGAGAAAAAAGAATATAAAGAGAGAACGAGATGAAAACACACAAAAGGAAAGGGCGAGAGAAAGAGAGAACTCTTCGAGAAAATTATGGCCCACAATAGCAGTAATTAAGCCTCCAAAAAAAAAAAAAAACCAGAGAGAGAGATAGAGACACTAGCTTCATTTTCTAGAATGAAGCATCTCCCTCCTAGTAAGACAGGGCAAAGTCTCTCATTTTTAAGTACTTGATTTTCTAATCACTCAACTAATAGAAAAATTTTATGTAAAGCAAGTGGAATGAGTCATCTCATAAAAGACCTGATAACAAAAAAAAATTAGAATATCAAACGAAGAGTATGATGAACGCACTGTAGGAACAAAAATCTTGGAGATTTGGTCAGCTAGTTTCTGAACAGGGGCCCGGGAAAGCTGAGCAGCTTCCACAAGTTGAACAATTTGGGAAAGTGCAGTCTCTGACCCAACATGAGTAGCCGTCACCAGTAAGCACCCATTCTCATTCATAGTTCCACCAATTACCTGTTAAGGATTGAGATATAAAACCTCATCTCAGCCTTTAAAATTTTCCAAATGTTGCATGTAAAAGTATCTAAACCTTGCATTGTTATACCTTGTCTCCAAGTCTTTTAGCAATGGGCCTTGCCTCCCCTGTGATCATACTCTCATTCACATGGCTTTGACCATCTATAACAATCCCATCAACAGGGACTTTTTCACCAGGAACAATCTTAATCACATCATTCCTTTGTATCAGTTCAGTACTAATGTCTATCTCCGAGATAACATTTCCATCACTATCTAGTGTTACCAAATGAGCCATATCAGGAGAGAGTTCTGTAAGCTTTGCTAAAGCGTCTGATGTCTTCCCTTTAGCCACAACCTCCAAATATTTCCCCAAAAGGATAAACGATATCACCATGGCACTAGTCTCAAAGAAATCTTGCCCTTCAAATGTATCTGTCGTTATAGCTTTTATCGCTATATATACAGAATAGAAGTAAGCTGCATTAGTGCCTAGTGCAACCAAAACATCCATGTTAGCAGATTTCCGTCTCAATGCATGGTATGATCCCACATAAAACCTGAAAATAACATCAAAAGAAAGAACTTGAACGGTCTTTCCATAATTATGTGCTTATCACTTATAAATAATTAGGGAAATGTAAAAGTAAAAATAACAGAGAAAGTAACATAAAACTAATGCTTATTTCAATACCTTCGGCCAACAATGAACTGTACTGGTGTACAAAGGATCCACCTGAGAAGCATCCCAACAGTGAGCTTATTGTAAATCCTATATTCCAACCAGTTACCATAAGGATGAACCATTGGGAGTGCCATGGAGAATAGAAGTACTGGAACAGAGAAAAGGCAGCTCAACAAAAATTGGTCTCTGTACATCTGAACTTCTTGTAGTCGCTCAGTTTCTCTTCGTCTTGGAGGAACGTATAATTCTGCATGGTAAATGTTGGGACCAGACGATGCATCTCCAATGCACTGTATAATAGATCTCGGGCCAATAAGGTCTGGATCATAGCTAACAGTTACCTTACGTTCAGGCAAGTCCACTTCAACATGATTCACACCTGGTGTGGACTCAAGACAAGATTGGATCATGTTACCATCTTCTGCAGAATTAAATCCTTCAACTTTAAGGTGCACCTTGTTCATGTCATTCCCAGAACTGATGAGCTCAGCTCCAAAGCCAGCATCTTCTACTGCTTCAAGGATGCCATCTGTATAAATGAGGTTTGGATCAAAGTGGACCTTCGCTTCTTCAAGAGCTAGACCCACCACTGCATTTTTAACTCCATCAGTCATTAGAAGGGCACGTTCCACAGACTCAGAGCAGCTGGTGCACATCATTCCTTTAATCCTCAACCGACATACTGTAATATCTTGTTCTGGAAACTCTTCAACAGGAAACCCAGCATCTTCTATGGTTTCCTTAATTTTATTAACCTAAAAAAAAAAAAAAAACGTCATAAAATCTCTACTCGTCGACAAAATAGAAGATACCATACAAATTAGCAGCAACAAAAAATTCAGACTACGTATCTCAAACTCGAAATCAAACAAATATCACAAAGTCCACCACATACGCTTTTCATCCGCATTTGACATGTATAACCAAAACAAAACAATTTGCAAAGATACATAAACGAGCTAATTCTAACAGGTCAAGAAACATGACTAAGAAGATTATACAAGTTTTCCAAGCTGACTTACATCAACAAGCTCAGGCACATAGGTGATAGCAGCACGGCCATCAAGGGGTGATATGACAGCACTCTCAATCCCATTAACCTCTCCCAATACAGATTCTATGGATGATGTACAAGACGTGCACTTGATTTCCCCTATTTTGAACTTAACAGTCCTAACCTTCTTATATTGTTTATTACTCTCTTCAGGGACAGTAATTGCAACATTCTCTGACGGCTTCAGTAAAGGTGCCTTTAGATCATCCTCCTTCCCGTTGATTTCCATCTCACCATTTTCACCGACCGAGCCCATATGTGCTGAATCAGAAAGATAGAAAAAAAAAAAAGAATCAGTTAATTTTTTTTTAATTCCATAGGAAAAACAACAAGGTTAAAAAATTAATTTAAAAAATCAAGAGCCGGCGAAGTAAAATTAGGTCTAAAAAAAAAGTGGTTTTTAACATTTACCAAACAAAATTCAATAATTCAGCCAAATCAAGCCATTCAGCAGGTTTTTAAAATTTACCAAACAAAATTCAATAATTCAGCAAAGTCAAACCATTCGACACCACAAAAAAACTATGGTCTCGTCAATTAAAAGAAAAGTAAATCGAAGCCAATAGAGATAAAATGAAAGGAATTGACATGATAAAAACCTCAACTCGATAAAATTAGTAATTAAATCAAAATTCCCCATTTTTTTCGAAACGAAAAATCTTTCCAGAAGTCAATAGAAATACCGAGAAAAAGAAGAAAGGATCCTTACTTTTTGAAAGCAATCGATCGTTGAAGACGGTAACACGAGAAAGAGGAAGAAAGAAGAGAAATTAGGGATTAAGATTTGTCAAGTAGGGTTCAGTTTCGTAGGTTTTGATTGAAATGAAGAAGAAGGGCAGAAGTCGGCAAGAGAGAGTTGCGTCGCGCGAGAGAGTTCTGATTTTTTGGGGCTTTGCGGTTTTATATTGTGTTTTTGAATTTTTGAAATCTTTAGCGGTTTACTTCAAAGCGTTCCCACACGGTTTCATTGATATAGAAATCAAAGTTGACCTTGACTTTTTCGTCCCTCTAAAGCTTTATTTAGTCTAATTGGTCCCTAGTAATTGTGAGTTAATGATTAAATCTTTAATCTATTGATATTTTGATTTTAGTATCTCAAATTATTTACAAATAAACTTGTAAGTCAGTGGTACTCTTGTATGAACAAGAAGGATGAGATCTGAATTCGAGTCTAACGTTTACGAAAATATGGCATGTCATAAATAAAATTGGATCTGCAATGGAGTAAAATTATAAATTAATTTCTCTAGTTTTGAAAAATAAATTAATTTTTCATCTTTGTTTCAAAAATTTATTATTTAGTTCATTGATTAGTGTTAATCATAATTAATTAATATTATTTTATTTCAAAAACATGTTTTTTTTCCATCAATATTTCCATAATATCTTTTTTATTTATTTTTATTAAAAAAAGAAATGAGAAAATAAGATAAAAGGAACTAAATGATTAAATAATTAATTTTTGAAACATAAAAGGTTAATTAATTCATTTTTTATCAAAGTATTTCTTGTCACATTGAAGATGTTTCATGCATCAAGTTTGGCAATGTATGCATTTGCATTCAAAAAGCAAGCAAAAGTTGGTTTCTTCCACCAATTAGAGCTTCGTAATTGGTGATGAATCCCAAGCATGACAACCTCAAAAAAGTTTCTTCCCACTAGGAAACTACTTTTTGGCCCACAACTATGATAAAGCAATCAAAAGTATTGAATAATTAAATATTCTATATCTTAATATTTAAATATGTATAATCTAACACGTTAAATTAAATTATAAAAATTCATATAAATATTAATTATAATTTAATGTGCTACGTAGAGTTACTACAATAGTTTCATTACAAATATAGATATTATCTTTTTATATTGGTAGGAGATTAAAAAAAAAAATCTAATAAAAACTCTTAATATAATCATAGAGTGAACATAATTTATCCAACCACATAAATCTTATATTATATAATTACTTATTGTCTTTCTGTTTTATATTCTTACTTGATTTGTTTTTTAACATAATATTTATATATTTTATAGGTTTTTTTAATAAAATAAATTCAATCCCAATAATTTTAATTTATTTAATTATTATATAAGGAGAAAGAATTATCTCAATGTACTAATAAAAAAATTCATGAATCTCTCATGCATATCATTGTCATCTTTTGTTTTTTGGCACTTTCTCAGCACCTGTCAATGCTCCCCTTCGAATTCTCACATTGACATGGCTTTTTGATACCCTAAATGAAAAAGAAACGAGTCTCATTAATCACAAGGTAATCACCACTAATTAACTATGCAACTTTGGCTTCATGGCAGACCCAAAAAAAAAAAAAAAAACATAACTCTAGCGATTAAATAGGGTTTTGCTACCAACTAGATGTTATGTTCTTTCCAACCAAGTCACGGGTTCGATTTTTACCTTGAGATATCTTGGGCTACATGTTGTTGCCTCTGGACCACTTTCATCATGCTAGATAGTCCTTTATCCTCTCTGTTCTTAGGGCATGCGTATTACTTTAGATTCTAGCACTTTTTCAGTTGCCACTACAATTTTACAAAGGACCCAAAACTTTGAGAGCTTTTACACAACCAGTGATGGCAAAGATGCACAATGTTGTTGGAATCTGATCAGAATTGCTTTGTGATGACCAAATTTACGAATCCAAAGAGTGTAAGGTCAAGTCCTTCCAATCTTCTTGGTGCCCATGAACTGCAACTTGATCTCGTTCACGCTATCTAGGCAACATCCTGACGTAGACAGTGGAGCATCTTATGTTTGGACTTGTCACAGTAAAAGAGCAAAAGTTGGGTCTGCAATTATTCTCGTGAGGTTTTTTAGGTTAAGTCACAGCTTTTGAGTCTGCAATTGTTCTTGTGAGCTTTTTTTTTTTTAGTTGAGTCATAGCAGTGGCACACCATACCATGTGCATGTCAAGATCAAAAGAGAATCAGAAAAAAACAGTTCCCAGATCCGAAAATAACCATCATGTTTATTAAATTTAAATCATCGACTAAGATATAACCGGTAGTGTTTTTTTCTTTAAAAAAAGAATCCAAATATAACCATAACGTGATAGTGTGCTAGTAAACAAATATCGATTCATAGGCCAGGTCAGTATTTTTGAGAATTTATTTTTAAAATATATAAGATCGTGCGTTGAAGAATATCCTTTAGCCACGTTTCGAGAAAAATTAGTCTCAAGATACGTAAAAGTTAATCCAAAAACATTTTTACTATTGAATCTAAAATAAAAAAAGGAATCCAACATATAACTTTTTATAGTTTCTCTCAAGATTTGATATGGAGTTGCTATAAAGCCTATAATGCCCACATCATCAAATATTGAAGTCTATAACACTATTGGATTTTGTTTTTTTTTTTTAACTAGGTATATCTATCTCATATTAGAGATATGACTAATTTTGTTTGAAATAAAAATAAAAATATTTAACTCTTCTCAACATATATGATTTCACGATTATTTGAATTTTGTACATTAATATAAAATTTGTTTAAAAACCAACTGGTTTACTAGTAGACCGATAACTTATTAGTATATTGTTGAATTCTTTAAGATGATATTTTTATTCATTAAAATGTGGTGATCCAATAAGTATTAGTATTGTGTCCATGTTGGTCTTCTAGATTTTTTCATTGAGATGATTTTTTGTCGTCAAATAAATAATAAATAATACTTCCTTTATCTTTTAGAATAACAACAACAATAATATATTTTTTAATGAATGTTTTTATTTTAAAGGATTTATTTTTATTGAAAATGATGGACGTGGAGAAAATTTTGGCTCCTTAAGATGATAATAAAATATGGCACGGTTAATTTTCTTTATCTTTTATTTATAACACAACTTTTTGTCAAGTTGATATGATCCAATAGTTCTAGTGGTTTTAAAAAATCTATGTATAAACACAATTGAAAAGGTACGAAATATCCACTTTTCACCTTCTTTCGTAATTTTTTTTACCTTTTACTTTCCCTTTCCAAATCTCATAATTGTGATCATATTTATCCGTACCTTAAAACTCACTAAAAAAAGAATTCAAAAGATGATCCACTTTTTGCCTTAGCTATTTATTACTAACAACAGAGGATTCTAGTGTGGAAGTTTTTGAAAAAATTGAGGCTAATTTTAGAAAATTTTAAACTACAAGGGACATAGTGAAACATTGCACGACCAGTCGCACACGTCGATCCTAAGGCACCATTCGAAACATTTTTCCTTTGAATAAAACAATTCTTCGAATCATGTCATGCAATTAGAGAAATTATTACACGAATACGATCCATCATTTAAAAGCATAGATCAAACAAATAGAATCATTATAAATAATTAAATTATTCTAAATCCTTTACTAGTAAATTGTTATTTTTGTTATGTTTTAATTTTTTTATTTTAAAAAATAAAAAAGAAAAAATAAGTAAAAATATGGATATATTGATTAAAAAAAATATTTCTATAAAATAAACAAATATTAAATTAGCAGTGATCAACACTCGTTAAAAGGATTAAATAATTAATTTTTAAAACTGAAAAAACTAACTAATCATTTCTTGAAATTAAAAGGACTAATATATATATTTGCCGTGAACTACTATAATTATAATAACCTACGAGATTAATGTATAGTGACAAATCACAATTGTTTACGTAGAAGTATAAGCACTAAGTCAATACAATAAAAAATATAAATAAATACCGAGTCAATAATTCAAATAATAATAATAAAAAAAACTAAGTCAATAATCAAGTCTTCTCGAAAGAAGAAGAAGAAGAAGAAGAAAGTCGATGATCAAAAGCACTAACATCAACAACAGAGTCCAAGGAGCCAAAACATGGGCTTGGTATAATGCACACGGGCCTAAGTATATGGCCTAAATAAAATAGTAAATTATAAACTAGTTCTTCTTATTTTAAGAAATAAATAAATTAATCTTTTTTTTTAAAAACCAATTATTTAATATTTTAATTTTTAATTTTTTTAATTTAATCATTTTCGTTATTTTCAATTTACAAAAGAAGAAAGAAAGAAAGAAAGAATTGATGAGAAAAAAATGATATTTTATAAAATAAAATAATATCAAATGACATTCAATGTAAGTAAAATTTATTTATATTTTTTAAAAATAAAAAAACTAAATTAATTACAAATTATCAAGTTTTATATAAAAGTATACAGATTTGAAAAATAAAAAAATTGTAACTTAATAAATGTTAAAAGTATTTATTTATAAATAATTCAAAATATCCATTCAAGTAGGGAAAAAAACTATAAATTAGTTGAATAATACGCGTGTTGAAACCTAGTTAATCAAAAACCAAGTTACAATCCAGCTCTTTTTTTGTTAATATATTTTTAAGTTAGTCCACCTCTGTTCCCATTTTTGCCTTTTGCCAATTTTTAATAAATGTTAATATATTAAAAAAATTGTAATTTAATTTTTAATTTTTTTAATTTAATCATTTTTATTATTTTCAATTTACAAAAGAAAGAAAGAAAGAATTGATGAGAAAAAAATGATATTTTATAAAATAAAATAATATCAAATGACATTCAATACAAGTAAAATTTATTTATATTTTTTTAAAAATCAAACAAACTAAATTAATTACAAATTATCAAGTTTCATATAAAAGTATACAGATTTGAAAAATAAAAAAATTGTAACTTAATAAATGTTAAAAATATTTATTTATAAATAATTCAAAATATCCATTCAAGTAGGGAACAAAAACTATAAATTAGTTGAATAATACGCGTGTCGAAACCTAGTTAATCAAAAACCAAGTTACAATCCAGCTCTTTTTTTGTTAATATATTTTTAAGTTAGTCCACCTCTGTTCCCATTTTTGCCTTTTGCCAATATCTAATAGGCCCAAAGCAAACAACAAAATGCTCTTTGCCTTTTGAGCCAAACCCAAGTGTTGGGGCCCAAAAATAAAAGGCCCCAACATAGTTACATAGTTTAACACGCAGACAAAAAGTAGAATCAAAAAGAACATTTTGGTCCTTAATAGTTTGACAAAATCAAATTAGGTTCTTCTTGCTGACGCTGTGAGTGACTGACACTCCCGCTAGGGTTTATCTTCATTTCTTCTTCGTCTTTAAAAAAAAAAAAAAAAACCCCAATTAATGTTCTTCAGTTAGGGATTTCTTTTCCCTTTCTTCACAAATTCACAGTCTTCCACAGAAGATCGCTCCATACCCAACGCAATGGGTAAAAACGATGACGTTTCCTTCACTTCATCTTCTCTCAAAATCCCTCCTTTCCGTCACCACCAAACTAAACACTCTCTCCCTTTCTTTGCTCAACTCGCCATAACCAAACTCAACTTCACCAACCGCCTCGACTCACTCCTAACCCGCCCATCAACTCGGACTCCCAACTCACCTCTCCTTTGCTCCGCTTCACTCTCCCTAAGTCAGCCCTCCTCCCCCGGTTCAGACCCTAAACCACCTCCTATCCTCAGCTCCGCCTCGCTGTCGCTGAGTCAGTCACAATTCGGTGAGTCGGCTCAGCCAGACTCGCTGGTGGCTCAGCAGAAGAGTGCTGGGGCGAGTGGGGTTCATGGGCCTAGTCGGTATGATGAGGAGAGGGTGTTGATAAGTGAAGTGCTCGTGAGGAATAAAGATGGAGAGGAATTGGAGAGGAAGGATTTAGAAGGTGAGGCTTTAGCGGCGTTAAAAGCGTGCCGTGCTAACTCGGCTCTTACTGTTCGCGAAGTTCAAGAGGATGTGCATAGGATTATTAGTAGTGGGTATTTTTGCTCCTGTATGCCTGTTGCTGTTGACACCCGTGATGGCATTCAATTGGTTTTTCAGGTATGTTGGACCCACCATACATAGTCTCAGTGCCCGTAAGCTGGCCGAGAATGCCCTGGGTTATAGTGTTTCTTGATTATAATTGGAATGTTTTTCAGCTTATGCTTATAGAAAGTTTTAGTCTTTTAAGTGTTGCGGTTTGCATTATGCATTTCTTTAGGGTGAGGAAATTTGATTGATAGTAGACGTTTCTATGGTTTTATCTAAGTTTCTTTTTGTAGGCAACGCAGTGTTATGGGTTGCATTAATGACTAATGCTGCTTTCTTGTGGCATAAGGTAGAACCAAACCAGGAGTTTCATGGTCTAGTTTGTGAAGGAGCTAGTGTTCTTCCGACAAAGTTTCTACAGGATGCTTTCCGTGGTGGATATGGTAGGTTCTATTTGGTGTTGCATGTTTAGATATTTGATAATATATGTTTTTTGTAGAGCTGCTCGTTTTTATCTTTCCTCCCTGCCCCCATATCTTTCTCTCATAATTTTGAAAATTGTTTAGCCCTTCTATTTTTTTTCCTTTTTTCCCCTTAGATGTATAATGTCTCAAACTAAGTAGATTCTACAGTATAGACATGTCTTTTTTTTTCTTTTTTTTTGGGGTTGGGGGGGGGGGGGGATTTAAATTATTGTATAATTCTGATGTAGGGTAATGGTTTGGTATCTATCCATGTATATGTTATGAGTGTTGTCATGCTTCATGTCAAATGTCCTAATAGGATGCTTTTGTTGATTTTAATTTTGGTGTCAAGCTGTGCAGGAAAAGTGGTAAATATTAAGCATTTAGATGAAGTAATAAGTTCTATCAATGGCTGGTACATGGAGCGTGGGCTTTTTGGCATGGTTTGTGCTTCATCTTTCATGATATTATATTCATGTCACATTTTGGCTAACCTGGGATTTGACTACCAGGTTCTCCTTGGTTTTTTATTACAACTTCTATATTAAAATAGGTCTTCTTTTACATTATTATAGGTTTCAAATGCTGAGATTCTCTCTGGGGGTATAATAAGGTTACAAGTTGCAGAAGCAGAGGTGAATGACATTTCCATACGTTTTCTTGACCGAAAAACGTAAGAGCTTTCTGTCATTTTGTTACACAATCTCATCCACCCTCCCACACACCCAGACATGGACACTGAGAGACTCATGACTAATATGTGTTTTCTTGCTCTTCAGTGGTGAACCAACCAAAGGGAAGACAAAGCCTGAAACGATACTTAGGCAACTTACAACCAAAAAGGGACAGGTAATTCCTGGTGCAGCTTTTTTTGTACTCTCACAGTATATGTCAAGATTCCATGTATATAGTGCTGATTTCTGGCTGAACCAAGGTGGCTTCAGCATTCTTCAGCTTTCAGAGCCTTTTTTAGTTTCTGTATTTTCTAGCCTTTCTGTGGTCTTTAGCTATATTTCACTTCACTTCCTTTTTGTTTTCTGTGAAGGATTTTTACTCAAACTGTCATTTATGGAAATTAACTTGAGCTAGTGCTTTGCATACTCACTGACAAGCTTTTTTCTATCTGAAATGGCTTTTTTGTAGGTCTACAGCATGCTTCAAGGAAAAATGGATGTGGATACTGTGTTAACTATGGGAATTATGGAAGATGTTAGCTTTATTCCCCAACCTGCTGGAGGTGAAAAAAGATGTTATGCATTGTAAACATTCTTGCGATAGATACATGTTTTGAAATATCATATTCTGAGAGATGCTAACTGAAATATACATCTATGCACATACATGTACCCACACTCCGCACACACATTTATGTCTGTGTGCATGCACATGTCACATGCTCATTTGTGCATGTCAGTGGATTGTTGCAGTAACATTGAAAGCATGTTTTAAGAACCATGGGTAGAATCCACTTGAGAGTCCTCTTGAATAAATCTGTTTTTTGTGTGATTTGATGTCATTTGGTGTGCCCAGCATAACACAGAAGATTTGATCTTATACCTTTTGAAATATTCGATGCTTTTTGCTAGTGATCGAGTCTCTTCTTTGTTATACATATTTTCAGAATAATCATTTATGTAGCATGGTTGAAGGGAGCTGCTTGTGTGCATACATGAACTTCAGCTGTTCTATCCAAGTCATTGAATTTTAAAATTGTTTTTGGCAATCTCTCTTTGTTTAGATACCGGTAAAGTGGATTTGATAATGAACGTTGTTGAACGTCCAAATGGAGGTTTCTCCGCTGGTGGTGGGATATCAAGTGGGTGAGTGATATTAACTTGGAGTGCACTGCTACCATGCTTTTCCACCTAATTTACATGTATATTAGTCATATTTTTGGTTGATTGAAAACATCATATACTGATTACATTGCTATTTCTAGGATCACAAGTGGCCCTCTATCAGGACTTATTGGAAGGTAATTTTACTGAATACATGATGTGGTTGGTTTAGTTTTCCTCCCAGATATGCTTGTTGATTCTTAATTATAGGCTTTGTCATTATGTGGAAACTTGTGAGGAATTCTGTTTTCCCTCATAGTTGCTCTTATTTCTGTTGCAGCTTTGCATATTCTCATAGAAATGTTTTTGGACGAAACCAGAAGCTTAATATTTCCCTAGAGAGAGGCCAGATTGACTCAATCTTCCGCGTAAACTACACAGACCCATGGATTGAAGGGGATGACAAGCGGACTTCTAGAACAATTATGGTTCAGGTAGATTTTATATGTTGCGTTTGGTTACAACTACTTATCTTCTTGATGATAATGTAAAAGTGCTCATTGTTGTGTGAATTATTCTGCCTGCACCAGAATTCAAGAACCCCTGGGAATCTTGTTCATGGTAACCAACCTGGCAACAGTAGCCTGACCATTGGCAGAGTTACAGCTGGTTTAGAATTCAGTAGACCACTCAGGCCAAAGTGGAGTGGAACAGTCGGACTTATTTTTCAGGTACTTGATTATTGAAACTTGGCAGCATTAATGAGGTGAAAACCTGATCTGTCTTTCCACAGCTTTCCCTCGATAATAATGATGTTTTGAATGAATCTCTTCATATCTTCATAGATTAGTCACCTGGTTCTTGTTATTCTATGTTTTCTGTGCCAACAAATCTTTGGATGCCTGTTCCATTATGTAATGCCTTAAAGTTCTTCAAAATAACTTAAGGAATTTTGATATCTCTATGGCTCACTGGGCCTGTATGGGAAGAGATAAAATGCCTATTTTGGCTCCTTACTCTAGTTTTGAAATTTTTATGCTCTTTTTTACATAACAATTTGGCATAAGCTGTATTATCTACTTTTATTTATTGATTCCAATATCTCAGCATGCTGGTGCTCGTGATGAAAACGGTAATCCTATTATTAAGGACCATTACAGCAGCCCTCTTACTGCAAGGTACACATCTCTGGTAGAAAACTTTTCAAGGTTTGGGTGGAATGGTTCATTGGTTGTCAATTGTGAATATACTTGCTTTGTGATTTACTGTTTTCTGTTTACATTCATGTAATGCAGTGGGAAGACTCATGATGATACGCTACTTGCTAAATTTGAAAGTGTCTATACAGGTTCTGGTGATCATGGCTCTTCAATGGTTAGTAATATATAACTAAGCAGGGATTACCTATCCTGGTATTTTATTATAATATGCTCATTAAAAAATGAAAAGAAAAAAGAAGAAGAAAGAGAAGTCTGCATTTTTGGTTTTTACTGTTTTATGGATTAGCATTTTTGTCTTTGCAGTTTGTGTTTAACATGGAACAAGGACTACCTCTTTGGCCCGAGTGGCTGTTTTTCAACAGAGTTAATGCTCGTGCTAGAAAGGGTGTAGAAATTGGTCCTGCTCTCTGTCTTCTGAGGTATGGTGTTTATTTCTATTTATTTATTTTTTTTGTCTGTGAACAAGCCTGTTAGGTAGCTTAAATGGCCTTTCTTGGGGATATGGGATGAAAGTTTCATATGTTAAACCGCTATGGTAGCAGTTGTTGCAATGCCTTAAGCAGCTTTGTACCAAGTTGCTGACTATTCAAAATTACTGAATTATTTACTTTGGCTGGAAAAGTATTTTGTGTTCATATGGCGGGGAAAACAATAAAAGCTTTATACTAAATTAGCGCATACTATCCAGAATGCTAAAGTCCACTAGGTTTTATCAATAGCTGATAGAACACATCATTTTTCTTGGCTCTCTGCTTGTATTCTTATTGATATCAAAGCTTAAGCAATAATGTGGTACTGTTGGCTCACTTGCTTTTCTTTTTATTTCCAGTTTGTCTGGCGGTCATGTGGTGGGTAATTTCTCTCCTTATGAAGCATTTGCCATTGGTGGAACAAACAGTGTGAGAGGATATGAAGAGGGAGCTGTAGGCTCTGGTAGATCTTATGCAATTGGCTCTGGCGAAATTTCTTTCCCTGTGGTAGGTGATCGCAAGAGACTTTTCTTTTTGGTCTCTATGAACATTGTACCTCTGGCTTTTTTGTACTGGCCTTGTAGTTTTATGAATCCTGAGGTCCACTTTGATGATTGCTCTGCATGCTTGACACCAAATGCCAACATAATCCAAATGTCAAGGGAAAGCTTTGTTAATTTGTACTTTGCTTTTCTTTCTTTTGCAGTTCGGCCCGGTGGAAGGAGTTGTTTTTGCTGACTGTGGAACTGATCTAGGATCCGGATCCACAGTGCCTGGTTTGTTTTCTTGTGATTTCTTGATCCACTATTTAGAATGTTGTTTCTGTAGATGGATAAAGTTTTCGGGGCGGAAAAGGATGGTAAAATAGGCATGTGTTATATGTTCTCTCCTTGCATTAAAAGCTTACGGTACTTGATCCAACAATCACTCTAGAAGTGGGGTGGGCTTAGCAACCCCTGTCGTGGGATACAGAGCTGGCTTATGACAAAGGTTAATGATTCAAAGTACGACAGTCTTATTGTTGCTCGTCCATGTAGGGCATGGTTATTTAAGAGAGCAACTTGCTGGCTAATTTATATGTGGCGTGATTGCTGAATTAATTTGTTTTGATTCTTCAAATAGGGTGTACGCAAGGGTTGACAATTATATTGGCACTGGGAGCTGCATTTTACTAAAATGATTTTCACATTTCACCTATACCTCTGTTTTTTTCTTCTTCTTTGTAGGTGATCCTGCTGGGGCAAGGCTTAAGCCTGGAAGTGGATATGGGTATGGCTTTGGCATCCGTGTCGACTCCCCTTTAGGCCCTCTTCGGCTTGAATATGCATTTAACGACAGGCACACAAAGAGATTTCATTTTGGAGTAGGTCACCGAAATTAAGGGTTTTTTTTTTTTTTCTTTCCTGTTCCCGAGCCCTTTTCGCAATCAATTCTATTGTTTTGTTGTAGAGGCCAATTGTTTCTGTTTCTTTTTTTAAATGCATCATCTCTGGCTTTTAGTCCCTGTGGCATGTTTGAGTTTTTCTAAAACTCATCAATTCCATCACTCTGCATTATTCTTGCATTTGCAGACAGACAGGATTTATTTTTGATCTGTGCATTCATTATGGTTGATCACCTTCGCATCGACAAATTGTCTACATCGAATAAATCGAACTCCTCCGTTTTCCTTTCACTGTCCATCATCTATGTTTACTCGAAGTGTTTGGTCTTTGCATATGATTTCATCCAATTTCATTCTGCTTTGCCCTTTTCAATTTGGATAAGTAACTGTTACCAAACCTCAAGGAGAACTTTCCTCCTGTCATTAAAGGAAACCTTCAATTGCATGCATAAATTCGGCTAGCGATTTTGTCTCCGGTAGTTATATCACTGAGACACTGACACACTAGTTTTCTTGGTTGGCTCGTAACGAGAGGACTCTTGTTGTGTAGCTTTGATAGTAATGACTACATTTAATTTTAATTTAATATTATTTTATTATTAAATTTTTTAATTTTTTTTGCTTATCAGTCTTTCCATAATATCTATTTATCTTTTAAAAACAAAAAACAACATAAATTGAGAAAGAAAAAAAATAGATGAAAATAATTGATAATTTACGTGTTTAGAGAAAAATAGATGAAAATAATTGATTAATTAATTCATTTCTCAAAAATAGAGGAACTAATTTATAATTTACTCCATTTTTATTTATTCTTTTTCCTTCGAAGGCCTATCCAAATAATAATATATAAATAAATAAAATTGTCCAACTAATTCAAGCAGCAAATAATGTGTATTTAAAGTAGGCAGCATTGCAATAGTACTTCACAAAAAAATAAATGTAGCTTGCTAAATTGTCAAAAGGAATAATTGAAGAAAGCAAAAGTAGGTATGTGGGGTATAATTAGCTAATGCATACATTTTGTTCTATTTATTCAGTAATTAAGGACAATAGATTTAATATGGTAGTTGGATTTACAGACTTATGAACCCTCTTTTCTTCATTTATTTACATCTTGTTAGAGAAATCATCTAATTTACATATTTAATGTTTTCTTATATTTATATTTTTTATCCTTTTGAGAAAAAAAAAAAAAAGTCCTAGCTGTTGTATGTAATTTTCTCTCCAGCAATCGTCGTTTTTCATCTCTTTTTCTTTTGTTTTTTTTTTCATTTAACTAATTCATATCTAAGTTCATATTATTTTAGATCTGATTCTTTTGTTTTTGTTCTTGTTCTTGATTTTTTTTCTATCAATTTATTGGTTTTATTTTCCTGCATAATAGGCTTTTATATAAAATAAGTGGTGGTTATTTTAGTTCTTACCGTGGTAATATGACATTTTTATTTTATTAATTACTAATTATTAACATTAACTTCTTGATCAATCAAGTATTGAATATGGACAGAAAGTCTTTAGAGAAAAATAAATAAATAAATAAAATGGTCTTTTTAATAAAAAAAATAAATCTATGAATTGTAGCAGCTTAGAATATTTTTTTCAAAAACCGGTACAAACCATTTCCAAGAAAATGGCATCCAACAAAGACAGCCTTAGGTTAAAATCGTACTTGTCTAATTTATGGTTTGAACTTGTGATATAGCCCTTAGCCCTACTTTATCAGTACCATTCTTCTAGCAACATAAGCATAGCCAAATAGCTCAGTTAAATTGTCATTTCAATTTGACAGGAAAAAAAGTTTGGTTTTCAAAATGGTTCAAACGTGTGTATTTTTGTATAAGTTTTTGTAGTGTTAAAACTATTAGGACTTTCCAAAAATACTTCAAAAATATATATATATATATATTTTTAGTATTTTTTGAAATATCAAAACTATCTAAAAATATCAATTTGATATCTTTTAAATCCAAATATATTTATCAATTTGATATCTATTAAGGTATTGTAGGTCCAAAAATTGAGATTAATTTCTTTGTTTGGTTGGATGTACAAAATGGATACAATCCTCTAAAAAGTTTTTTGTGTCATGTATACAAGAATTTGAATCCGAAATCACTTGTTTAAATGATTAGAGTTTTTTCTATTTAAGCTAATCTCTTGAATTAAATCCAAAAACATTTTTAAGCATAATGCAACCACAACATTAAACCAACAATAAAACTCATCTTTATTAGTCTCAGCATTCTCATTTTTTAAAAAAATTAAAAAATTTGAGCATGACGAGATTAGATTTTGTGCAATGAAACTAAATTTTTTTTCCTATTGCATCTAAGACAAAAAAAAAATCGATACTATTTATATTTTCAGTGTAAAAGGGGTATTTTTATTAGTTTCTTAAACATAAATAGATTCTTATCTAAACTTCAATATTTTAAGTAGTGCTTATAATTTCTTCGTACCTAGCAAGTTATGCCAATTAAGGATAGCTTTGGAACTTTAAAAAATGCTGAGATTGATATTGGAAAATTGTAAAATTACAGAAGCCCAATGTATATATATATTTTAATTTTCCTTGCTATAATTGAATGAACTAGAACTTTTATTTCTTGGGATGGAGAAATCCATGCAAAGCACCGTCGTCATAGTCAATTTCTTGAAATTATGACTGCCCAAGAAACTGTACGTAATTGAGATTATAAATAGACAAAATTTTGGTAGTGTTGAGGAAATAGAGGCAGATGCTTGAACATGCCATAACAAGACATAGACAGGAATGTTCAAAGAACTCATAAATATCCCCTCGTACGTGTTGTCTTGGAAACATGGAGGGATTGGTGCACAAAATCTGGTCAGAAATTGGAGACTCTTTGTTAATTAGTTACTTTGCTACATGTTCAATTTTCTAATAATATTGTTAGTATTAAGATAAGAGAAGAGGATTTATAATATTAATTAGTATAATTTAGTTTAAGCCTGTTAGGGCACACAATTTTACCCACATGTACATGTTTTATAAACCATAATACAAGAATTGATGCACGTAATGTCTCCTACTAATATTCTCCATGCATTCATCCAAACCATGCAAGATTTTGGCAATTTCCAATGGAATGGTTACATGCCAATCCCCAAGATTCAATTGCATGTGAACATGACTAACTTTCAAATGTTTTCTTCAAAAAAGGAAAAAAAATATATCTAATGTTGCATCTAGGGAAACCTATCAACAAACCATTATATATCAAATAACTTCGTAAACTTAGTTTTCTCTTATTTTTAAATATATCATTTCGTCAAATATTTTTGTTAAAATTAATGAATATGTGCATTCCATGCGATAATTTTAATATAATTCGATGAAAATATTCTTATTATTTTAATTACTTGAAATTATTACGTGTAACTTACATTATCGTTAAATCTTAGCGTCATGAGAAGACTTGATGCTAAAATTATGAATAGTTCCCATAATATCATGAGGGATCGGACAAAGTTCTCAACATCCACATTTTAAAATTATGGACCAATATTTTGCACTCCTTTTTCTATTTCTTTCTTGTTCTTGTTTCTTTAAGAGAGCAATATATAGTCTGATGGGCTAAAAGATTTAGAATTTTTATTTATTTATTGGTTCATTACAGGGTTTATGAACCTAGTTAGTCCTCTTCATTACATAATAATTAAATAAATTTGAAATTATCACGATTCAAAAATTACTTTACAAAACAAAAAAAAAGTTATTAGATAAACAGTTGCTGAACTAAACCTATTTGAAATCACAAGAATCAAATCTCGATTTACTAAAGAAGTTATCGAAGTCAGTTTGTGTTGAATATCTAAATTTTGATTCTTTCATTTTAATGGGCATTCAATTTACAACCACCTTCCAACCAAGGCATCAGATGAGCAAACCCTAGAGTGTAAGTATTAGAATATTTTGATTTTGTTCCACCAGCTTGCTTAAACAGCATTGATGCTGCTCTTTCAAGAACTCCTTTTTGGTTGCTTTCAAACCTTTAATGATATCTGATGATGTGTATATATATTATACGTTCGGAAAATGATTTGTATAGTGGATAAAAGACAAAAGAAAAAGTAACGAACAGAGACAATTAATAATCGATCAAAAAGGAGTAAATTATAAATTAGTTCATCTTTATTTGAGAAATGAATTAATTGGTCCCTCTAGTTTCAAAAATTAATTATTTAGTCTTTTTTATTTTTTAAGTTATTTGATTTAAAAAAATATAAAAGTAATAAAAAAATTAGTAAAAAACGAAAAGATTGATGAGAAAAAGAAGAAGATATTTTATAACTATAAATTAGTCATAGTCAATATTGATTAAAATAACTAAATAATTAATTTTTGAAATCGAAACACTAATTAATTTATTTCTCCAAACAAGAGGGACTAATTTATAATCCACTCATCAAAAAGTGGTTTAAAATTATCATCATTACCATTGTTTTTAGGATGAATAGTTTAATATATTCTTATATAATAGTTTAAGTCTTCAATTTATTTCTGTTTTTGTCTTTAAATATTGTTTAAATCTCTAATTTGTACTTTTGTTTAATTTTTTCAACCATAAACAAAATTTTTTGACTAAAATACTCTTGAATAAAATGCAAAAAATTAAAAATTAAATTCTAATGACTTCGAAATAGAATATGTAGATCATGTGGCTTTTAACTTCTTTTTTTTTAATGATCGAAAAAATTGATCCGAAAAATAGATTGAAAACTTAAATATTATTCAGAATATAATAAATGTAGTTAAAAATATAAAGATAAATTAAAAACTCATAGTATTATATAAGGATAGATTAAACTATTTATCCTTGTTTACGTTCATTATTTTTGCTTTATTTTTATTCATGTAATATAGCATTAGTTACTCTATTGGTTATGTTGAAGAAAGAAAAAAACCCTAAACCCTAAACACAAATAGTTATTACTTTACATTTATTTGTTTGACTTTGATTATTACCATAACTATAAGGGGGTCAATCAAATTCTCTACCTTTTGTTTTAGAAATCTTGAGTTGAATTAACTAGATATTGGAGATGAAAAGACTCTAACTTGACTAATTAGCTAGGCATGAGCACTTAGGTCAAATTCCTTAAATAGAATGACAATTAACCACCTAATATTGTTGACATGAATGAGATAAAATTGATTACAATATTAATTAATTAAAGCTTTGAGAGATTGGTTAGAGCTAAATGCAATTACTTTCCAGTTTTTGAAATCAAAACGAGAAAAAATGAAAGAGATTGATTGCATTAGCTCTGGATGTAGATTAATTATATACTTGATTAAGAATTCAAGACTCAACCATGTTATGATTTATTTTTATATTCAAAATTAAATTGCTCCAAAAACATGAGCACACTATAAAATAGTCCCTCTAGTTTTTCAAACGAGTCAAATGGTCTTTTTAGTTTCAAAATTTAATTAATTTCTCGATTTATGTGTGTCATCCTTATGTAGAGGCCATGCTAATTTTCGTTGTATTGTTCGAATTTTATCGGATGTCCTTTAAGGGATTCAAAATTTAATCAATTATTTTTTTGTATTTTTAAATTTTTTTGTAACTTAATCATTTTTATTTTTTTATTTTAAGAAATAGAAAAGAAAAAAAATACAAATATTGATGAATTTTTTTTTAGAGTAAAGTATATTAAATTAACTGTGATAAAAACTATTTAATTCGTTTTGCAAAACTAGGGGCTAATTTATAATTTACTCCTAAAAATATCCTCAAAGTTTAAATATTAATTAATCAATTAGATCATTACAAAAATTACGAAATGAACACTAATCATTTCTCAATCTTTCTCACACGAAAATGAAGTATAACTTTCGCAAAGCGAGTGGAGCCAAACTTTTTCTTTTACTTTTTCATGTCTTCCTAGAATTCAAACAAAATATCGTACGTAGTGAAGTTTGAACTTGAGAAACTTAGGATTTTGTCCAATAAACAATACGTTATAAACTATATCGTAGTATATATACTGAGACAACAAGGTCAGTGTTGCTGTAACTTTCCTCTACACCTTTGTCTCTGGTCATCGATTCTTAGGTTCCCAAGAACACCAAGAGACTCATTTTTGTGGCTGTCGCCAAGGGCAAACCTTTCAAATTAATCTGTGTGTTTGTGTCAAATCGGCAAACGAATAAGCATAAAAGAACTTTCATCGAAGTCACCCTTATATTCATCGTGTTTCGTCGATTCAGCCTACTTATATTGATTTGTAGACAATGTAATCTCCTCCTATTGAATTGATGAAATGTAAGGAATAAAGGGTAATTGATGATTTGTTTTTCACATGGACTGATTCACAAATCGATACAAAAACAAGGGCTAAAATGTACATTAAATATTCTAACTGCAGCTCCTCGGAGAAGAAGAAGAAAAAGCTCAAGAGAGGATTACCATGCAGTCCAAATTGGGGCCCACATAGAAGTTGTTTTCTGGGAAGTTTGATTCAACATTTTTCTACCATTGCAGCAGCAGGAGATCAACTTTATAAAGCTGACTCCTAAAGCCTAATTAAGCGGTACTTAAATTGTTCTTTGGGTACCATATGTCATAAAAGAAAGACAATTCTCCTATTTGTCTTAGGGTTGCCATGCCCTATCAATTCCTGCATGCAACTCAAATTAGCTCCAAATCTCAATTATATCAAACCTAATCTCAATTAGCTCAAAAATATAGTCAAAATCTCAATCCACTCCTGAAACTATTCAAAATTCTCGATTGAGGTTTTTTTTTCCTAAATTGTTCATCAAGCTTTTTTTTTCTTAAAAAAAAATGTCATGATCCCTACACAAAGCTTCTTAAAGAAAGAAAAAAAATATTTTAGACGAAACTCATTACAATACATCGAGAGTGAAATACGCTTCATGCTATTGTACTATTTAATATTATTTATTTGAATATTTCTAATCAAATATGATACAAAACAAGTTCTATATTATTTAAAGTTGTGATAAATCTACTCTTTCATCTATCTCTATTAATAACCTGTCATCATGATTGGTTAGACTATAGATGAAAAGTCTAATTTGACCCATTTTTTAGTAATGCAAAATTTATTTTGTACTGTATCTGAACATAAAAGTTAAAGTAGACAATACTAAATAGTTGCCATGATTTTCAATTGAGAATTTGTTGAAACTTAATTTAGTAATTCAATTAAGGAAAAAAAATTGCTTAGTGAGTCAATTGAGAATCCTTATATAGTTGGGGAACTGATTTGAGGCTTACCCTTTTTTTATTGTTCAATAAGTTCCTCTCTCTTTGAGATTTTTGTTTTCTGACAATCATACACTCATGAGATTTGAACATGGAGGAAGGAACAAGATAGTACTGACATTAGGTACATAGGAAAGTGATGTAGAGTAGCTAGATCTTTTCAAGTATTTATGTTCCTATGTACCTCGTGAAATTTCACTTCAAATATTTGCCATACACTTCTACTAGCCTGCAAGGAAGCAGCTGAGAGAGAAAGTACAAGTGTAAATGCATGCTCAATTCTTGTTCTTTCACCACCTTCCATACATCATCAATGAAAAAGTTTCTAAAAATTTTCAGCATGAAAGACACCCCATCAAACAATATGATCAACTTATCTACTTCAAAAAAAAGAAAAGAGAGAAATTTCGGATTTTGTTTCATTTTTTTTTCCATTGACAAGTACAATACAGTAAGTACCATATGATTCGTATGTATATAAGTCATAGCTTCATAGCTGGGTCCTTGTTGACCTGTAACTTGATGTAGTAGCATTTGCAGCAGCATGAACTGAACAGTTAGCTAAGGTTTAACCATTCGGGGCTAATGAGCTAGCATGCATACACATGTAGCTAGAGCAAGCCAGCACCAAGACAAATAGAGATAGAGATGGAGAGAGAGATTTGTTGTGAGGGTTAAACACTGAACAGTAAGGTTGGTTGGGACAGTTTCTCAGCTGGTAGTGACCCAAGCCGACATGGGCGCGCCCACCAAAGCAAGTGCTGGGCTGGTTACAAACTGTTGGGTTCCCAAGGAAGAGAGGAAAAAAAAAAAAAATCTGTAATGCAAGAAGATAAAACAAAAATGGCTGTACTGTAGTATACCAGCAAGCATATATACATACATGTATATAATTCTAGCTAGGAAGTTGATGATGAAGAGAGACAGGCCTCAAACCCTATTCACTAACTTTGTCTTTGGTCTACATACTTTACATCAATATTTTTTTTTATTGATCTTCGTCATGAGTTTTTGATATTTACACGTAACAGAGTATTATCATTTCAGATTAAATAAACAAGATTTTGATCATGAGATGGCGGTTGAATTTTAGTACTATTTTAAAGATAATAAGAATATTAGCAACTTAGTTCTTGGTCATTTGTTCTCACAATCTTTTCACACACTATTCAATAAGTAGCTTGTTCTTTCAAGTCCCAAGATTATCTACTACTACTAGTACTACTACTCTCTCTTCTCCACAACTTTCTCACCCCGTCCCCTCATGTTACACTCCTTTGATCTCTCTCTCTCTCTCTCTCTCTATCTATCTCTTTGCTTTAGCATATTTCTGTATTGTTTAGTCACACCTCGCAAGTGATATCTTGTCTCTCCTTTTTTACTCAATTGGGTTTTACTTTATCAACCTTGATCTTGTTCAGTTTTCATTCAACCCTTCCATCATACACACTTCTTTTAATTTGGTGATCTTGTTCAGGCTCCAACTTATAAAAACTTTTAGCCACCTTTAGTTTTTGTTTTGCTCTCTCTTTCTTTCTCGAATAACCTGTCCATCTACCCAAGTCACTGTTCTGGCCTCTCAATCATGGCTGATCCGTATACCAATTACTTAAATGGATGGTATAACTTTAATAACCACCTCCACCATTTATCTGCCTCAGCATCTTCTTCCAATTCATCACTATATGCATCCTATGGATGCAATATGTACTCAGATAATAATATTATGAACAATAACTCTTTCGTTCAGTACTGTCAGTCCTCATCACCACCCTCTCCTCCTCTCAGAGAAGCTCTTCCACTTCTTAGTTTAAGTCCAACAAGGCACCATGAAGATCAACAGGAGTACTCCTCATGCAGTGCCATGGAAGTGGACAAGAACAAGGACAGAGAAGAAAGCCTCCTATGTGATGATGAAACCGTGACTGTGGCTCTACATTTAGGGCTACCTAGTCTTGGTTCTGCTGATTTGTTCTCCAGGCTGCCCTCCACAGAGATCTCATCGGACAAAGAAGAAGTTACTGTTGCTTCTGGTTATCAAACAAGCAGTAGTACTCTTAACAAGGGTCAGTATTGGATCCCTACCCCTTCTCAGATTCTGATTGGTCCTACTCAGTTTTCATGTCCACTTTGCTTCAAGACCTTCAACAGATACAATAACATGCAGGTATGTTTCATCAAATGAACCCATGATCATTTCAAAAAGCTTACCTTTCCCTTCTTCTCCTATCCCTTTCTATGTCTCTCCTTTTGATTTTTGCAGGAAAAGAGTAAAAACCAATTCTTATCCTTAGATTGTACACTTCTTTTCCTAGCTTGATTCAACAATTCACTTTTATTCTAATTTAGATTCTTGAGAAGAGAAGAGTGAATGGGACCTTATTAGGGTTTTTTCCTTTTTCTTTTTCTCTACTTTGACACACATCTTTCCCCTTTTATACTCTTTAATTTAGGTTTCTTAGTCTTTAATTATTCATCAACGCCTCTCCTCTCTCCTTCCTCTCTTTCTTTCTCTCCTTTTTGAATGATTTGTTGCTTTGGGATTTTAAAAGAAAAATAAGAATAAATCAACCTGGTCCAACTGAGAATAAGATCAGTGGCTCTCTTTATGTGATTGAACTACTCAGGCATTATGCTTTTTGTTCCTTGGAGTTTGTGCTTCATCCATTGACAGGTTTGTAAAAACTGAAAATACACAGTTCTTCCACAGGGGGGTCATATGAATCTTCATTAATGCCCTAGCTAGAGGAAAATTTTCTCAATCTGGACTCTGACTCTCATCAGCAAACTACTGTTTGCACATGAAAAAGCCTGAACATGGTTTTGCTTCACTACCTTTTTAATATATTCCGTTTTTTATTTTATTTTTTTATTTTCAAGCACCCATTGTTATTTCATTGCATCTAACACATGCAAAATGAACCTTTAAACTTCTGTTAAATTAGGCAAAACCAGGAATCAAGCTGTACCTTACCTAATCTCTTGGCACACTTAACTGTTCTTTGTGAAGGTATTTTCAAGTAATTATATATTGATTTCAGACTTTGAACCATAGTTGCATGCACAAGACATGCACCAAATTCCCTAGCTATATGATTACAAGGATAAGCCCATGTTTGGTTTTGATCATGATCAAACTTTCAGGTTAGAACACCTATATTTATATATAATGGTAATTATGAAGTGATCTTTTGATGAATACCAGCGAATAGTAGATAACTTTTTCTTTGACTCAATTCAAATATGTCTAAAGCTTGTAGCATCTTTCCTAGTTTATTCAAATTTGGATTCTGCTTTTTATCTGTCTTCACTTTCAGATATGGTCAAGTTGCCAAGTATGTGTTAAGAGGTTTATTATTATTTTTCCTTTTTGGTTGTTTTTCATATTTGAGCATGGCTTGAATGTGTAGATGCATATGTGGGGGCATGGATCTCAGTACAGGAAAGGACCAGAATCTCTAAGAGGTACACAACCAACGGCAATGCTTAGGCTGCCTTGCTATTGCTGTGCTCCAGGATGCAGAAACAACATTGATCATCCAAGAGCAAAGCCTCTGAAAGATTTTAGAACCCTTCAAACTCATTACAAGAGAAAACATGGAATCAAGCCATTCATGTGCAGAAAATGTGGGAAGGCATTCGCTGTGAGAGGTGATTGGAGAACTCATGAGAAGAATTGTGGCAAGCTTTGGTATTGCACTTGTGGATCTGATTTCAAGCACAAAAGGTCCCTCAAAGATCACATCAAGTCATTTGGATATGGCCATTCAGCAAATGGCATTGATTGCTTTGAAGAAGATGATGAACCTGCCTCTGAAATTGAGCAAGATAATGAATCCACTCAGTGAAACTAAAGGCTAATATCTGTTGGAAATTATGATCATGTTAATTTTCAGTCGATACCTCTTGTGTTTTACACAAAAAATCATGGCTCTTTAGAGTAAGAAACCTATTAATTAAGCATTACAGTCACTTTAAAGCCATGCTTTTCTTTTCTTTTTTCTTTTTTTTTCCTTCTTTATGTTTTCTGTCGCTCCCTTTTCCACTTTTGTAGCTGCTTAGTTTTGCAGACTCCTCATTAATCAATGTTAGACCAAGTTTCTGCAACTTTATTTTGTTTCATCTCTCTCTATAGGAGTCTATTGTCATGTCACTAGAGAAGGGGAAAAAAAATCCGTTCCTTAACATCTTCCACCCCAAAAGATTTTTTTTTGGTACATAGTGTATACCAATATTGAAGATGTGAATAAAAAAATTCAATTGTGAAAATTATACATTGAATTGGATAAAAAAAACATATAATTCCATATGCTTGGCAATGTTTAGCTCCTTGAGAATGGAAATGAAATAAAGTGGAAGTTAAAAATTCACAGTTTAATCTTATTTGAAACTAAATCCATTTTAACAATATTAAAAGGCATTTTATAACTAAAGAGAAATTTACGTAGCGAAAGCTTACAAAGTCCAAAAATTAAGGAAAAAATCTTGAAAAAAAAATCCATTTTGAGGGCCTAAACATTCTTTTTTAACTAAAATCAGCCTCCACATAGTATAATTATGATTTTAGTTCATTGGACCATTTCATGTCGAATTAGGCTCAAGAAATCTCAAAATTGGATCAATAAATATTTTTACGAGTTTCAAGTTTTATGGTGGTCTATAAATTCTTAAACCTATTGGTCCGTATCATTCCCCCCAAGTACTCTTGCTCTCGGTATGATTATAAGCAAACTCAACTTAGTACAACTTTTGATCCCAACTCTTGACATGATCATCAACCAAACATTGCGAGCAAGTTTTCTAAAGACCGATTGACAACTACAATTTGTCCGTTTGTCCGTGGGTGATAGGCCATCGTTGAAATGTAGCTATGTATTCATCATCTTCCATGAGTTGCGTCAAAATTGACTAAGGAATCTTGTATCTCTATTAAAAACAATAGATGTCGGCACACCATGCAAACGATAAACCTTTCGAAAATAAAAACGAGTCACATTAACGATATCTCGTAGTCTTCTTGTAAAGAATAAAATGAACTGGCTTAGAAAATGGATCAACAACCACATAGATGTAATCATTACATAGTACATTTTTTTTATATAGATCATACTAACAAATCAGCTTAGAGATAGATGTTACATAGTTATGACTTTGGCTCGTTTTTTACCGTTTCGTATCGAATTAGGTTCAAAAAACTTCAAAATTAGATCGATAGTTTTTTTTTTTTGCAATTTCGGGTTTTATGACCATGTTCATAAATTCTAAGGTTTGTTGATCCGCATAAGAAATCATCTCTAAAAAATTTCCTAATAAAGAAAAAATACTCTACTTAGATGATCCACATCTAATTAGAATAATTTTAATTAGTTCTTGTTTTAGTGAACTGAATGATATTAATTACAAAAGATTTTTATTTTTCATTTTATTCCTAGTATCTAAGGAAAAAACACATTTGGAAAAAAAAAAAAAAGACAAGCCTAAAGTACGAAAAGCTTTTGAGGTTTTTTAACCACAAGTCAATGAAAAAGTGTTTCATTAATGTTTCAAAAATTCAATTGATAAATTAATTAAGAGTAAAATGCATAATTTATGTTTCATAATGCATTGACATCTCTTTGAAAAGTTTTTATCTTTCCTTTAGTGACATTAGACATGAGTTCCTGTTAGATTTAAAAATTTTAATTTTTAAAATCAATTCAAAATTAGATATGTTTTGATACTAATTTAATCCAAAAAATGATCAATTTAATTTCAATTAGCATAAAAATTAGTTTAAAAATATTGCACTAATAATAATGCATCAACGAAACCTTTATGTCACAGGAAAGAAAGAACGAAAGAAAGTATTATAAGATCAAGACACTCCAAGATTTCCCCCATTTATTATATCCCTATTGTATTGTCAATTTCTTGTCTTTAATAATTCCTTTTGTAAGAGTCCTATACTCCAATAAATTATCAAATGAGCATTGAAGAAGGTCAAGGGTGATAGAAATCCCCTTGGATAAACAGATAAAAAGAGCAAAAGTACATCACATAGCCCTTTCCACCATGTAAATTTTTACAGAAACTTTTTCTTGTTGTGTGCAGATAATACCATTGTTTAGTGGTAGATAGTGTGGTTTTTCCAACAGACGTAACATAAAAAAGTTCAAATCAAATGATTAGCAAAAGAAGAGAAAGTAATATACTACATGGTACAATTTTTTGTTTTGACAGATCATACCAGCAGATCAGCTGAGAGATTGATGCTACAAAGGATGATGATGCATTATAGGTAGAAGAAAATGGATCTTGTTGGCAGCTTTGTCAACAATTGTCGTGACATGAGAGAAGGAAAGACAGTGTGCAAGCAGTCAAAGGGGTTCCTCGATGTGTCTTGTCAAGCTACATTACTAGTCAGAGTACATGTACAGTAGGGTTTCTTCAGTACTTGTCTGTAATACCTTTGGCTCCACAAGTTTCTTTCCCATTTCTCTATCTCTCTAAGTAATGGCAGTGCTGAAGTAGTTATTGGTTTTGCAGGAGAGTGTAAAGAAAATGTAAAATGGGGTAAGAAAAAGTGGTGGTGAATCCAACAACGAAAAATGGGGATTCTTTTCTTGTTTTCTTTGTTATTCAGTGACTTGTCATAGCAATTCATCATTTTTATGCTAATGAAACCACCAAGGTGTCAACTAACCATGGACGAATGATGGGGCCTCTTACAGTTCTATGCAAACAAGACCTACCCCACCTTTTTTCGTTTTTTTCCATTTCTTTTCATCTTCTCTAACCAATATGTGCAATAAGATGCATTTACTTGGGAGGATATAGAGTAGGTTTGAAGAGGTTTGGGAATTTATTAACAAAGTAAAACTTAAGAGATTGACTAGGGCTAGGGCTAGTTATGATCTTGTCAAGTGAGAGGATCCTGTAATTTCTTAGCCTATCTATAGAAAATTTGATTGTTTCCTAAAATGGGATCGTTATAGGGATAATTTGAAGACAATCCTATCACAATTGGTATCTTTTTGGATGAAAAGACTACTCTCTTCACAACTTACCTACAAATTATGGTTAAAAGCCCAAGATTTTTACCATTGTACCAAGCAATGTTCTCTTTGGGTGACATGGGGTGATAGCACAAATTAAAGCCAGAGGTTGGTTTTGATGGGGGAAAAAAATAAAGTACGAAAGAAGGTGAGAATAAAGATTTCTTTCAACTAATCTTATTTATTATTGAAAAAAAATACGAATTATTCTTTTAAAAAAATTAAAATTAATAAAATATTTTTAGAATAGTTTTCACTTCAACCGAAATTAAATTCAGTTTTTTTCCCCCCATAATAATATAATATTATGTATCATGATGGCTAAAAATTAAAAAAAAAATTACTAAAAATAAATTTAGTTACGACATAAATATTAATCAATGAATTATAACTTAATTGATATTAATATTTTTTATTTTTTATGTGAGGTTTGATATTTTGAAACTGTAGCTTTTTTTATTCCTTCACGTTCTTAATTATAATTAACGAAATATTTTCAAATTAGTTTTTGTATCAATCGAAATTAAATTTATTATTTTTTGATGATCATATAACATTATGGATCACAATGGCTAAACATTTTTTAAAAAATTAATTATTAAAAATAAATTTAGTTACCACATAAATGTTAATCAATGAATCATAACTTAATTGATATTAATAATTTTTTTTCTATGATGTCTGATATTTTGAAACAATAGCTTTTTTTCTTCACATTCTCAATTATAATTAATGCCTTGGTTGGTTTAGATTGATTTTTGTTTAGCCGAAGAAGTACCGAATATGGTTTGCTATTTCTCAATTGCTTTGTTGATTAAAATCCTAAAAGAAATCAATTTTTGCGTAGTGTTTTTAGGCTGTGACTTTCAATAGGGCCGACATGGAAAAAGTAATGAGATGCTTCACACCTACGCTCCTAATAATTTGTCCCTAAACTATCTCCCAATTCTCATTAGGTCCTCAAACACATAAAATTCCAATTGAGTCCCTCATTTATTAAACATTACCCCTGTCTTTATTTTTTAAAAAACTTTAAGAACATTAAAAAAAATCGTTTTTTTTTTCATAAATTTTAACCCTGAGGTTAATCAAATATACACATTTTTCTTGCAGTTGCTTACATATGTCATTGGCATGTGGAAAAACATAGAATTTTTCTGCAATCTCAAATTATAAAATAGATTACCTTTATACAAATGCATCTAACTAAAGAATGTTCGGGCTTCTAGGTAATTCGATTGCAGGTGTTGATGGTAAAGCAAGATATTTCAAGTAAAACAAATAATAAATCAAGTAAATTGTAAACGAGTCCCTTTCCTTTTGAAAAACAAATCAATGAGTCCTTATGGTTTTAAAAACTAATTAACACGACTGATTTAGTTTTTTTTATTTTATTTTATAAATTTTTTTTTATCAAAATATTTCTGCATTTTTACTTATTTTTTATTTCTTAAAATAAAAAATTAAAATAAATTAAAATAAATTAAATAATTAATTTTTAAAACTAGAGAAATTAATTAATTCATTTCTTAAATCGAGGTGGACTAATTTATAACTTACTCTTAATAAATCTTACTCCGACTTCTTCTTCTTCTTCTTCTTTTTTTTTTTTTTTAGTAATTGTATCTCACGAGGATTACTTGCATTTGATTGTAATAAGCTTGCTCTTTTATGAAGTGAATTTCAACTTCAATATTTATATATCGTGCCTTTTCTTTTTCTCCATGTATTTTTGTGGGCCTCTCTCTTTTCTTTTCTTTTTCTTTTTGATAAATATAACAATAAGTTCTTATATAATACTCAAAATGTTTCATTTGTCTCTTAAACTTTTTAAAAGATTCAATTTGTACTTCCATCGAATTTTTTGACCATGTAAAATATTTTTGACTGAAATGCCCATTATTAAAAAATAAATATTTAAAATCACATGACCTACATGTTTTATTTTTTTGAGTCTTTAATTAGAATTTTATTTTATTTTTATTTTCCGTGTTTCAATCGAAGCGTTTCGGTCAAAAAAATTATTTGATCGAAAGAACAAATTGAATATTTTAAATATTTTTTTAAAAAATGAGATGCAATTAGCAATCTAAAAATAAATGAGAGACTTTGAGTATTATATAAAGACATATAAGTATATTTGCTTTTTTATAAAAAAAAACAATGATTTTTCCTATATTTTAATATGTAAAAATATTATTCTTGAAAAAAGTAGGACATCAATTGCCATTTTTCTTGACAATAAAGATTATCAGTTTTCATCCCAATCTACTTATTCTTCTTTCTATCACATTCAAATAAAAGGGAACAACATTGTTTATTTATTTATTTATTTTTTTAAGATTCATATTCAAGCTAAGCAGATTATGATATTATTAATTAAAAATTCACTAAATACCAAAGAATATTAGGTAAGCAAAAGATTGCATTGAATTACATATATATATATAAAAAGAATAATATTTACAGACCAAAATTAGAGCGAATTTGGCGAATGACTATAAAACTACTTTATTTGAGAGAATCCTGTAAGAAAAAAGAAAAGTAACAAGGGCAAATCAAATCTTGTACCATACGATCTCCTTTTGAAAATTATTATCAAGAAAGTCATCAAGATTTTCATAAAAGAAGAGAAGAAAACAAGTTCTTCCTTAAAGAAGATCAGCAAAAAATAAAAAATAAAAAATAAAAAAATCTTTCTTTTTGGACTGGTCCTTTCTCCCTCAATGTCATGATCACACATGCCATATGCTTGCCTTTAGCAATGTCCTTTGACAATGTTTGTGTTTCTTTGGTTGTTTATGGAGATTCTCCAACTGGGTCTCATTGTTGGAGAATCTGAACAAAAGCTTGAAAGAGAAGAAAACAATCCAAAATGTATGTCTGTTTCACCATTTGCATGAGCCAGGAAGTGTTAGAGAAATCATCTTTTTTGTTCAGTGTTGAAACAAGACAGGAAAATTCTTGAAGGGCACTCTTTGTTGCATATTCAGAAAGCAATCATTCAAATGCTTTATCAGGTTGCAGGGATGAATGTCTACCCTGAAATGATCGTTTTTTTACCAAGTAATTTGAGAGTTTTAAACCTAGCAAAAAATATTCTTTTATTGGATCATAAACATGATATTGTTTTTGGAATGTATTAGCTCGGATATATATAGATGACCTGTTTAAGATCCGACGGAATAAAAACTTAATTTCGATAGCAAAAATTAATTTAATGATAACTTCTAAATTTTTAAGCCCGGTGATTCTTTAAAATAGCATTGGAGTGTTTTTTGAAAAAATATGGTATCTAAAGGGTGTTTAATAACCTATTTAAGTAGTTTAAAAAATTAAGTTATAGTATTTAATATAAAAAGTTTGTATGATAACCTAAATAATCTCATATTAAAAATTTAAATTCAGTCAAAATCTACTTAATTAAATAAGTTAAAGTTTTTAACTTATTACCTTTTTATTAACACGCTCAGTTGAAAGATTCTTTAAACTTTTTAAATATGACTATATTACCTTTATATATTTTTATAATTTTAGATATACAAACTAACCGAAAAACAATTTCTACTATCCTCCTTGCCAAAACAGAGGAAACCTTCTTCATTATCGGTGCTATCATCCCGGAATCTAAAACGCCAATTAATGTTATCTTAGATCGTATTTAATTTTTTATTAAAAATCATTTTTATTGAATTATTTGTACACATAAACACATCTATTTATATATTTTTTTATTTTTGTTAAAAAATTATCATGTTATAATTACAAAATTAAAATTATCATAGAGAGAATCTTAATATGTTCAATAACGGTATTTATCAAATAAGCTTATTAAATTTAGATTTTCAGCAAATATCAAACGGTTTGTGAGGAATATATTCGGTATTTAAAATTCAATAATTAACATATTTAGCACTTAATTTTCAGTTTATCAAACGTATTTCAAAGTTCATTATAATAACCAATTCAGTCTATTATAATTATATCTCATTAATTACTAACTATTAATGTTAATCTCTGGATTACCTAACTACTGATCGTAGGCTGCAATGATATATATATATATATATATATTTCAAAGTCCTGATAAATTTTGGAGTTCAAAAAAAAAAAAAAATGGTTGCAAATAAGAGCCCAAGAGAGGACGAATCCACGTAAAATAGAGGTGCGAAATAAGCTAAAATATAGCATCGAGAATGGATCCAGACTAAATCATTAGTTTCGATAATAAAAAAAAGTAGAAATGATCGCGGCAGTATAATACTACATTTTTCAAATATTATGAGTTGACATGGGAGCCAGTGAGATGAGCCTGGGTGCCCTAGGATCCTGCTCTACCATGCAAGACAAAGTTCCATTTGCCAATTCTTTGATCCATGCATGTATCTATCATGAACTGTGATGCTTTTACTAAAGTAAGCCCAGGTTCTATTTTTCTTGAATTTGCTCAGTTTCATCATTATTGACACGAACTTATGGATCTGAATTCTTATACTGACTACTTTTTCCTGGATTATATAGTTTTTGGTGTACTTTTTAATGAATACATTCAATCAAAATGTCTATCAGATATGCCGATCCTCTTCCCGATAAATGAAACTTGCTCTTTTCTTTTGTTTCTCCTTTAGTTGATGAAACACTTTTCCTCTTTTCCTCTCTTTTTTCTTTAAAGTGAAAGTCTCTTTATCTGCCCTTCTACTATTTCCCCCTCTTTCAATCTGTAAATCCAATCAAAAGCCAACCTTTTCTCTTCTAAGGAAAGACAGGACTAGACAGCTCTAATCCCATGAATCTCTTCATGAGATCCTTGTTTGCATGATTGCTTGTTGGGAGATTTACATGTCCCAGAAACCATAATCTTGTTTTAAAATTACTCGGGAAGAGACCCACCAGACCCCTGGTTTCAGCCTTTTCTTATATTTTCCACCCCTTGTTTCTTCTGCTGTGTTAGGAAAAAGAAGGGCAGAAATCAATTGTGATAACCAAAGCTCTTCTTTTCATCTATTTCTAGAACTACAGCTTGTCCTTAGCCCAGAAACCACTTATTTTCCATGCCAGCAGAAAACATTGAAGCTCATGGGCGGCAAGACAGAGATAAATGAAATGAACTTCATTGAAGACTATGCAATCCAGAATTCTTCCCCTTGTCAACCATCCTTTCCCTCTTACATTTTCACATTAATTTAAGTAATAAGTTTACTACAATTTTGAGGCATTGCTTAATGTAATAGACTATAGAAGGCAAAAGTATTGTGCCTTCTATAGTCTATTATAACGATGGTAACCGCCATATTGTCAAGGACTGTGCTGCCCGTTAGGCCTTCTGATGAGATCAAATTATCGGATGTCAACGTGACATTACACAGGTGCAATGCAGGACGACTTAGTGCTCTGGTTTGGGAATGCACAGATTGTTATATAGGTTGATTTGGCTGTTGCACAACTACAAGCTCATCTCCTCAGGTAGGCTGATTTCAAGAAAATATAGGCTGCAGACGAGTATAGATAGATGTGAGAAAGATGATTCGGATCTTGTAACTAAAAATAAGGATAATGATAATGATGTTTATTCAGATCCTGAAACAGAATCATGTACGGTATGAGTTTTATTACCTTGCAGACATGAAAGCCATGCCAAAGAACACGGCCTTAACAGCTTGTTTCTGACCTGCATAATCAAATGCCAGTGGCAGCATTTCATGCAAGGTTAGGAAAGCCATCACTCCACCAACTGCAAATGCGACATAAATTTACGGTGAGATTGAAATAGCAAATTAATTCTCTCCAAACATTTGAAATAGCTGAGAAACAAATGTACTGCGTACCTGATGCGAGCAAACCCTCAAGAATTTCAGGACTTAAGCTGCTTGGGAATAGATATGCTGCAGTTAAGGATAAAAGGACATTCTTATTGGTCAAAATTAAATAATATCCAATGCTTAGGCATCACGGGCAATAAAAATATGCTGACATACCAACAAGTACCACACCAAGTGGCTCAGCCAAACCAGAAACTGTAGCCAATTTGAATGCCTGCCACTTGCTGAAATGTGTACAGAAACGAAACAGTTAATTTACATTACAAGCACAAGAAAATAAAAATCAAGTCTGTTGAAACAGCTGCACAGAACCTGGAGCCAGAAAATATCAGATAAAGCACATCTGAAGAACACTGTAGTCACATCAATAAGGGCAGCCATTACATATCTAACCATTACGACCCCCTATGCAAGTGGCAATAGTCTGGGGCCAAAAATTATTGACTCTGTCTGCACTATATCATACCATTAAAATGATACTCGCAAAAATCACATTATGCTTTCGTTTATTTGAAATCCTCGTTTTCTTCAGGATTTGAAGATTTGAGGCCAGACAAGAGGGAAGTGAATAGATTCAGGCTCCAATGGTAGCCACTGATGCTACCCCAATAACAGCAGCACTTCTCATTCAATTTTAAAATTTAGCTACAACTCATTGACATAACGTATAAGAATACAGTTCCTTACCCAGGATATTCAAAAAAATATATCAAACTCCAGCACACCTTTCTGACCTCTATGTTCATTACTCAGCCACTCTACAAAGCTATCCCTAGAGTCTAGACTGTCAAAAGGGCAATTATCTCCAGCTCTACCACCACAGTGATTGCCTCCCTATTTTATTTCCAATTAAGTACCATTTCAGGCTACTCCCACACAAAACATACTTCGGACCAATGCTTTCTAAAGGGGGCTTGACTGATCATTTAGAAAGCTGAACAGAACAGTGCCTTAAAGAGATTTTTACCTCTGTGTTGCAAAATAAATAGGAAGTGCAACAGCAACACCCTGTAGAAATGAACACAAAGAAGTTTAGGACAAAACAGAAACTTTCCTCTATTTATTTATATGTAGACGGGAGAAAAGGATTATGTATGTTTATATGCATTCAAGAAACAGCTTTGTGTCTAGATACAGGAAGAAGTGGTAATCAAGGTTTTTGATATTACTGGCACAGTAGTCCACGTGGGGACTAAACACAAAAAATATCCCGTGTTAGGGTAGATCCCCAAGTACAATATCATAGAATTTTTTTAAATGAAAAACATAAAATATTCATGTCTCATAGACATACCTTATCATAAGATAAATTGCAAATCATGTCTATAAAACCAGAAAACACACTTAATACACATCGATGCTGACAGCAGGAGTCATCCTCTCAAATCTTATTTTTTTTTATCCAATCCACAAATAATTGGCACTGTTCGAAGTTCGAAGGAACAACTTAATTCTGGCAGAAAGCAACCACTTTGAAGAATTAATGGCTTATGTAAAAAGGTCATACTAAAGTATTCAAGAAAACATACCTCTGGAATGTTGTGCAAAGCAATTGCCAGAGCCAAATTAAGACCAACACGGAGGCCCTACAAAAACATCATAAAAAAGATGACAAAATCGACTCAACTAAGGATATTAAAAGAGCTTTTTGATCTCAAGATCCAAAATTAAAACAATCATAGCTAGCTTCCAATTGCCAATTGCATTTAATTGAAAGAACATGCACACTAAGATTATTTCTAAAATCATGTGGCACCAATCTATTTACATCCAGGCACTACCAAGCATTGAAGTGGGTTGTGACCGCAGGCAACAGTATAGGAAAAAAACCTCTGGCATCTTAACCCAACATTCTTGGTTGTTATTTTGGCAATTCATAATGGTGCTTTCAAAAGCAGCAAAATTTGATTATTTCAGATGTGCAACAATTTTGTCATTAAAAAAAAATGGAACTAAACAACTCCTTCATCAAGTGCCATTGAATAAATAGAGCAATTGAATGGTTCAGTTTTCGCACCTTCAACACATCAATGTCGAACAAACAATCTCCTTAGCACATAATATTTTATGAATAACAAAATTAAATAGCATGCAAATGCAACCCAGGAAACCCAAAAAGGTAAAAATAGCATGTATCTTTACGAAATTATGCAGTACGCGTGGTGCTAAATTGAACAGATCAAATTTGTTCAGCAAAGTCATATATAAAGACTTTCAGAAAAAGCCTTTGTGTTTCTTTTTTTCAGGATAAAGCTTGATGAGTAGATTTTATTCAAGACCGGTGTATTTTAAGACTGACACATAAGTGCTAGAATTTAATCCGTGTAGATATATCTTAGCTGAAATGAATACTAACACCATAGAAGAATACAAATAAGGCTAAGGCTACCTTAATTGATCCAAGGAACACTGCCATTCCCTCTGGAAAATTATGCAAGCTTATTCCTGCAATCCATGAAAGATAAGATTCAATCCAATCAGACCAGTTTCTGAACTTTTTGAAATAATAGGAAGCTACCAAATTTACAGTTTCCAACTATTGGGGCTCTTAATTCTGATACCCCTGCCAGTTTAGTTAAAAAAAAATTGGGGCAGAAAGCAAATAAAATTGAAGTTAAGAGAGTGATAGAATAGGATCAGAAAAGGTTGTCATGCCTATTGCAGTGATAATCCCACTAAACAAAACTTGGCGACGATGCTTTTTCATAATGTCCTTTCCCCCTTCGTCATTTTTCTGTTCCCAAACAAATTGCCAAATTGTCACTGTACCTTCCAATATTCAAGCCACATAGAAAAGTAGCCATTGTTGAAGTGATAAAACATTTAAGTATCAGGAAAATGTATCATCCAGAACCTTTTTATTTTTAACATCTGAACTTGGGGCAAGTGTTGGCTCTGGGATGAAATTGGCAATGATGCCAAAGAAAACAACACCTCCAAAAAACTGCACCGCCAAGAAATAGAAGAAAACGACAGCTATTAATGAATAAATAACATATAGTTCAATTGAATTGAATTTGATGGGAAAAAAAGGAAAGGTATAGCTAACCCAGAGGTTTGCTTTTAAGAACCCAATTGAGTTGATAGCATTATGAGCAAGATCAAGGAATGATATGCTCAGCATCAGGCCTGCAGCAAAACCCTGCATAGAGAAGCTTAGAAAGTGTTAATGCAAAAACTTTCTCCTGGAGTTTAGTATCACGTCAGGATCATTCATGGTAACTTCATGCCATGGAATCTTTCATAAACATGTGATGACATACAAGAGTTAAGCAGACAGCAAGAAACCACTTAGCCACTATCCTTTCATAGGGTGATGATACACTAAAGGGTGGCATTCTTTTTTCTGAGAAGAAGAAGCAATAAAGAACGGCAAAAAAACAGCCTTTTGTAGATGGAGACTTCAACCTCCAAAAGTCACCTGTAATAGTCCAAGCATCTTCAAATTGGGAGCCTGACAAAGAATTACAAAGAGTGCACCTGTTTCATAACCCAAGAATTATAATTAGATTATAGAACATGTAATCCTTAACTAGCTTCATCTGATTAACAAGCATGTTGCAGGAAAAAATAGTACCCCAAAAGAAGAGCTAAATCACCTTTTAACCTAAATCAGATTTGAAATGACGGTACAGAAAAAAAAGGCTTGGGTGATTTTTGTTTCTGATCAAGTTTGTTACAAATTCAATATCACATAGTGATCATTACAACTCAACTGAAGAGAATCTTGATCCCAACAAAACCTCAACACCAACATACACACTAGCTAAACCTTCATAAGTAGCATTATTTTTCCTTTCATTCTAGTATGTGAAAGCAATTAGTAAACAAGAAAAACCAAGGTCCATAAACAAAGTCAGTGAGTATCCAAAAGCAACTATAGTTACTACCGTTGTGAAGAAAAGAGGACATCAAACTAGAAGAGTAAAAAGATTAGTCAGCAGTAATGTTTGAATTTTATGCCATATTCACATAGACAAGTGTTATTAGCTAACCTAGTGAAGTACTCAAACCACCCAAAAAAGAAAAGCCAAGCACAATCATCGTGAAGCTGTCCATGGAGATACTCTCACTCTGACCAAAATGTTAACAATATCGAAAAATACAAGTGTTCGGACTATGGAGGTGAAGTGGGTGTTGAATATTGATAAATTTTATTGGCCTTTTGAGTTTGGACTATTATGGATCCCATACATATGCATATATCAGCCTTCTGCAAGAAAAGCAATATAAAAAGAAAGAGATGGCCTCATAAGGTGATTGAAAAATAAGTTGATCATTCCTATCATCACTATATTCTATACTGCCAACCTAACTTTTAATCATTCTCTTGTGCAGCATTTGAATCGAACTGATTATTCCCTCACTTTACTGGGTGAAAATAGAAAGTTTGCCTCAACATATCTCTTACTGTACCATACTTGTCTGTTACTATCTCTCTACATATGAGCTGCTTGCATTAAACTAAGTAAATTAGGTATAACCACTTTCATTAGAAGCTGGAGAGTTTGCTTTGTCATCTGACTGAAAACCTTAAAAATTAGGCGAATACATTTACTTATTTACTTCAATCAAAAAATTATTGTCATTTCCTCAATCATCTTACCAGAAAAAAATTCCTCCATTCACCCTTTCTAAAGCATCCTCAATAATTAACTTCTTCTCTATATATATGGCTTTTGACTTTGGACTAGTCCAGACTCCATAATGTGTACGTGCAGCCTTCCGACAGAAACAAAATATGAAAAGAAAGAGATGACCCAATGAGGTGATTCAATAAAAAGAGAAAAAAGGCGATCATCCTTATCACTGCATTTTATACCGTCAACCTAACCTTTAAACGCCCTCTTGTGCAGCATTTGAATTGAACTGATAATTCCCTCACTTATATTGGGCGAAAAAAACCTTAACACATCTCGTACTGTTTCATACTGGTCAGTTACTACCTCTCTGCATACAAGCTGCTTACACTAGACTTAGTAAATAGGCAACTTCGTAATCTTCAAGAGAAATTGTTAAGACTTAAGGCTAATGGGTTTAATTCTTAACCTTGAAATTCAAAATATCACCTCATGAACTTCATTATACATGACAGAAACTCTCAATCAATCTCTACATTAACATCCCTAAATTTTAAATTATTGTCTTGTTTACAATTCAGATTCAAGAAATCAGTCCACGAGAAAAAACAATCAGGACCAAATTCAGTTTAACTGCAACTTATCAATCACTACGTATTAACTAGTTATCCCAGATTCAAAACTCAACCAAATAACACAACACAACCTTTTACATTATAATACAATGCTTGAAAAACCAACCAGGAACCAACAAAAATCGGTAATAAAATAAAGGAAAAAACATGAAAACAACAAGAACCCAAAAAAGACTACGTAAGCAACCAAAAAAAAAAAGAAAAATTCTTGATCATGGCGTCTTAAAGTTATCAAATAAAACAAGAATTTTGAAACCACCCCCATCATAGAAAAACACAAAAAGCTGCAAAAATTTTATATATAACTTACCTATAGAAGTGCTTAATCCACCCACAAGAGAGAGAGCCAAAGCTACCATAACCTGAGAATCCATTGAAAAAACTGTTTCTTTTCGCTGTGTGACAATGACCCAAGAACTGTTTAGAGCTACTATATATAACCGCTCCACTGAAGGAGTGATTGTGCTTGGAGGGAAAGAGAATGAACAGGAGAAAGCAAGAGATGGTTTGATAGAGAGGAACAAGAAAAGTCCAAGGAAGAAGACTTGCCTTACTCAGCAGTCTATACCTAACTTATGACTACATTGTTACAAATATGGCAATATGAAATTAATTAAATATGAATTAAATATAATTAAATTAAATGTGTTTTATCTCACATTAATTGATTTTTGGCTAAATGGATTAAAAAAAATTAAAATTTATTTTATTTAAAAATTAATATCTGAATTTTTAATTTTGGGTTCGACCTTTTTTTTTCCTCTAAGATTTAGTCCATATTTTAGCATTCTATAAAACATAATAATTTCATAAATAGTCTCGTGATAAAAATCATTCAGTAAGATATACCTAAAATTTTTAAAATATTTTAAAATTATTTTGAATTTTTTTTTTCAATTTCTTACCTTTATAATGTTTAGAAAATAAAATAATATATTTTTTGATCTTAAAAAATTTCAAAAACCACACGGGATGTTTCTTTGTGTGTTAAATTTCAGCTTAATATACCATGAATTGATTTTTTTTTTTTTTTAAAGATGAGAGTACAATTATGGATGGATTAAATCTTAAAAATAAATAAATAAATTTTAGTGGAGGTCAAACATAAAATTAGAATTTCAGATAATAAGTTTTAAATAAACTAAAGTTCATGTAATGTTTAATCTATTTAACATTAATTTTCTCTTTATTTCAACTATTACATACATTTTAGTTAATTACAGTGAAGAAGGTTATAATCTTAGAAAAGTTAATTTTTTTGGTTACTATTATTAAATTTTTTCAGGCATTTTAACATATTATCCTAAGCTTTTACGTTTTGTTGCATCTATTAACAATTTTATTTTATTAGCAGTAGCCGAGTAGGGCACCCATTAAATTTTCTCAATAAAAAAAAAAAGTAAATTAAGCCAAAATAAGAAATGATTCAATCTATTCTTATATAATAATATAATTATTTGATATATAATTATATTTTTTAACAAATTTAATTTTATCCTTAAATATACATTAATTTTTAAATTTATTTTTGTTCAAATTTTTAGACCAAACCATCAAAATTATTCACGTGATTTATATATGATTAATTTTTGTTTTTAAAATATCTTTGCAAATCAACTAAATAGAAAGCTTGTTTGTGCAAATCATGTGATTAATTTCAATAGTTTAGTTTGAAAATCTTGTCATTATAATAGATTAAACACTTAAGATTTATTCAAAAATAAATTTGATTTAATTAGATAAATAATAATATATTAGAGAAATAAGAAATGAAAAATTTTGAGGACTAATCAGAAAATGTCAGGCAAGATCCATGGCTTCTAACAATGATTAGTATTCCTATTTTATATTCAGATGCATCATGCTGAAATATAAAATAATGACGTGTTAAAAAAAATTATTTTTATTTTTTTAACTCAAAGGAAAAAAAAAAAAAAAAGATGGAATTTTTTCCTGGTGTGCTAGAAACTTTGACAATGGTTTTGCGACTTGTGAGGCCACCATGAAAAGTTTCATCTAACAGAGGGCCTAAGCCCAATAACAAACGAAAGTCCATATAAAGCCCAAACACAAAGGTCCACAAAACTCAAGGTGGCCCAGTGACATATCTATCTTTTGTTTTTTGTGGCTGCTCAATCAAAAGCAGGTGTTTTTCCCAAATAATATTGTATTTTTGTTCTTTGGAAAAAGAGAATATTGCATTTCACTTCAAAATATTTTTTTTTTCATTTTTTCAGTGAAGATAAAAAGAAAGAAATTTCTTTCTAATATACTATTTAGTATAAATAAATGATTTATCTAAAATTCAAAAGATAGGTTACCAATTCACGAACATATAATATGTATACAATACAATTATCCACCTATATTAAACACAAATTATGATATAAAAATAACAATAATAATGCTTTGTCTATAATTCAGTATAAATATAAGAGGAATTCAATTTTATCGCATCATCAAATTCTAATTCTTGAATTTTTTTTGATAGGACATTAAATATGAATTGTTGATGATGAATTGTTAATGAATTTACTAAAAAAAGAAAAATAAACCTTATGAAATATTAAACTAATTTAAAAAATAATAATTTTAATCTCAATTGACATAAAAATTGTGTTAAAAGGCCTAATTATTTGTAAATATCAATAAAAAATATTATTAGATTTATGAGAATAGAGACAATTCTCCAAATATGATAACAAAATAATTTTATTTAAAAAAAAATTGAAAAAGACTATAATTGTTTTTTTCAAATAAAAAATAATATGATTAATTAATATTACGTGATTGACTTGGCTTCTTGAATTTTCCCTTTTCTTCTCCATGGAGCCATAAACCCTTCAAAAAAACCCCCAAAAAAAACAACAACAAATTCCCCACTTTCTCTCCCACTTTCCCAAGAAACAAACGCCCACCCTTCCTCCTCCGAAAAAAATGTGCTCTCGCCTCTCCTCCGTCCTCCGCCTCCGCTCGTACCTCCTCAGCCGTGTCCCCTCCTCCACCACCACCACAACAACCACCGCTCTCTTCCACAACTCTGCTAAATCAAACCCCATAATCCTCACCTCCCTCTCAGATCTCCATTCTCTCTCCACACTCCGCTTCTTCTCCACCTCCCGCCGCCATAACCCGACTCGACCCAAACCCGTAGACATCGGAGCCCGAGCACGCCAACTCCAAACTCGCCGTCTCTGGGCCTACGCATTAACCTTCAGTTGCATAGCAGGTTTTATCGTTATAGTCCTTAACAGCTTTCAAGATCAGTTAGTATTCTACGTAACACCAAGTGATGCTATTGAGAAATTCAAAAACAACCCATCAAAGAGTAAGTTCCGATTAGGTGGTTTAGTCCTTGAAGGTAGTGTAGTTCATCCATTATCAAGTCCTGAAATTGAATTTGTTGTTACCGATTTGATTACCGATATTTTAGTTAAGTATGAAGGGTCGTTGCCTGATTTGTTTCGAGAAGGTCATTCTGTTGTTGTTGAAGGGTTTATGAAGGAATGGAATGATGAGGCAAGGAAGCAAGTTGGGGGGAAGAATGTTTCTGGGAAGGCGCGAAGAGGAGAGTGTTATTTTAAGGCAATTGAGGTCTTGGCTAAGCATGATGAGAAGTATATGCCTCAAGAAGTTGCAGCCGCGATTGAGAAGAATAAGAAGTTGATTGAGGCTGGTCATGCTGGTCAAGTTGGGGAAGATGGAGATGAGAAGAAGTGAAATAATGGGTACGATTCGAAATTTTGATTTATTGTATTAATGGGTAGGATCTATACCTTTTTTTTTTTTTGGGTAATGCAGTGTATTTGGTTGTTATTTATTTTCTAATGATATGAATATACGTGAAACGGGAGGGATAAATGAGTTAATTGGGGATCTATATGTTGATAGAATGATTGTTTTTAGGTGAGGGGATGGATGCTCATTGGATTTTGGGGGAGAGAGAATTTGATCAATTGAGGCTTTAAATTTTGTGATTCTTGATGTTGTAATTGCACATTGATTTATGAATAATCTTTCACTTCGATGCATTAATGCAAGTGACTTGGTTTTCCATAAATTTCTACTGTTTCTGTGATTGAATTTTTTCTTTTAATGCTGTGATACTTGTTTTTGCTGTGTCGAGAAAGTTGGACTGATTGATGATGGATGTCAGGGATTCCTTTGATGGATTTTAGGGTGAAACTGTAGTTTTCCTTTCGTACTAGGAAGAGATTTTCTGCCGAAAAATAGGGCAAAGGAATCAGGTTTATTACTTCATCATATAAACAATGACCAAATAACTCAACTAGGATGGTTGTTCTTGGAGCTGCATTTCTGTTTCCCAAATTGTTTTTGCAAGTGTCATTTTATAAATAAAGTCTTCGTCAAATCTTGCCATTACAGAGGTGCTTTTGCCTTGCTGGAAGTTGAGGATATTCATAGATATGGCATGCTTTATTTTGTTTAGAAACATAACACTGTAGAAGTTGCTGTTGAGATTCTCATAGAGATGATGTTGTCCCTTTTTTTTTTTTTTCCAGAAACCTGAATTTCAGATAGTATAAAAGACAGATGTCTGTAGTCTGCAGGTTTTATTTTAATCATTCATTTGGGTATCTGCATCTCATACATGCTCATACTGGGACACAATTTGAAGGGAGTATTGGTAATGCTGGTTCTGTATATTATAGACTCAGAAAACCTCGCTATCAGGAGGGAGGTGAAGAACAGGGTTTAGCATTACAATGCGTAAAAAGAAGAGGCTGGTTTCTCATTTTAAGTGATTTCAGCCAATGCAAAGGCAGAGAGTGTGAAGTGAGGGGGTGGTGTTGTTGGCAAGGTCATGAGTGAGGAATATTTTTACTTTTTTGGTCAGCTTTGGCTAAGAATGATGAGAAGTATAGTGCTTACAGAGGTAATGGCTGGCTAGTGAGAAGAATAAGAAACAGACTAGGCAGGCCAACAGTGATTGATCATTGATGGCCTACACTTGAAAGCTCTGATGTTTAGTGGATCATGACTTAGTTTAGGGATGATACCAAAGTGGGTTCCTTTGAATTTGAAAAATGGTATCATTTGATCAGTGAGCTTGATTTTATTTGTTTTCGTTTCGGGTTATTCCAGTTTGCTGCATCTGAGCATTAGGTTAACATTGTATAGTTGGAAACCAAATAGGTAGATATGCCGGTGAGGGAATTCATGTTGCCCTTTTGTACTGAGGAGGAAGTTTGATATGCAGTTTCTTCTGGATTTGTTGTATTCTCTCCTCGTTTAGTGTGATGATTAAACAGTATTCAAGCAAGTTTCTTCTGGATTACATATATAATGGTCGAACTTCCAACATTTCTTTGTTTTGAACTGTGGAGATTGAGAGGCTTAAAGGGCTTTGGGCTATACAACGAAGGTAATCTTCCCCCTTTACATCATAAACTCGAATGTTTTAACACCGTTTACATTATATCTGTTTGTGTAGGATAATTGAGTCTCCACCTCCTTTTGTCTCTGTAATCAGATTATTAATCTCAAGGTAGCATGTTGAGCATGATTGATTTGTGTAACTGATTGTGGAGATGTTAACAAAAGAGATGTTGGGGTTTCGGACTTCTCAAAAATCTGAAATTCCTCGTTGGCCTTTCATTTAAGAAAAATAAAGATGACAATCTGACAAAAGTATGTCACAAGATCATCAAAGATTTAGCAAAAGAATTTAGGAAAGCTCAAGTTAGTCATTAATTATTAACTTAATGAATTTTGTGAAGGATATAATATCAGGGATTTATACATATTTATGCATGACAACAAGACATGCTAAAACTTGAAACATTTTTGTGAGTCAACCATTATAAATGTTTTCATGCAAAAATATAAAAAATGATGTACTTTGACATAAGAATGAGTAGTGTTCGGATTAAATTCAAAAACCAAACTGAAAGAAAAGAAAAAAAAATTGAATTTATTTCGATATTTCAATTCAAACTATCATCGGGTCAATTTTCGCACCAATAGAAATTAAGTCTGTCACTTTTTAAATTAAACCATTGTCAAAATACACTTTTTTTTTTTTAAGCGATTATTGGATTGCTTCTCAAGTCAAATCAGTACAACTGTACAAGCAAATCATATACATCCACAAAAATAAAACTTCATTTTCACGAGTGAACCAAATATCTAGCATTAATGTGTTTAATACCTTCAAAAACACTGAAAAAAGGACGCATAATCACATTTCTAATTAACAACCAGAACCAAACACAGCCACCGGATGAAGTCATCACTCACCTTTACAAATCCAGCTCCGGCAACCATCGCATTGTGACCGCGCTGCCCACTATATGTCCTGAGCCGGGACATGATCAGAAAGTGCCGATGAAGGTACCATGCATGTTTAAAACGACAAAGAACCCATCTTTGAAACTGCTAACGCACTTCCTGTTCCAATAGAAATAAAAAATAAAACAAAATTGAGACAGCCAGACAGGTTCTAGTGAAGGAGTTGGTGTTTATTCATAGTCAGTGCTGCTGAAGTATGTTAAAAGTTCTTTTTGTTAACGTTAAAGGGATCCCAGTTGACGAAGAAAGGACAAGCATGCTAACGTTGTCTGCTTTCTTGGGTTTAGACTCTTTACATGCACTGGGTGGCACAATGGCTTCCTTTGTCTTTGCTTGCAAGGATGAAAAACTTTTAGGCGTTAAATATCGAATAGTTGGATTTTCCAGATTTATGTGCTTGTTATGGACATTGGAATATCAGATGTGCATAGTTAAGGGAAGTGGCCATATGTATGTTCTGTAGCACCTGCTCTTATACGTCATGAACAAGTTTATCTAGTAGTTTCTTTCGATGAAGTGAGATTTGAATCTCCATAACTACAGTTTATTTGGAAAATTGCATAAGAAAGTATGGTACTCAGTCTTGGATCATATGGCTAGGAAGGAATAATTTGATATTTAACAAGGTGGATTTAGATTGAAAATGTTTGTTTTCTCTGCTCTTCCGCAGAGTCTCTTATTGAGGAAAGGTTGTCGATAACAATGTTATATACATAGAGAATGATTTATTTTGCTGATATCCAGAACTGGTCCAACAAAGTTAGGAATCGGGTTGCCGAAGACTAGATTAAGCCGGACATTGGATTTTTGAAAGGGAATGTAGATGGTTAATCAATGGAAAAACCGAATATTTGGAGCATTTGAGGTGTTTTTAGAGATCATGAGGGGCGTTTTTAATGTATTTTCTCATGTTCAACCGATCTCAAAGACTCCAATAAAACAGAAGTTCTTGCGATCAAAAGGGTTTCTCATCCCTTTGCTGAACAAGTACATTGGATAGTTGAATCAGATTCTTCAAATGCTATTAGTTGGGTTCAAAAAATACCATATGAAAGGTTTCGGAAGTTAGGTTCTGACTTCATTAATATTAATTCGTCCATTAGTAAGTTGAGGTCCATTTGTTTTGCTAGAGTGAATAGAACAAAGAATGCTGTAGCTGATTAGTGGAATTAATAATCATATGAGAAAGCGTTATGGTAGATAAGATTTATTTGCTGTGGTAGATTTAATCTTCAACATCCAAGAAAAGAATCTTTGCCTGTAGAGTATGTCTTTTAACTTGGTTCTTCCATAATAGAGCTCAAATGAAGTATAAGGCTTAAGATTGAATCATGATTACAAGACACAAGCAAATGTTGAAATTAACGTTAATGGTCTTATCTTACATGAGCCCAGAACCAATCAGTATGAGTTAGAGGTAGTTATGTACTAGTATGATATGCAAGCAAAATCCGCAGTATTTTGGTTTCTGCTTCTCGGAGTAGTTCATGAAGAACTCCTTAATGAGCCTTATCAGCAGCCAGAATACAGAAATTTGACAACCAACAACCTATTTTATCAAGTTAAATTAGCCAATCATCATCCGGAATTTCATGTTGCTAAGCTGCTCCATTGCCATTTTTGTGAAGTTTCATTAGGCTCTTCGTCAACCATATTGCTGTTTCTCTTGACGACACAGCTTCTTCACTGAAGGGTCTTAGTACTCCTGCTAGCTCGTCATACCTCTCCTGTCTAAGCAAATTTGCACAAATCTCTAGCAGTGATTCCAGAGCATCTGCTCTTTGCAGGCTCTGAGGGTTCCATATAATCTTTGTTTCATCACCATGTAGAGAAGCCAGTGAACTCATCGATGAGATGTCACTGGAGGTTCTGTTCAATTCCTTTTGTCTAACTCCGTTTCCACGAGGTGGTTTTGATTTACTTGGTGTTGATTTCATATCTGTCGCTGTCAAAGGTTTGCAGAATTTGGGTTCCAATTCCACATCTTGTCTGGTTTTGTCATCCATTGCCAATGCTGATGATGCCTTGTAACCAGAAGGATCAACATGGCCTGTTGAATCTGCAGACAGCTTTTCCATTATTCTGCAGTTCCCTGGACTAGCACTTTTACATTCCATGCCAGCTTGTCCAGCTCCACAGAGCTTCTCTTGGACTATTTGTGACTTCTCAGAAGCAATTTCTTGTTTCTCATCTTCAGGGTGAGTCCTTGCAATACTTGCAGAAGTGGTTTCTGAGTTGACACTTTCAGTTTGTTCGGCACTTTTTTGCAAATCATTTACTGCTACTTTTTGTGCCAAAGCATCAACTTTTTCCTGCTTAAAACATCTGCCCTCCTTCGATGGACTTGCTTTCAAACCGATGGCATTCTTCTGAATGCTAGACTTGCTAGGTAATCGGTTTCCTTTTGGTTTATCCATGCTGCTGTACTCAGACTTTACTGGGAGAAACACAGGAGATAGGTTTCGGCATTGAGCAAGATATGGTTGCAGATGGGGATGCCTCAACAACTCTGCAGCCTAATTGTGGCAAAGCAAACATTAATAAGAATCATTTTTTGGATTAAAAGAAGAGAAGGAGTGAGGGCAACTCAGACTCACTGTTGGTCTGTGTTCTGGGCTCTTCCTCAGCATGGTTTTTATTAATTGTTTTCTGCAGATAAAAAGCCAACCAATTCAATTGTATTTCCCTTGATATAGTGCATATGCATTTGGAATTTGCAGAGACAATCACTTACAATGTGGAGGAATAGGCAGTTGGTAGTGGAGAAATCGATGAACGATTTATCTTGTTAATTAGTCCAGCCACATCCTGTTCATAAATAGTTTAAGTTATTGACCTTATCAGAAACTGAAAAATTTTGTTCGATTTTTGTCTGAACAATGTCATGTGACACGTACAGGAGCTCTAAATGCCGGCTGATGGGCAGCTATCTCAAACATGCAGCAACCTGCAAAATTATAGCAAAATATGATTTCAAGAAATTCCAGGCTACCAGGTTGGAAAACTAATGCATAAGCAGGATTTTCGTTACCTAGAGACCAAATGTCCGATTTGTAGCCATAGGGTATGTCTGCAAGAAGTTCTGGACACATATAGTTGGGAGTGCCTACAATCTACAGAAATAACAGGCAGTAGTGCAGCACTAGTCAGCTGTCAACATTTTCCAGGAAAATTCAGATGAACAATTGATCGTCCTTGTGGTGACACCAGTGCAAGAATTGACAATACATAAAGAACTCGGCACAAATCAGACCATATCAAAAGTTGAATCATTACCGTGGATGCAAGATCCTCCTTGTTCAACAATTTTGCAAGTCCAAAGTCACCTGGACATTTACTGTGAGATAATACAGTTTCTGTACAAAACACAAAAAGAGTTACGTGTATTTGCATCCTCACCTAGCTGGATGCTGCCATGTTTTGTGAGGAAAATGTTGGAGCACTGGCATTAGAGAATAGATTCATATCAGAATGATAATGTGGACAATTTTTTTTTTTCAAAATGAAAATTGCTACAGATAAATACTTTCAAATCTCTGTGAAGGACACGATTGGAGTGGAGGTAGTCCACAGCAAGCAACAACTGTGTCAGCCATTTGCAGAGCTTCTGAAGTAGAGTAAGGAAATAATTAGCATTAGATGCAAAAATAACACGAGAAAGAAAATCACCACCAAGGACTATTCTTTCTTGCAGATATCCCATGTTCTTTACCTCTTCAGGAAGATATGTTCCTCTAGCTTTCTTTATCATTTGAGCCCTGTAAGATCAAATATCAGAGAAGAAAATAAATCAAAATCAACATGCTTGCCTAGAAAAACCAAGCCAGCCAAAACGGTGAGATGTTATCGGCAAAGGGAATACTTCGTGCACTCACGACTACAGAGTCCCCACCTTCTCTGCTGTGCACACGCCGCAGGGATGAACCGTGCTTGCAGTGCACAGACGGCGGGGATCCATGTAGTGAGACAGTCGCGACTGCACTTAGCAAATCCTTATACACTTAGAAATACTTGGTAGTTGGTATCCTACATGCCTATTCAAGATTGAACTCAAAATTTTATACTGAATCAACTTACAGGTCTCCTCCCTCGCAATAACTTGTCACAATGCATACATAGGATTCCTGCAAATTATTGACAGAGTTATTATGATACTATTTTTGATACTGAGGAGATATGATTTGCTCGATAAATTTTCTTTTTATTGTCTCCTTTTTTTCCCACAATTGTAAGGCAAAACCACATTATTAAACAATAACAGATTGCTAAAAGCTACCTTTTCCACCCATGATTCTTTGTACTCCACAATATATGGGTTATTCAGCTTTGATATCAAATTCATCTGCAGAATATACCATTAGTAGCTAAGTTAAAACTCCACATTGCAATATAACAAGATATGAAAGCTGAAGAAATGATGAATTAAGGAGTTTTCTGGAGGCTAATAACCTCTTGATATGCCGTTTGCTTGAACTTTTCTGTTTGTTTAGCCAAACGAATCTTCTTCAGTACATACCTACAGAATACACATAGATTTCCTTCAACAATGTACAGAAACCAAAATTAATTTTCTGACAGTAAATCTTCCAAGATAACTTGGCTAAAGTGGATCAGTGTCAAATATTTATCCCTCCCAAGTATCTTCACCTTCTTCTTCTCTCTCTCCTTTCGTTTTTCTTTCTGGTGCTTAGTACAAGGCAGGAGTGGACTCAGCTTGAGTCCAACCCTTCCCCTAACTTGCAGGGGAGAGTTCTACTTCTATTCACCCCTTCCTAGGTATGATTAGAGATGATATCTAAGCTAAAGTGTGCAGACAGATAAAGTACAAAACCTGAATAAATTTAAAAGAAAAGAAGATTTGGCAGAGAATTTCCATTCTTCCCACCTTCTATTCTCAAATTTATGAAGAACAAGAAATGCAGCACCAAAAGTTCCTCTTCCAATCTGCTCTATAACTTCATAATCATCCATCTTTGATACCATTTCTTTGTTTTTAGTCTCCATGGCTGACTTCAAAGCTCAGAAAAGTAACAGAACTTTAAGCTCTTTATCCAATTATCCACTACCCTCTCCAAGCCGTGCACCTCATTGACTGATACATGTCAAGCAAGCCAGAACATTAAATGGCTACACACACCATTAAATTGAATTCAAGACCAAAACAGAAACATTAACTGTTTGCAGAGAACAATGTCACAGCAAAAGTTGTGTGGTTCAGAGATCACAAACAGGACTCATGCGACAACCGTGAAGACAAACTGCAATAAATTCTGCATTTACCCCATTAAAAAAAGAGAAAGAAAACACCCTGCAGCTGAATTCTTTGACTTGTCGTCCAAGCTCAAGAAAAATGTGAAGAGGTGATAAGACATAAAAGTTCAAGGAAGAAACTCAACATATTGAATATAATTTTAAATTCAAAAGAAAGAGCAAATTTGAGGCAAAAGCAAAGGAAAGAAGGAAAAAGAACGCAAAAGTTTAGTTTCCTACAGGGACAGGTATGCCAACCACAGTTTTGAAATGCAAAAGAAAGCACAGCAATATAGCATTACTTGCATTTTGGGATTCCCAGCATATCATTACTGCCATGGGTGGTTGGTGGGTCACTATCCTCCATAACTTGATGATCTCTTCTATAAATTATTGTTTGATGCTGAGCCAAAGTTGGTCAATTATCATTATTTTTTAATAGTATTAGATTTCGGTTGGTTAATAGTCGAACAAAGACTAAACGTGTTCTGTCACCTGCTTCGTTGAAGAAATTATGAATTTAATCTGAATTGATATGAAATTTAATTTGAAAATACCTCATTTCTCGTAAATATTTATATATAAAAAAAAATAAAAAATTAGAGGGGCAATTTTTAGGTTTCCTCAGGACCTTTATTTGGGCTAATGTCGAATGTCAATGGTCTGTTGTTTTTTCCACCAATGGTGCAATTATTTACAGTGATTTATAGCTTTGAATGGACAGAAAAGTCTGTTCCGAACAAATTTATTAGACATCAATTCAAGGTTGTTATTTCTTTATCCATGTGGTAGGGCCATAGCTTGTCATTCTGAGGAAGGTGAAAGCTGGATTGACACACTTTACCCACCTCGAATTCTTCCCATTAGAAGAAGGCTATGTAAATGTAATTAATAAAGGGTTCGATTCAATAGAAAACAATATTTTTACTTTTTCTTTTTTTTTTTTTCATAGTTTTACTTATGATTCCACGAATCATAAGGTAATAAACATCACATATTGAAGCAGATTTTTTTTTCTTCTTATGATTATGAAGTTGGTAATTTTATGTCCAATTCTTGAGCAATAAATTTATTAATAAAACTATTTATGAAGAATTTTTTTGGATGATAATGGTGTTATCATGGCCCATTAATAACAAATGATTGATCTTATATTAAAAAAATAAAAAAAATTTGTATAAAAAAATTATTGGGTAAATAGTCTTTATATAATAAGATGAGTTTTCAATCCATCTCTATATTTCTAATTGAATTTATTATATCTTCGTATAATAACTGATTATCCAATTAATTTTTCAAAACACTTTTTTTCAAATAAATACTCACATGAAATGTCTCAAAATGCACAAAAAATAAGTATTTTGGAAATAAACTTCATTCATATGGTTATATAATAAAATGAGTTTTCAATCTATATTTATGTTTTTAATTGAATCTATTTTTTTTATAGTATTTAATTGTTTAATTAATTTTTCGAAAGTAAAAACTAATATTTAGGCCATACAAAACGGCTCTTAAAATGCAGAAAAAAACTTTACACGATATATTAATTATTTAAAAACATAAAAATAGATTGACAACTCATTTATCTAATTTTGTTTATACAACATTAATATTGATACTCCCTTCATTGTCAAGGTTGTGAAGAAAATAAAAATAAAAATTATGCAATAATGTAATGTACCCCAATGGTAGATGTGAGAAAGCACCAACATACCTAACAGGCCATTGCCAGAGAAAGACAATGGAGGGAGACATGAGAGTTAAAAAAGTAGCAGAGTTTATTCTTTGAAAAATCATGATTTGGTGATCACATCACAAATAGGTCCCCATGCATTTCAAACATTATCTGCCGCCTAGCACCGAAGGCAGTTCCATTCTTAGCCAACAAACAACAAGGTGGACCCTTCCTAACAAAAAATGGGCTCGTATATCAGATTCAGAATTCGATATTTATAATCATCGATTAAAATTTATTTTTAAAATATTCGAAGATGTAAAACATGACACAAAAATATTGTTATTGTTGAACCTAAAAACAAGAAATTAAAGCCAAAAAAAAAAAAAGCACTCAAAGAGAAATCTTGCAAATGGAAAAAATCTGCTGCCTCAAAGAATCAACTTGTGTGGTCTTTGAGGCAAAGGGTTTGCTGGTCCAACTTTGCTTGTGTTTGTCCTCTCCTGCTTTAAATGCAACTCCTTGCTTGATTTATCCGAAAGAAAAAGGAAAAGCTGGTGACTTGTTGTAACGAGCATAAGTTAAAATATTGGATAATGTTTTTTATTCTAGTGATATAGTTTTAAAATCTCTGAATTCAAACGAATTTTTTTTATAAGAATAACTTCAAAGCAGCAATCGTTTGAAGGAGTAAATTATAATTGTGTCCCTCTCGCTTTGGAAAATAAATTAATTAATCATTTTAGTTTCAAAAACTAATTATTTAGCTTTTTTATTATTTTTTATTTAAGAAATAGAAAAGGAATAAAAATATAAAAAGATTGATAAAAATATATTCATATAATAAAAAAAATATTAAATCAATCATGGTCAATACTGTTGAAAAAATTAATAGTTAGTTTTTAAAACTAAAAAGACTAATTAATTATTCAAATTGAATTTATTTTGATTTTTTTGTTTTAAAAAACAGATAATAATGGTTGGAGGTGAAGGAGTGAATTATAAATTATTCACTTTTTTTTTGGAAACTAATTAAATATTTCCTTTTGTTTTAAAAACTAATTAATTAATCTCTATATTTTTAAATTTATTTTTAACTTAATCATTTTTTGTTTCTTTTTATTTATTTTAAGAAATAGGAAAAGAAAAAAGTAAGTAAAAATACAGAAAGATTGATTAAAAAAAGAAGATATTTTTTAACAAAATAATATTAAATTAACAGTGATCAACACTTGCTAAAGGACTAATTAATTAATTCTCAAAACAAGATGGACTATTTAATTTATATTACAAACCTAAAAGGACTAATTTATAATTTACTCAGGTTAAAGTAAAGAATCCTCGAGACCACATGGTCCACATCCTAATAATTAAAAATTTCAAACCAGAGGTGGTGAGATGAACATTTAAGAATATAAAAGAACTAACTTAGTCAAAATTCAATAAACTTTTAATGATTTTCTTTTTTACAAAAAAGCGACGAGGTCAATTAAATATACGAAGCTTAATGGCTATAGTTACTTCAAAGCAGCAATCGTTTGAAGGAGTAAATTATAATTGTGTCCCTCTCGCTTTGGAAAATAAATTAATTAATCATTTTAGTTTCAAAAACTAATTATTTAGTTGTTTTACTATTTTTTATTTAAAAAATAGAAAAGGAATAAAAATAAGTAAAAATATAAAAAAATTGATAAAAAAATATTCATAAAATAAAAAAACATTAAATTAGTCATGATCAATACTGTTGAAAAAATTAAATAGTTAGTTTTTGAAACTAGAAAGACTAATTAATTATTCAAATTGAATTTATTTTGATTTTTTTGTTTTAAAAACCAGATAGCGATGCTTTTTTTTTTTTTAATTCTAGTGATGTAGCATTAAAATCTTGACTTCAAACAAATTGTTTTTTTTTTTTTAAGAATAACTTTAAAGCAATGGTTGGAGGTGAAGGAATGAATTATAAATTAGTCACTTTTTTTTTTTTGGAAACTAATTAAATATTTCCTTTTGTTTTAAAAACTAATTAATTAATCTCTATATTTTTAAATTTATTTTTAACTTAAATCATTTTTTGTTTCTTTTTAATTTATTTTAAGAAATAGGAAAATAAAAATTAAGTAAAAATACATAAAGATTGATAAAAGAAGAAGAAGATATTTTTTAACAAAATAATATTAAATTAACAGTGATCAATACTTGCTAAAGGATTAATTAATTAATTCTCAAAACAAGATTGACCATTTAATTTATATTACAAAACTAAAAGGACTAATTTATAATTTACTCAGGTTAAAGTAAAGAATCCTCGAGACCACATGGTCCACATCCTAATAATTAAAAATTCAAACCAGAGGTGGTGAGATGAACATTTAAGAATATAAAAGAACTAACTTAGTCAAAATTCAACAAACTTTTAATGATTTTCTTTTTTACAAAAAAGGGACGAGGTCAATTGAATATACGAAGCTTAATGGCTATAGTTACAAACTATTATTAATTCATTGACCTATTCCGATTGATAGCCTAAAAAAGAAAAAAAGAAAAAAACCTTAAAAAGAACTCAACCTTTACCAATTACCAATTAACATAGCATAATATAGCATAATCCCACACCTAATCTTTCATGATATAAGCCCATACATCATCACATGATGGATCAATAATAAAAAATAAATATATATTATTGATATTTGACTGGTTTGTAAAGGATTGTGCTTTTTGTATTATATAGATTTATTATTTTAGATTTCAATTAAAAAAATCATAAAACTAAAAGATTTTGTAAATATGTCCATTCGAATGTCAATGCTTCGTTCAAAAAACCTAATCCTAACTAAAAAAACTAATTCGAGAATAAATGGAGTTTTTTTTATATTTAAACAATATATTCTTCGATTTTTTTTTATTAGGACGTTGTATTATTATTATTTTTATTGAAATCTTCTATTCTTCAAAAGTTGTTACTTCAGATCATTTGTCATAATGATGTCAATCAGTGATCGACACACAATCGAAATACTGAGTGTTGATTACAAATTATTGAGATTATAACGAGAGGATTTTAAGTAATAAATCTTAAAAAATAAATGATCTTAATCGACTATATATATATATATATATATATATATATATATATATATATATATATATATATAAGAGCATTTTGAATTAACAAAAATAAAAAAATAAATGTGGAGTAAATTAAAAAATAGACACATACCTAATTAACCAACAAGCCAATAAAGCAAGTGCTTAAGAATCATCTTCCAAAAGTGGCAAACGCCTTGATCCGTTACCATAGAAACCTGGAATGCCACGTCATTAGCTGACATAAGATCAACGACATGTTATTTTCATGATTGTCATGTCGTCTAAGCATTCAAGGTGGGCGCGTTCCTGACCTACATAACAACTGGCAGGTGAAGCTAATAATCAGTTATCAAGTTTCCTTACAGGAATGGCAAAAGCCGTTAATTAGTTGGCAACAGAAGGACAAAACAGGAAACCTGTAAAGGTACACGCGCATCCAGTAAAAAGTTAACACGTCACCCCCAATCAGTAAAGACGGTTCCGTTGGCTGCAGAAAGAAAGCTTTATTTATTATTTATTTATTTTGGTATTTTAAAGGGAAAACTATATTTTAGTCCTTATAGTTTACAATTTAAGAATATTAATCATAAAATTTTCAGAAAGTTTCAATGAGTCCTCTCATCATTAACAGCTAAGAGAATTTGATGGACATCTCCTTATTTTCATCCTTTTCTATGTTTCTATCATTTTTTTTTTTAATCTTTTGAGATATAACATTTTTCTTCCCAAAGTATTTTACTTTCTTTTTTTTCTCATCCCCTAGATGTTAGTATTAATCCTAATTTTCCAACATCTATCCGTGAAGGAATTCAACAACAAAATTTATTTATATATCACATAAAATTTAGTGTATATGATTTCAATCTTTAGTGATAATTTATTTTAAAAAATTCAATAAATTCAAAATTTATTTATAGTTAAATTATGTTTACCATGTAATAATAGAACCATGTGTAAATTTTTAGAAGTAATAGTATTTTCTTAAAAAAAATTGTCCAAATATCATATGAATTAAATATGTGCTGATATAAATATAGTTGTTGTAATTTCTTTAGGAAAAAATAATAAATACGGTTCTTTTCTTATTTTTTGTATCATTTCTTTTACTTTGTGTGATTTCTTTCATCAAATATAATAAACACTCATATTGATGATAAAAGTTTTAAACTATAAAAATCAAAGTGAAATAGTATGAACTTATTAGGGACTAAAATATATTTTACCTTTTCTAAAATCAAAGAGAAATTATAGAGCAAGAGACAATCAAAATTATATATATAAATATATATAAAAAAAATCTCAAAAGAGAGAGAAAACAGAAACATAAACACACCCTCTCTCCCCAACCTTCTCTGTCCACTCTGTTCGGCTTGGCTCTCTCTCTCTTCTTGGTGATCTGGTCCATTTCTTGCAAGGTTAACACTTTTTGATTTTTGGGCTTTGATTTGTTTTTCTTTTTTTCTTGTTTTTAATGGATTTATTGTCTGTATATTTATTTATTTATTTTTTGTTTGTTGTTTGGTTTCATTTGATAAAAACAGGGATTTTTTTATGAAGTTTTGAGCTAAGATCGGCTCAAAGGAATCATTTCTTGTTTAACCAGGTTAGATTTTATACACAATATGAATACATACATGTATATAGGGTATCTATGAGCATATACATGCATATATTTGTTGCTGGTAGCTTCTTCTTCTTCTTCTTCTTCTTTTTGGTTGTACAATTATAGGATTATGAATATGTGCGGTTTTATGAAAAAAAATCATAAAGCTAATATCTTTGTTAGATTTTGATGGTACAATCTGTTATTGTAATGGTCAAAAGGGCCAAAAAGAGACCCTTTTTTTTTTAATCCGTTTATTATCTGAGGTTATGTATGTTTTGTGTTTTGGATGATTGAAGTTGAGGTTTCTGAGACTATGTTGGGTTTAAAGTTTGATATTTCGGTAGAGTTTTGTTAATACTTTGGCTGTGATTGAGGATTTGTAGAAAAAGTTTGAAAGTTGGGTCTTTATTGTTTTTTAATCGCCTGCTTTTATGCTTGTGGTCGCCAGCTGTTTCTTAGGGTTATGGTATATTTGAAACTCATTTTAGGGCCTTGTTCGGTGTTGCTCTGCTTCTGTGGCTGTTGTGCTGTGCTGCTCTAAGCTGTGCTATTCAGTGTTGTGCTGTAGGGTAAAACCAGTGTTTGGTAATTGGTTAATGTGCTGTCAGTTACATGCATATGTCTAGCAGAGATGAAGCTAAAAATACTATGTGAACCCTTAAGTGTCTCGCTCATAGACCTTGAAATCACTTCTGCGATATGCACCAAGCATGCGCATCTGACCATCTCAGAAATTAGTTTTGTTTTGTTTGCATTCTAATCTAGTCTATAAAGGGTGCATGAAAACATTTCCCGATTGGATATTTGATCCTCGGATTCCATCATCACCATTAGACAGAAAACTTTTCGTAATCTATGTTGTAAAATCCTACTTATGTGGCTAAACTCAGGTTCTCTTTTGGTTAAAGTCCTGAAACTTTTTTTAGTGCGTTTGAATCGTTTCCTAAATTTATATTTTTGTGTTCCCAATCTTGGCTAATAAAGGGAACTGTTTGCATGGAAATATCTCTTAATTGGATAATCTTGTCTTCCCATTCAACAACATAAGACTTTGGAGTAAAAGAAATAAATTTATGACAGACCAAATCATTAATTACCTGCCTGCCTTGGTTTTCAATGGTATTGCAAAAATTTTGGAGAAAGTTGTATGATCTTGATCAATTCGGTGTGGCTAACTAAGGGACGTATACATGACTTTGTGGTGTGGAAATGGTGTTAAATTGCATTAAACTAGTTGGGAAACAAGAAAAGTTGCCCATTAATCATGAAAAAAGACAGAAGTATCTTGTCGTAAACTGTGCGTCTGTAGATAGTGATACCAGGACAATGTTAATTTGATGGCTGATCTTTATGTTGTAAGTTTTTTCTTGTTTTTATTTGAGAATTGGCCCTGCGAAATAGTAGATGGTTTTTATTGTTAGATGAGGCCTTGACCATTGGTCTTAAATCATCATGTGACCATCCTTTAGTTTGAAAACTAGTTTCAGAGAAGGATTTGTTTTGGGTAGATCATTTTGGAAAAGGAAAGACCATTTTAGAATTTTATGCTCTTTCAAGTTTGGGATCGAAGCTAGTGTTTTGGTAGGGGAGGGTATAATTCATTTGGCATGGCAAATGGTTGTTGTATGCATAACTTTCTTTTGCATGTATCTGGTGTCTGAATATGCATTCTCATATTCTGGTTATAATAAAGAGATTTTTTTATATGTATCTTCTTTTGCTTATATTGATCCTCTGGTTGTGGTGCAGAAAAGGAAAAGGATGGACCATGATGAGACAGGATGCCAAGCTCCTCCAGAACATACTATTTTGTGCATTAACAATTGTGGCTTCTTTGGAAGTGCAGCTACTATGAACATGTGTTCAAAGTGCCACAAGGATATGCTGTTAAAACAGGAGCAGGCTAAGCTGGCTGCATCATCAATTGGAAGTTTTGTGAATGGATCATCAAGCAGCAATGTGGATGAACCTGTTGTTGCTGACATCATTGATGTCCAAATCAATGCAGTGGAGCCCAAGACCATCACTATGCAGCCATCCTGTGCTTCAGGCTTAGGGGAGAGAGTTGAGGCAAAGCCGATGGAGGGTCCAAACAGATGCACCTCTTGCAAGAAAAGAGTTGGTTTAACAGGGTTTAAGTGTCGATGTGGTAACCTCTTTTGTGCATCTCATCGCTACTCAGACAAACATGACTGCCCATTTGATTATCGTACCGCTGCTCGTGAAGCAATAGCAAAAGCCAACCCTGTTGTGAAGGCAGAGAAGCTTGATAAAATCTAAGATCTGATGGGATGGAGTATGATTCGAATTTTCATCTTTGGGGCTTCTGAGTTGGCCGAGTATCGTATCAGGTGCCCTCTTTTAATTGTCGTCTATGGGGAGAAGCAAGACAGTTTAGGACATCTCTGCAGTATGAAGAACTCTATATCTTGTGATTGCCGAGAGTTTGTATGTTGGCCCCAATGTTTTAAGTCTTAATCTATGCTGGTTTGAAGGACTTTGTCATGGTTAGGTGTGTAATGTGTCTTCCTGTTTCATATGGCATTTCTCACTAATATCTTAAAACACTATGTGCCATTTCTGGATGCTGTGGAAGACATCCATGGACGCTCGTGTGTACCCTTGTAAATTTGAATTATGGCTTTGATGGCATTACTTGCGTCCCTGAACGGCTGAATCTCTTTCCTGTGTGGTTGCTAGTGGTATCTAATTTCAAATTTAAATTTGCTGTGGAAATCAGGCTCCTTCAAACTTAACCTTTTTCAGATCTGAACCATCGAATTGATCTCTAGCGTTCAGAATTTCTTCACTTATTTTTGGATTTTCTTCATTCAGGAATGACACAAGAGATTCCTACAGAAGTGAACAAGAACTTGAAGCTTTCGGGCATAATTGAGCTAAATTAACTCTTCGCCCTCTTTTTTCAGCAAGTTCTTGATACAATTTAAGGGAAAGTAGTGGGAAATTGAAACAACACGGGAAGTTCTGATATTATGAATCATGTGAATATATAAGGAATAACATGACATTGAGGTTCGTTTGTTTGACAGAAAATAATTTTCAATAAAAAAATAATTTTATAGAAGTTATTTTTTAAAAAATTATTTTTTAAAAAAATCTATTTTGACGTTTGACAATTACATGAAAAAATAGTTAAAAAATATATTTCAGTATTTGTTTGATATAAAAAACTGAAATATAAAAACATGTTATAATTGTTATATTAACAAGTTTTAAGTGAACTTCAACAAGGCATATTCACAATCTTATAATATAAGATGCATTTTGAAAAATTTAATAAATTTTTATAAATACTGACTATAAGATTTAAATTCAAAAAAACAAAAAATAAAAAATATATTTTTAATCATCAAATCAATTCATCAAAACTATTTAAGACAAAATTAAGTCAATATTTGCATTTAGGTAAAAAAAAATTCTAAGTAATCTCGGCATTGTTATTTTGGTAACTCAATTAACAATTCTTTTTTTTTTTTTTTTTGAAAATTAAACGAGATAATTTAGTCTAAAAAATAGTTTTATAAATTATTAGTTATCATTTGTAGATAATTATTTATTTTGTTTCAAAAGATTAATGTTGAGATAATCTGTAACTAATTATAGATTACAATTATCAACAAAATTTTACAACTGATTAAAATTAGTTACGAATTATTGATTTAATTACAAATGAATAATTTTTTGGATGATGGTAAAAAAAATAGAGATAAATTATTGAAATATTTATTATAAAAATAATTTTATGTAAAAATGTTTTTTAAGAATATTTAATGTATTTATAAATTGAAAAATCAAATGTTAGTAGAAATAGATAAAAAAATAATTTGATATATTTTAAATAAAAAAGAGATAGAAAAAAATTATTAAAATATATCGTGAGAGCGAGACAACTCGTTAGAGAAGAAAATGTTTTTCTTTTTTAACTAGAAAAACACTTTTCCCAAAATAACTTATCGAATTTCATTAATTGGAAATCAAATTCCGCAGGTTTTTTTTCTAAACACCAAACAAATATAAAAAATGAAGAAAAATTAAAAAAAAAAAAAACAGGTTCCCGAAACAAACACGGGCTCAACACACACTTCATTTCAATATGAGGTTGTTATTGGAGACCAAAAGAGCAACAAGCTGATGGTGATGCCAACTAACAGATTTTCTTATTGAAATGAAAGAAAGAGCACAAGCACATGTTTCCAAGCTTAATTAACTACAAAATTTCCACATCATCCATAAAGGATTGAAGGTTAACCTTAACCTTGGTAGTTATTATACAGGCACTTCAGTTATTTCCTAGTCTAAGAAGGTGTTGGTATTTTCTATGCTAAAGCCTAAAAGACTTCATAGCCTGAGGAGCTAACAATTGGAAAATTGAAGTCATTAGAAAAGCCAGATCACATGGCAATGCCTCTAGATTCAGCTTCAAGATACTTGCACATTCTCTCCATAACCTCTCGACCCTTGGCACTATTCTGCATGAACTTTTCAGCACATTTTTGCTCCACCTTTTCTGCCATTGATGCCAGTGCTGATAATGGCTTAATACGTATGCTCGTCTCTTGTCGACATACTGTCCACTCATCTGGATTCTCTGGGTGAGGATCATAGCGGATCTTCTCCTGCACTTCTAGGAACTTCTGCAGACTGAGGTTGCGAGTGGTAAGTTGCATTGACTTGCTTCGGGCATCAACAACTGTTGATTCAACACAGTGGCAGATATCCTGACCAATGATTTTGCGGACAAACCATGGTCCAGGTGCATGGACAGTAATGGCACGTGTGGTATAGAGCTTCCCAGATTCAGGATCCAGCTTATGGTTTAAAGTATCAACCTCAAGGATATGGGATAGAGTACGCTTGTTCTCGGGGTCTGCAAACTTGCGCCAAGATGCAGATGTTACCCTCTCCCATGGGTGCTTGTAAACATGCTCTTGTCCGTATGCTTTCACCATGCTGTTTCAACTGGTGCTCTACATTAAAGAACATAAAATTGGTAAGCACATTTTCACAAAGAGAAGGATAAGATTATATTTTCATGATCAATTCAGTTCATCATTCATAAGATAAGAAATTCTGGACAAAAAGGTGACCCAGAAGTCAAGCCCAGGCAGAAAAATAACAACCTAGTTTCCTTGTTTAAAAGCTTCCATTCTAACTTCATTTGCCCACCAAGAATAAAGCATCATATATAGCTTGTTTAATAGGTTAATGATTAACTAGAACGTCATAGAATGCAATGAAGTAAGATAATCAGAATGCCGAATGTCTATTCAACAAGAATTGCTTGCAAGCATCTTTGCTCACAATGTTTAATCGTCTTGATTTATATAGAAAAAAAGAAAAAAAAACACGAAAATGGTGACAATTATTTCCAGAGAAAAAGTTAATGCGTCCAAAGTACTTGCACTAGTTGATGGAATTGAAACAATTATTGGTATTACCATGCCATGGATGTAACTAATTACCAATTATCAAGATAAAAGGCGAATATGACCTCCTTTTTTTTAATTGCATCTATCTCATAGAAAATCCAAAAACCAATGAAACAAAACAAAACCACAATTTAATGAGAAGGCCAAGGCAATGAAAACAGTATTGCAAATTCAAAAACCCATCTTTCAATTGCATTTTAAAGCACAAAATTTAACGCACCAAATCCAATCAAAGCTATTATTTTCCTAAAACAATTATCAATATAACTCTTAAAAAAAATCACAGCCAATCAACAATCATGCCCTAAAGATCATTACAAGAAAAAATTCACATACGCACTAGGTACAGAAGTATAAGGGAATTTGTCGATTTGATCTATCTAAAGTCAAGGCAAAATATAGCACCAAAGTCGTGAAAAACAGAGATTTAAAAGATAACCCATTTTAGAGAAGATGATAAAGAAGAGATTTAGAAGTGAAAGAACGCACCTTGAAGAGAAAATTATGATGATGGAGAGCCGTGAAGATCTCACGGAGAGATGGAGGCTGGAAAAAGTTGTGAAATTCGTCAATATAGAAATGTGATGGCGTACCACAGTGCTTGCACATCCTTACCACGTTGTTGATGCTTGTACTTTTAAGACAATCTTGCCCTTGTTAATAAATTAGGAATGTTTTTAATTTTCTAATTCTTTTTTGACATAATAATTGATTAGGAAGTGGATTGGAGAAGAAGTAACTTCAATCCTATGGATAAAAAAATTCAATTTTTTCTTTCCACATGAAAACAATAAAAATAAAACCGTTGACTTGGGTGGATAATTAGATTTGTTTTCGGCGTCAAAATTCAAAGGAGGCTAAAAAACAAAAGAAAATTCTTACAAGATTCTTATATATATATACACACACTACAAAAGAAAATTTTAAATTCGAGAGAAAGGATATTAATGTCAATTGAGTTATTACTATATATTTAGATATAAATAATTCCCTTTTAAACTTATAAAAGAATTACTAAGTTATTTATACATTTTGTCAAGAAAATAATAATAATAATAGTACTAGTGGAAAATAAATCAGATTATACTGGACTGCCTAAGAAAAGGAAAAAAAAAAAAAAAGTGTCCAAGAGTGTTTTAGGTTCCCTAATCTTGATGAATTTTAGTAAAATGGTGTCCATTTGCAAATTGACCAAGCACTATGGTCAACCGTTACCCTCGCCAAGAAAAATCTGTGGGCGATATTCCTTCTATGAATGGACCAAATATTTCTTAATTTTTTAATTCATTTAAAAATTAGTGCTTAAACATTTAATTTTGGTTTGATATCTTTTGATTTTTGATTTTTTTTTTGAGATTTAGTTCATTTTATGAATTCTAGTTATTATCTTTTTTTAAAAAATAAATCATTCTTAATATTTTAACCAGACATTTTGCATGCAAGTTGGAAAAAATCAAATCTATTTTTTGAAAAAATTACAGAATTTTTTAAAGTTGAAATGTATATATATTCTATTTTTCGAACATTAAAAATAAAAATAATCCAAGATAATTTCAAATTCTAAATAAATGTTAGTGAATGACTTCATCATAGAAGTGTTTATGTGATTGATATTTTTAACAAAAAATAAAAAATAAAAGATTATTAAATCTAAAAAATGTAATTAAATTAAAAATTAAAAATTTAGGCATTGATTTTTAAATAGACTAAAGTTCTGAAAAGGTTTGACTTATGGAATCAGAATTTATTTGCCAATCAAACGAATTAACTCAAATTTCTTAATTAAATAAAAAAGGGTTAAATGGAAGTAGTGAACATAATTATTCTTCTTAACTTAGCATCGTTTTTTTAATAATATTGAAGATAAAAAAAATGATCTTTTAATATCATCATACTTAAACATGAATGACTCATTTAAATTCTTATAAAAAGAATACTTGTCGCTCTATGAGAGAAAAATAATTGATCCAAAGATAACTGAAATCATGAAGAAAAGTTACTTGGCAAATTATCTTATCCTCTTGCCCGTTATCTTCTGCATTTCAATTTTGAGTATACTTTCCAAGATACTAAAAAAGATAGATTTAGTTTAAAACAAGAATCGTGTATATATATATATTTTACTTATTGTACCAAAAAAAAAATTTAAAATTTTTAAATTATATTACCTTGTTCTTTTAATATTGAACAAAAAATACACAAACTAAATTTTTGTTAATCATATTAATACACGTGATTTTTTAGATCAAAATTTTATTAATATCCGATGTGACAGGAAAAAAAATTGACAAAAAAAACTAAAATTCCTTGTCTCATTAGATGTTAAATGAATTTTGACTAAAAAAAAAATGAATTGTGTTAATATGATTGACAGAAATTTATTTATGTATTTTCAATCAAATATTGAAAAAACATACTAATATGATTAAAAAAATATAAATTTGTATCTTTTTTTTTTTTTTTATAATAAGCCCCTTTTTTTTTTCCGATAAGATTAAGTACTAATTGTGGCATGAATCTTATAACGTATATGTAAAAAAAGAAAAATGAAGTATAACTTCCAATACACCTAATAATTTCTTAAAAGAAATAAAAGAAATAGGGATGGCAATGGGGTGATCCCCTTCCCTGCCCAGCCCTGAAAAATTTTCTCCGTCCCCGCCTCGTGCCTCGAACAGGCCAAAATTTCTCATATCATCCCCGCCTCAAATGAGGACGGGGATCCCCGTGAGGTAAACAGGACCTAAATGAGGTAAAAATTATTATTTTTTTTAATTTTAGTCTCATTTTATCCAATTCTATTATCAAATTTTAAATTATAGCAAAAAAATGATAATTTATATAGAAAATAAACTTTAAAAGTCACAAATTATAGATTTTATATGGGATATAATTATAATTTTAATGAAAAAAAAAATGAGACAAATGGGGCGGGGCAGGCAAATCCCATCCCCACCCCGTCCCCACTCGTCAGGCGCCCCGCCCTGCTCCGTTCCCCCATCAACGCGGGGATTGGAAAAATTGATACGAGACAGGTCAAGGCTCCGTTGAGACGGGTAAATTGCCATCACTAAAAAAAAATCTAGACAAGGGAAACAAGATTTTCTTCATGGATGGAAGGAGAAGTAGCATTCACATTCTGGTAAAGATTACATAAAAGAAAGTACCAAAACGATCATTGAAAACCGGAAAAATTCGTAGATATCGTTAGAAAATTTATGGATATTTAGCACATTACAAAATTTGGGTCAGACTTAAGACCCATAAATAACTGACATGGAAAGTATAAACCCAATAAATTGCATTTCAGGGTCGAGTCAGTTCACCATCATCTCCGGTTAAAACCCTAGGCTACATTTCCTCTCTCAAGAAAAATAAGCAACAAAATGAAAAGAAGGCTTTCAAATTATGGAAGAAGAAGGCCCTAGAGCTAGCTACCTCTTTAGGGTTTTGCTTTAAAAATCAACTCCTATGGCTTAATCAAACATAAAGAAAGCATAGTAAAATATATTAGTCCCCATCATGCATGCATGCATCCTCCTTTATCCCCATCTCTTGATCATAGACATTTTTTTTTTTTTACCATTTCCAAGATTTGATCACTCATTCCACATTGTAAAAACACCTGGGTTGGATCCCTGAACTGATTCCCCTGACCAAGTTCCATAGCCAGCAGATGGCATGTCATAATCAACCTTAACAAGTGCAAGTTCCTCAGCTGATCCAACTGCATTAGACCCTGTAGAAGTGGAAGCCATTCCCAGCCCATTTCCTAGAAAGCCTCCGGTACCATAACTCCCACTGGAGCTGCCATTATTCTCCATTACAGATGATGAAGAACCCATGTTCCACAATCCATGAAGCAAAGCTGGATTGTTTTGGATATAACTGTTGTAATACTGAGGGTTTTGGCTTGATTGGTTGTTATGATGCAGGAAACTAGTCCCTGTAGATTGCTGGTGTAAATGAAGCTGTGTTTGAAGATAATTTTGGTGAAATGAGGAATCTTGAGTGTACTGAGAAATGTCTTGATTTTGTAGAGTAAGTAAAGGTTGAGGTTGTTCAAATGGTGTCTGCATTAGAGAGTAAGCTTGTAGTCTGCTAGAGCTTGAAGTTGATCCGTATGGGTAACTTGAACCAAGAGCAATCATTTCTTCTCGTTTTCGCGATGATTCGATTGCTTGAGCCTCCTTTAGCCGTTTGGCTGCCCCCCTCCAATTGGCAAAGTATTGCTCTCAAGAATGCTCTTCACATCATATCGATTCATGTCAAAGTTAGTCACTGCATTAAGCCCTCTAAACTTTATTGCTGCTATGTCATAAGCTTCTGCAGCTTCCTCCTCAGTGCCTGCATAAAATTAAAATTAAGTTTCGTTTCACTTCTTTATTCAATTCAAATAATTGTTCAAAATAATAATAATAATGAAGGTTACCATAAGAAGTATAGAAAGTAAAAGAATGTTCTGTAATAAATGTGCATGGAGACAAAAATGACTTACTAAAAGTTCCCAAGTAAAGATCTTTGTTTCCTGCAACTCTGCCAATCCTTGCTTGCCATCTTCCATGTTGGTGATGCCTAATCCATGATATTTATATAAGAGAGAGATCAGAAATGGGGAGAGGGAAGGGGGAAGAAGGGAGATGTTAAATGTGGAACCTTGTAACTCCACGATACATGGATGCACCCCTAGAGAAGCCACTACTCTTCCTGCGATTTATCAACAAGAAAACAATTAGTGCTAGCTGTTATAGTAATGGTAACGAAAATTTTGTGTAAATGGAATCATCTGGTGCCAAATTGTAGTAGCTAGTACCTTGGCTAGTAGCTAGATAACTATTTTATATCCTTACCTTCTTATGGAGGCAACAAATTCTTGTCTGGTCATGTTCTTCATATCCTCTAGTTCTTTCTCATAGTTGCCGATCTGCAAAAAAGAAAATCAAGAACAAGTTGGCATGTATTCATGAAAACCATGCATCTGTCAGAAGGTTTTGAAACTAGAAAAAACTTACTGGAAAATTGGTAGTGGTGGATGTTCCCCAGTACTTAAGTGCAGCAAGATCATAAGCCCTAGCAGCCTTTTCTTCTTTGTCATAGCCACCTAAAAATTAACAGAAGATAGGCTTAGCTATCATATGAAAGAAGAAGGAGCATAAAAATTCTCAACAAAAATGTATAATGAGAAGTGAACTTTACTCACCTAAATAGACTGCAAGAATGATGGAACCAAAGACAGTCATCATGAAAATAAAGAAAAAAAGTTAGTAACATGTAAATTAGGATACAAGTAAAATTATAAACCCTAGAAGGTCAATATCGAATATCGTGTACCCTGTCTTCCTTTCCTAGATTGGCCTTCTCTTCTGCAACTATTATCCCATAAATGAGCTTCGTACCTTCCAGTCCATCGATGCCTACATATACATGCGCAAAACTACCCATTTCAAAATCCAAAACTACAAACAAAAGATCATCAAAGAGGGGAGAAACAGAAAAACATAAAATCAATATTTTAGCAGTACTAGTTACGTCCACCCACCTTGTTACACCACGATATATGGATGTTCTTTGCCCAAATGTATCCAAAGTCCTTCTTGGCGCAGCAGTTTCAATAGTGCTATTATCACAACTGGTTTCACAGGTTGAACTCTTACCACTAGCACTACCCATAGACAATGTTAATGACTGCAAATTGCTAGAATTTTCTTGAAATTCATAGTTAGTACTAGCTGCTACCACAGCATTTTGGACTGGAACCAGACTATTGCTTGAAAAGAGAAACTCAGAATCATTAGCTTGAATTTCATTGAAGGCAACAAGATCTGATTGATTCTCAGATTTGCTCACACCAAGAAAGTCTGCAACCTTTGGCACTTCATTGTTGCCTTGACTGTTAAGAAGACTCCACTCTAAAAGGAAACCAAAAATAAAGAATAAAAAATAAAATTAAAGAGAGATATAAAGAAAGAAAGTGAATAGGCAATTATATATAGTCCTCTAAGAAGACGACGAAGAAGAAGAAGAAACCATAAGAGATGTACCTTGAGTTTGAAATGGGTTTTCCATATTATCACTGACTAACCCTAGAGAGAATTGATGAGGGTGAGATGCATGTAGATGGGTAGGCAAGGAAGGATGAGTAGGAGAAAGAGGAAATGAAAGCCAGTTGTTTGAATTCATGGATCCAATAATTCTTTGAAAATGACCTGAAGGATAATTAAAGTTGCTTGCACTTCAAAAGATCAAAAACCTCCTGCATGTAACAGAATATAACATAAAGACAACTTCAAAATACAACTTTTGAGGGGGAAAAAAAATTAAAGATAGCACATGAGAAAAGTCATCAAATCTTTGCAGCTATATGTTTACCTATATAAGTAGTAGCTATACAGGGTTCTCAACACTGCTCTCTCTCTCTCTCTAAATTTTTGACCTAAATGAAGATTGTATTTCAGGGAACATAGAGAAGAGAAGGGAGGAGGAGAGGCTGAAAAGAAAGAATTTTGAGAAAGATACAAAGTACTTAAAATGCAAGAGTCTTTCTTTCTTTCTCTCCTTCTTTCCTTCTCTCTCTCTCACACACAAAGAAGACACAAATCAACCAAGTTGTTCCTTTCTTACCCCTTTTGCAATGGTCATTTTAAGCGGTCTACTCTCAGCACCATTTTCCAACGCTTCAAAACCAAGTCATTATCACACTATAATATTACAAAATCTACATAGGACACGAGTGTATCATATTAAACTATCTACTACTATACAATTTTTTAATTTTTTTTTTTTTAAATTGTTCTAGATATTAAAATATACATGAGCTAGCTAGAGCTTCTTTGATCAGCCTTTGTATAGAGACAAACCCACAAATCCAACTGGAAAAATCCAATTAATACCTCTCCCTTAACTCTTTATAAAAATCTTTCACACCCCACTTGGTAAATTTATTGGAACTCTCGTCCTCGTTCAATGCAATATATGACTCCCCAAAGCCCAGCATTCCCACACTATGCAAATCATCTCTCACTCTAAATATCGACCACTCTACGCAAAGTTACCTGATCTCTCTCTCTCTCTCTCACTCTCGTCTTCAAGAAACGAAGATTATATACATGGGATGATCAAACCCATAAACCATAGAAGATCTCTCATCTCTCTCACAAATGGGTTATCACCAAAAACCAAATTTGTGGATCCCCGAGTCCCTGCATGTGTTAAAGATGCATGTGTACGGACATGCAATATTTTAGGGTTAAAATCCGACATATTAAATATTAAAAGTACTAGAGAAAGGAAGGAAGAGAGTTACCATTTGTTCAAAACTTGGACCACTAAAAAATTTAATTTGGTTCAAATGAAATTAAGACTTTATTTTTTTTGAAAGATTTTGTTTTGATTTCCCCGAGTAGAAATCTGTTGACCACCTCATTGATCTTTGTGCCCCGTCAAAAAAAAATAATAATAAAGATTAAAATAAGTTCTTATTTATGTCCTATACATGCATTAGAAAATTTGCTTTGTATGTGCTCAACAGTTGTTTTCTTAGGTGCATTGTCTTCCATTTAGCTAACCATGCTCATGAAATTGATCAATTGGGCAAGTTGTAATGTAGATGAAACTTCACTATAAAATAAATTTAGTTCCATTTTTTCCTAGTATATACATACATTCTTTAATTTTTTCATAGATTAGAACAAGGTTTTCATTATCTCAACTTTCTGACAATTATTTACGTTGGTTAAGCTACAACTTATTAACAAGATCTTACAAATTGAAACTCACTACTTGTAGCACTATATAACCACTAATCTCTGAATAATATTAAGTTGAAGCATTAATCATTCAATCTCAAATCTCTATTTTAACTCGAATGCATCTAGAATGTAATTTTATACTTCAAAATATGACCATGTATCCAAACATTTATGTATACAAATCAATCTACATTACTTTCACGTGCGTAATGTTAAATATTTAAAACAGAGAATATGATAAGGACTTAGTCTACTTTATGTTTGAAGGTTCAAGATATCCACATGAAGTTAGGCAAATTCTGGCAAGGGAAGTGTGAAACTGTTCATCCATCATTTACAAACTGAAACTTTTCAGAGTTTCAATGTTCAGATCATAAACTAGTAGACTGTAGTACTACTTTTGTAAGAACTAAAGTAATAAATTCTCAGAATCTAAAGTCTAAAACCACCCAAGTAATAATAAATAAGACAACGTTCTACAGCACCAAGCTGTAAAGATCAGAGATCAAGAAAAAAGAAAACAAAATCACCTGCCATTGTTGATGACACAGTTCCCCTCAAATTCTTGAACATAAATATATAAGACTACGTTGACTGAATTGCACCACAATAAGGGAGCAGAACCCACGTCTCTCGCTTTCTCTCTTCCTCTCTTATCTCTTCCTGTTTAATTTTCTCATCTCTAAAAACCTACAAAATAACCAGCTGATTACCTCAACCATTCACCCAAATCTTGAAAAATATATATATGAAAAAAAAAAAGAAAAAACATTTACTTACATTAAAAGTCTGCAACCAAACAAGAATCTCTTCATCTCTCTCTCTATGTTTTGGAAAATGTGAAGAGAAAGAGAGAGAAGACACCGGCCATTTAATCAAAGAAGGCTCAAGTCGATTCAGATATTGCGGCCAAATGCAGAGGAATGTGACTGACACGTGCCAGTTGTTGTTTTTTGGACTTTCGAAAGAAGTTGTCAGAGTCAGTAGGAGGAGGAGGAGGAGGAAGGAGGAGGGCCAATTATCCGGTTTGCATGCTTTGCACAAAAAAACACAAAATAGAAGCATAACTTTGACCATTCTACGACTAAGAAGTAAGAACATAAGTTTCTACTTTTCATTCTTACTATATTGCCCTTCAATTAATATGCCTCTTGTCTAAGTTTCAAATTGGGAACTAAAGAGTTCATGAAATTAATTGCACTTCATTGCTTTCTCTAGAAAAAAAGAAGGTGCTTTTGATTGGATGCATTTAAAGTTTTTATTTTACCCACTTGGTATTATACTTCCATTCCTTTGAAATTTAGAAGTTTTTTCATTACATTACAAGAATTTATTCGAAAAAAAAACGAGATATATTTTGTTTCACTAGAGTTATTTGATTCTTGCATTTCAAAATTTTTTTTATAATATATCAGAATAATCATTTATAGGATTTAATGATTCCTAGGAGTGGATTCATCCTTTTAATTGTCGGTGATCTTATGATTTTTTATATTTACATGTGATTTGTTAGAGACTCTTATTCATATCATTCTAATGCAAGTTATATAAATTTTTCATAAAAGTACAGTTAGTTCAAGATGAATGTAGTCAGTTAAAACGAGATTTATAAACCTGAGCTGACAAATAATCTACAAGAATAAAGTAAGAAAATTTTTACATATTTATAAGAGATGATAGTTGAACTATATCCTCATTGCAATGCATTATTGTATTTGACCAATGGCCATCAATGAATTCCAAAAGCAATTAGAAAACAAACTGTGGACAAAGTTTATATCCAACACGAGTAAGTGCTGATTTTTTTGTTTAATATAGAGGGTTGGTAAAAGAAAATTAAAAAAAAGGGGGTGGGGGGAGGGAATCTTGTATGACTCTTCAACCATATTTTTTTCTCTTATAATGTACGATTTTTTGTGTGGAATGTAATCTCATGGTCCTAAATTATATGCAAGATGTATATAATTGTCGACCGAAAGTCTTAAGAGTGATTCAAGATTTCTTTTAAAATTCCAATTTGCAGAACTAATTCCTAATGTTTGATGGCTGTGATAAAATCTATGCTTCAATTGGTGTGCATCCTTGATTCGTGTAAACATATAAATGATGTTACAAGAACATGTACTAGAAGAAGAAGAAGAAAAAAGTGAGAGGGTATGTGCATGTAAATTTAATGGTGGAATAAGGGCAATTTGGGGCAAAGAAGCTCACGAGAATCCAGAGAAAAGTTTTGAGAATTTCCAAGCTGTGGGAGGAAACGCCGGGAAAGTGCTCGTGTCGCCTCGAAATGAAGCACTTAGAAAGGCAAATGAATTTCTAGGAACCCTTGTTTTCTTCTTACATACAAAGTACAAACCCTAATAGGGTTAGGGTTTAGACTAGTGTTAGCTAGGGCTGTTTTGGAACCACCAGTGCCAACCTTATAACGGAAGCGAAAAGACAAAAAAGGAAATGAAATTCATAAATAAGCTTTAGCACATAGTAGTTAACAACCAAACATGAACTGTAAATGGTGGATGCATGCTAATTAATAAGGGGAAACATGTTGGAATGAATTGAGGAAGTTCATCATTGATTTTGGGCTGGATATCAACAAAATGTTTCATCACCTTTATTCACATATAGATGTTGCAAGAAGTTTTGTTTTTTATCATCAAAAGTTACATGAGACTGAGCTAATTCGAAAAATGATAAATTAGTTTCAATTTATATGAAATTTGTTTCGAAAATGTCTTATTATCTATAAATGTAAATATATATATATATAAAAAACCATCAAAAGTTATGCAAACAAAATTTTGTGGCCAACTCCAAAGTTCAATTATTAGAATTTTGAAAACACTCTCACATTGTCTAGCTAGATGGCTAGTTTTTCAAAATTGTTTGCCAAATTAGGAAGCTAATTAAGGATCATGGATTAGTATCATCGAATGCAACAAGATCAATTACTAGGTTACTCTAATCTAGCTGCCTCAAGGGTAATTAAAGCAATATGCAATAAGAATATAAATGTTTGGGGATAGTTTCGCTTTTTGAAATTATCTAGGCTTCTCATGTTTTTGAATGCAATCTAAACTAAGCCCTAATAAGTTGGTAATGTCAGCATCATTTACGTTCCATAAAAGTTAGAACTATTTCAGTGGCCGATGTAGGTAGCAGTACCCAATAACTTGTGAATATATATACTCCCTAGACATTCTTATTTTGATCCAAAAAGACATCAGCAGTAACGCAAGTTAAGGAACGATATTTGTGCAGAAAATAATTTCTACTTATATTATGATTTACTCCAGCATGCATTGACTGGATTAATTGGTTTAATTTCCATTTTCCATTCATTTGGTTTAATTTTCTAAACAAAGAAACTGAAGAAGAAGAAAAATGGGATTGAAGTTATTGACCTACCTAGAACGAGTAATAAACATGACTTGACAGGATAATTTTCATCAAGTACCAATTATTCTTTTTCTTTGTTCTTTTAAAATTTATGATAGTAGAGTATTTTCAAATTAACTTTTATATCAATCGAAACTAAATCTATTACTTTCTGAGTTAGATTAATATCATATTACGTTTAGCTTTTAATCAGTTTTAAAGACCAAATTATTTGAATCAATTGACGAGTTTATGTCCAATGACATACAAAAAAGAGAAATTGTTTTTTTTTTCAATAATAAGAATCAAACTCCTAATATAACGAATCAAAAATATTTTTCTTACTAGTTCACTTACAACCTTTCAATGATATACTAATGAATCTTTAATGGTATAAACACTAAAATTCTAGAATGATTATTAGTTGAGAAAGTTACAGTGTGACGCGAGATGTTCTTTACGGATGAGTATGTGATAGACTATTTATCTTTCCATTTCTTGTACCATTTTATTTTATTTTTATTTTTGAAAGAGAATTTGAGCCATTGCTCTCTATCGGAAAATATGGGATAGATTATACCTATCCTTTTTTTTACCATTTTTTCCTCTTGAGAGAGATAGAATTTGATTTGTTGCTCGGGCTTGCACTAATTTGAAAAAAAAATAATTATAACTCCAAAATTTCTCAGTCGAATTAAACCAACTTATATAGATTAGTACCGGTGACAGTTTCAATGTCCATATTACGATATAGAATCAGCTTCTCGATCATCCAAACACCAGCATTGACGAGCATGTGGCTTGTTTGATATTTTGTGGAGGAGCTTGAACTTCAAATTAAAATAATCCATATTGTTATAGCAGGAGATATATTATAATTCTTGAAGCAACCAAGAAATATAAAATTAATTTTTTTTTTACTGAATATATATAGTAAGAATAAGTGAGGCATTATTTCGATAAGTATTTAAAGCCACTTGCCTACCCCTCGACAATCTCACTGGTAATAAGAATTTTTTACAATTTCGATAGAGTATAGAAGATAAAAGATCAATAACCTTATGGTTAAATAAACAAAAGGGGACATCTATAAGGCATGTGCGTAGCATTATCTTGTTTTATGCAATGCAAGTTTGATAAAAAAAATAATAATAAGAAGTAACGATCAATTAGAATACTAATGAACTATGTTTTAATTAAGAATCCTCCAATCTTAAAATATATCATAGATTGGAGGGAGGGAATCAGGGAGAGGGGAAAAAAATCTTTCAGATGCAATTTTGACTTTCTTCATTGATTGATTCAATGGGATTTTGCTCATGCATGTTAGCCTCGATGTTTTGATCTTATCACAAGTATGAATATTTTGTTTATGGTGCCAAGAGGTCATAAAAGAAGGGACCTTAATCATTTACACCCAAACAAAGGCATGGAAGCAACTTTCAGTTTTGCATACAAGACAAATATTATTATTGTGATTTACACTTGCCAGAAAGTTAACCATATCAATGTTAATGTATATCCCCAGATAATTTATACGTATTTTTCCAATTCTTTACCTTCTTGAGAAAACAAACCAATTAAAAATGATAATATAGGTTTATTTAGCCACAGAATACATCCTTTGCCTTCACAAACTCCTCATGATCTCTATTTTTACCTTCATATTTATATTATTTTTGCCTCCATATTCATCAAGGATAATTTTTTAAACTTTTTATCTACATCTGTTTAGATTGGAGATGCGTAACATTTTCGATTTTAATTTACTGAAAAACTTATGATTTATAAAAAACAAATATGCGAAAGAAAATATATGCAAAAAATTGATCGCAAATGGTATAAAAACATTGCAATATTCCATATTCATTAAAATTAATAGTACATTAATGAAAATTTATAAGCCAAGTTTATAAATACAAAAAAAAAAAATTATGAATATAAATCTTTCTCCATGCATGTGTTCATCGATGCAGACATTTGCTGACCTATCAATGGACCCACATGGATCCATTAGGGGATAATGTTGTATGTTTACTGTTTAGACTTTAATTAGCCCATAATTTATTTGGATTGTCAATGTTTATAGCTTCTTACTTAAGTGGGCCCAGTTGAAAGGAATTTGTTGGGCTATTAGTCCAAGCTAAAGTTGAGTAGACTGGTTCTGGGCTTTACGAAGATGAGGCTTTTAGCTAGTTAACGATTGATTAGGGTAAATCGTGTAGCATTCAGTATGAATCCTGAAGGCTAAATTGTTCAATACTTTCCCAAACTAGCAACCGAAAAATAAATAAATAATAATAATAATAATAAAATACATGAATTAAAAATCCTTGATTTTTTCACCCCTTAAATAACATGATTTTTTGAATTCATTCCTTCCATTAGAATTTTATTAAGAAATTGAAGAAAAAATCCATAAAAATCCTTCCAATTTCTATACTTTTCTTTGTCAATTAGTAAAAAATGTCTATTAATAGAAAAAAATAAATTGAAAAGATTTTAAAGGACTTTTCAATCAATTTTTCAATTAAAAATCTTAAAATAAGAAATAAATTCAAAAAATCATATTACTTCGAGGATAAAATTAATTATTTTTTTAGTCATTATTCCAAAACCATCTATCTAGATTTATTAATTATTACTCCACGGAACGAGGGGAAATCTGCATTGACGACTAGCTGAAAGAGTATGTTTTCCACAATCTTTTAATTAATGAGTTTTGTTTTCTTCTCTTGTATTTGGGTTATAATATTGCTTGATTATACACTTAATTAATTTATTTTCTTAATTATTTAAGCTGGTTGCTTAATATTCACCATTTGGAACCATATTCAAATGGAAGAATAGGTCATTGACTGACAATTTTTTTTAAAAAAAAGGTATTAGCAACAAATCAGATTATATATTACCACAATTACATTTTTTTATGGGATTGCATAAATTTATTAAATTTTTTTTTCTTGGACTACATGGTATAATTAATGCTAAGATAATGTTTAATGTTAATATATATAGGCATTTGTGAACTCATCATTACGCTAACAATTGGAAATGCTATGTTTCAAAATCACTATCCCTGTTCTCCTTTCTATTTATAATGTTCCAGAAAACCTTATAAAATACAAAATTTTTGTTACTGTACTTTCTTAAAATACATCTAATTTATAAAGAAAATCAATTATTTCTTACAATTTTTTCTTAAACAAAAAATATCGTGATAAAAAAAACTGTTAAAAAATGCTGTTATAACACTATAATTATTTACATTTCTTAAACTGTGTAAAAAATTAAAAAAGACTATCACTTTCAGACAAAGAGAGTATACATCTAATTTATAAAGAACAATTTTTTCTTACATTTTTTTCTTAAACAAAAAATGTTGTGATAAAAAAAACTGTTAAAAAATGCTGATATAACATTATAATAATTTAGATTTCTTAAATAGTGTAAAAAAATTAAAAAAGACTGTCACTTTCAGACAAAGAGAATATATATATATATATATATATATATATATATATATTCCTCCTGATTTCTATGTTCGCCTCCATTTGGATAGAGGCCTGTAACATTTTCGATAATCTTATTGAAGACTTATAATTTATAGTAAAACAAATATGGCAAAGTAAATATATGTATAAAATTGGCTACAAATACTTAAAAAAATGATAATATCCATATTCAATAAAATTAATAATACATTGATGACAAATTAAAAAGCCAAGATCATAAATACAAAAAATTATGAATATAAATCTTTCTCAATGCATGTGTCCATGATGCAGATATATGCTGATCTCCATAGATCCGTGGGCCCACATGGATCCAACAGTGGGTCCATTGAACTAGTAGGAGATTATTTTCGGAAATCCATTTGGGGTTAGTTTTGTATGTTTAGACCTCAATTAGCCCATAATTTATTTGGACTGTGGATATTCATTGCTTGTTTGTTAGATGGGCCCAGTTGAAAGGAGTTTATTGGGCTACTAGTCCAGGCAAAAGTTTCGAAGACTGGTTCTGGGCTTATGAAGATGCAGGCTCTTAGTTAATTAACGGGTTGATTAGGGTAAATTGTGCAGTATCAAGGGAGTACCAAATTAGAAACTACTTTCCCAAATTAGCCAAAAAAAAAAAAAAGAATTAAAAATCCTTTATTTTACCCTTTTAAATAATATGATTTTTTGAATTCATCCCTTCCACTAGATTTTCGTTGAGAAATTGATGAAAAAAATCCATAAAAATCCATCCAATTTCTATCATTTTCTCTATCAACTTAGGAAAATATGTCTATTAATAGGAAAAAAAAAAAGAAATTTGAAAGATTTTTAAGGACTTTTCAATCAATTTTTTAATAAAAATTTCTAAAAAGAGCAACAAACTCCAAAAAAAAAAAATCATATTATTTAAGAGAAAAATTAAGGATTTTTTTTAGTCAATATTGCAAAACCATCTTGCAAGGTTGATTACTCAATAGATTGAAGAGGGGAATCTGGTTTGACGGCTAACTGAAAGAGTATGTTTTCCACAATCTTTTAAGGAGTTTTTTTTTTAAAAAAAAATTATGATTTAATTGTTAGGAAATGAATCAAGTAAAAAGATATAACGGAAAAACTAAAAACCAATCATATAACACAAGTTGTACATGATTCGGCAAATTGTGGTTATTTCACGGTTATACTAAGAGTTTTTATTAAGGTTTTTGATTAACGGCACCAAATACAAAATATATTGTCTCATTTATCTTATTAAAGTTCTTATTTGAGTTTTTCAAAAGTTGTGTTAATTCTGTGTATCATGCTAAATTGTGGATCATATTCACATCAATCTTCATAATTTAATAATAATATTGCTTGATTATGCTCTTAATTAATTTTTTTCTTAATTATTTGATATGGTTGCTTGTTTTTCACCATTTGCAACCATATTCAAATCAAAGAATGAGGTCAAAATCAAGTTTGTTCGAGAATTAACAAACAGTTTCCTAAGATTGCTTTTCGGTTGAGTCATTGACTGACAATTTTTTCATAAAAAATAGGTATAAGCAACAAAATCAGATTATATATTACTATAATTACGAATTTTTTTATGGGAATGCAATAAGATTGATTAATGTTAAGATAATGTTTGATGTCGATATGAAAAAGTAAATATTTATTTAGGCATTTGTGAACTCATTATTACTATGACAGTTGGAAATCCTTGTAATTGGTAGCAATGATAGTATAATTGAAATCGTTTGTGCCATCAATGGCAAAAACAACAATCATTTTAATAATTAAAACACTTGAAAAAACAATGTTAAAAAGAGGGAAACATGTACAAAAAGGAAACAAAAAGCAAAATTTGCAGTGCTTCTTTTTTCTCTGTGGCATGAGCTACAGGTACCAAAGTTATCTTCTATACGCTCCATTATGAAGTTGCAGAGGCTAGTGGATACTTCCATCACGAAACAGACATGCTATCTATGGCTCTGCAAAAGTTCTCAATTATGGAAAAATAACTGTAAAGATAGACCAACTTGAGTCATGATCAATCAAGCTGGCTAGACCCACACCCCATGTATTCAGAGTTTAACCAAACGGCTATCGAATTCGAAGATCACAATCATAAAACACTTGAAACAAAAATTCAAACAAAGAAATAAAAGCACAATGGATTTCATAATACATGTTATAATTACGACGGAATATTATTTGCTAGAGTTGTAAGAAGAGTATTTTTTATTTGCTAGGTCAGGAATTCGATTCCCATAGTTGTAAAACTCCCTCTTTTCTTTTGTGTATCACTCAACATAGACCGCTCACTAATAAAATTTCAAATAATCTAATTCTTAAAATTAATTAAAAAAATAAATATGGTTCGATTATAGTCCAATCTAAAGAATAATAAAATTAGTCTCGATCAATGCAAAGATTGATCCGAAAATATTTTACTATTTATAAACATAAAAGAAAAAAATATTCATTGTAATTTTCTTACAAATAATAATCAACATCCGTGTAAATGGTCTTTTTCAGGTTTTAATTATTTATTTGGTGGGTCCTTATAGCAACTACATGTATATATGGTGCATCCATTTTGAGTGCAAAAAAAAAAGGTAATGTAAAATGTTTCCTAGCTTGTTTCCCACTGTTAACCATTATTGAAGAAAGTCTTCAAGCAAATCCAAAGAAGTTATTATACAATAATTATTTCTTTCTATGATGGAATGCATACACTATACAATTCATTTTGATCGTACAATATATATACATATATATATACTTTCTTACAGCTTTGGCTTGTCTGTTTGCATGCGTGCAAAGGCAGCTAGCTAGCATATGTCGGATTCCACCACTTATCTTGTTTTTTGAGTGCCCAATCACTTAACCATAATTAATACATATATGATAGTTTTAACAATAATAATACTAATTGCATGTATTGATAACAATTTGATCAGTATTATTATTGTTTAATCAAAATGCTTCATCCTTTTGTACTTCAAATCATAGAGTGCGTGTTACATTATTGATCTACTTGCTTAAGTGTGACTCTTTGGGATGAGAATGTTATTGCCTACATCATCAAGTTAATGACCATTCAACAAAAATAGATTATTGTTTAGGAGAAGATCAAAAGTTTTTTCTATATGTTTAACATGAGTTTGAAATGTACATGGATAAAAATAACCTATTGTTGCCAAATTAATTCCCAAAAAGTTAAGATCGAGTTTTTGAAATTCAAATATCTAATCGCTTATGATAGTTATACTATCTCGTCAAAAAATCATTTTAACTTAAAAGTTTAAGTTATTAGACGAGACTCTAGAAAGTAGTTTATTTTTCTCTCTTACACACTTATTTAAGTGAATTTTTTGCACTTGAAACTTACACAAACTCACCACTATTTTGTACTTAATTTTTTTAATTAAAATTGAAAGTGCAGGTGATGAGATTCGGACTCATGATTGTTTGATTATTAGAACTCGATACTATATCAAAGAATCATCTCAATCCAAAAAGTTAAACTATTAATTAGGTAATGCTCTAAAAATGATTTTACATTACTCTCTAACAATATCATATCAAATAAATTAATATTCAACTTTTTTTCATCATGATCCATTTAGTATTCAATTTTCAATATAAAAATTTAAGTTGTTAAATAAAAGATAAAAATAAATTTTTACATTTAATCTTTTTCTTAATATTAAACTATTATGAAATTCAAGAACTTTTAGAATCATATATTTTCTTTCTAGATAAAATTTAATGTAGGATTTAGCATAATTATATATAATTCTTGTAGTTCTATACTTGAAAATTAAATTCATGAAGCTATTTGGAAGTAATATATATATTAGATAACCTTTTAAAATCAGCCTTGGAGTTCAGTGTTGATATGTTATTTCTTTGTGCTCAAAGTGCTTGCTTGACCAACATGAATATTTGAAGATAAACTAGTTAAAAAAGATTCTAATCAGTATCTTGAAATTTATATATTGTTGGCGCCCTTTATATGATAAAAGAAACCAAAAAAAAATTAACATTTTCAAATGATAAAATTAACTACTAAGTAGGCATTCTTTTTGATGGTGAAATCATGGCCGACAAAGGCATAATCAAAGTATATATGCCTTTTTCCTTTAAAGTACATGGGTTCCTAACTTTGACATGGGTGGAGGAATATTTTTTTAACTTTCCTTTTACTTTGAGCTGAGGTGGAAGCTTATATTTTCAACCACCAAATGATGGCAGACAGGAACACATTCTATGAAACTTCAAATAAAATTTCTTGGTGGGGTTATTATGTCTCCAACATAGGCTCAAAAGATAGCCAAAAAGAAAATAGTGAGCAAGATATTGTGTTGCCTAAAGTTGGAATATATGGGGTTTTAGATGTGTGGATCCTTTTCCAAAGAATTACTTCTATATGGTTTAGGAGATGCCAAAGTCTTAAAGATCCATCAACCTTGATCTGTCATTGTTACCTACCTAGCTAGCTAATTGCATTTTTAACCTTAAAGATATGTGAATATAATTACATGACTAGCTCATGTTGTCCATGCCATGGCCAACAACATCACATGACAATTTTTTGGTGGGCTTTTGGTAAACAAGCAAAAGAAATTACCCGTTTCTAGAAACTACCAGGGTTAACCTCAAATCAGCTAGCCCCTAATGTTCAATTTCATCCCAAAAGAAAATATTATATAATTTGACCCCTAATGTTTCATATCTCTCTCTGTTAGAGGGCCTTTAAGCCTACGTAATATGAGGATTCATCTTACCAGAAAAGATGGGTTTTGCTTCATTAATAACTTTATATATATATATATATATATATATATATATATATATATATATATATATATATATATGTCAAATAATTATCTTATTTAAAAGTTCAAGTTATTAGATGCGATTTTAAAATATAATTTATATTTTTTTCTAACATATCTTTTCAAGTGAAAGCTTTTTAGATTGAAAACTTATATAGACCATGATCGTTAGGTTAACAAGACTTTGATATCATATTAAAATTAGGTTAACGAGACTCGATATCATATCAAAAAACCATCTCATTTAAAAGTTTAAACTATTAGATGAGATCCTAAAATATTATTTATATTATTGTTTAACAATAAGTAACTTTTATACCTCGATCAAATTTGCTAAGAAAACATTGAAAGATTGTTAGAAATTTCCTAAAAGTAAAGAATAATTGATCTTCATTGTCTCAAAACTTAAAATTACACAAGGTACGTTCTTTCTTTAAGAATTCATAAATAATGACTATTAAATTAACGTAGGAAAATTATAATCTAGCTAGAATCATATTGCAATAGCTTTAGGGACAAAGGAACATGATATTTCCCTCTCAATTTCTATTTTGTATCAAGCTGTTTATAAAAACGGACAAGAAATAGCCATAGATAGGACTGAATCCTAGGAATAAGCAGGCTTGAACTAAAGATAAAAGGCAAACATCAATCTCAACCTCGTTTCCCCTTTTTTCCTTTCCCTCTCTAACTTTATGTGCGTGTGCATGCATCTTTTTTTTTTTTTTCCTTTTTGTCTCACTAATTTGCAAAGATTTAAAGAGAATTTCTTCTACAACAAACAATTATTGTTTAACTAATAATATTGCTTATCATCTCAATGCTTAATTTCGATTAGACACTATTCACCATGCACGCATACATAATTAATTAATCTAATTAGATCGATGTGGATATATCAACGTCATTACTACTTTTTCTTTTATAGATTTGAGCCGATTTTCTTGCCGGATGGAACAAATTGTTCCAAGAAATATATGAAGCAATAGTATTATTAATTTGGTTATTCTTGAGCAAGAACATCATGGAATAATGCTTGATATACTTAAATTTGTATGAAATTTCTTTAATAAATGATGTAGGACCTTATGCTTGATCGATGTTTCATCAATCTTTCTATTCCATAACTATTTTCTACCATTAAATTTGATAAAAGTCGTATTTCATGATTGAATTACTCTCTTTTTATTTAGTAATAGTAAGCAAATCTCAACAAAAAGTTCAAATATTCTTAGCATTATTACTCAATCTAATCACAAAATCACTTGCGCCAACAAAAGCTGAATTTCTTACAAAATAGGATCGTGGATCCATTAATTAGCAATAATAGGAATGAGCAAATGCTCCAATATTATGATGAATAATTGCTATTCAATGACAATACAACATAATATCACCAAGAGATTTGCATGTTTGTGATGATAAGACTTAGGAGCTTATGATAGGTCATGGATAGTAGGTAAATTTTTATATTCCAACTTGTAGGTGTATATGTTACAAAAAAATCTTATCACAATATGGCTATTATATGTCGTTCATTTTTTTTTTCACTTAATTTGACGTATCATAGATTGATGGACCCATTGATTGATCATCTAGCCCTTTGGTTATAATTGTTTGCTGCTATTTAGGCACTTTGACACTGGCAATGTAATTAATGTAGGACCACAACATTTGAAACCATGCATGCTTGTGAATTGTAACAATCAACACTAAAAGCATAACACGTGATTGAGCCATCTTCCTGGATCTCAAGATATGAACAAAACCTCTCAATTTATCTCTATTGTCGAATCCATTAATTGTTTGACAAAACAACTCACTCTAGACACTGGTGAGTTAATTATATTTTTATATACTAATTTGTTATTTTTTTCAATTAAGTATTTTTGCTATTTGAATAGATCAAATTATAATTTTTTTTTTTTTAATTTGAATATGTTCCTTAATTCTATTCTGACGCGTCTGTTATCTTCACACCTCAAGTAAGATCTTTGTCAACATGTGGCAATGGTGTGACATAAATGTGTCAATTATGTGGAAAAAAAAAAAAACCGACTACGAGCTCTGTATAAGCTCCTTCAGACTCCAATGCTGGAAAAATAATATCATCCTCAGCATTACTATGTTCTCTGTATAAGCCCCATAAAAGATGGAATCTTCCGGTGAATTTCTGTAGAAATGCCTCGTCACAGTAACTGAAAGAGATACTCCAAGTCTTTGCTTGTGGCTTTATGAAACTTAAATCTAGGATCTATCGGTCGTTCTGTATATGCAAGATCAGAAGAGACCGTATCTGCTTCCTAGACAAAAAGACTGGAGTTAAGAGCTGGAGCAGAGGAGCTGAGAGATAAGGATCGCAAAGACTTGGCTGTGGAAAGAGAACTTAATCCCAGATTATTGATGTTTTATCCTAAACATGGGACACAACAAGACCAATCAGAACAAGCTGGTTTATGTGCATCCGTTGCAGACATTGATATTCTTAAGAGATCCTAAGATGTTGTTTCTTTTGGGAGGCCTTTTGGCATTTCCTTTACTAATGGACACAGGACGTCTTTCCTTTAAACAAAATGCACCCATACGCGCGGAGCATGATGGAGCAGAATTTTCCTTAATAGCAACAGGACAGCAATGAATTGCCCTTGAAGACAAACACACACCTTGGCTCGACCCTTGTCAAGCCCAACCAGGAAAAAGTTTTCTTTTGTTTAAGTATAGCCTGTTGTCTTGAACGGGAAACCACACCACCCCACGCACCCCGCCCCGCCCCACCCCCCCCCCCCCCCCCCCCCCCCCCCCGCGCTCCCTCCAAAAACGTTTTCTGTTTTATTTATTTATTTGCCACATGTTTTTCACCTTATTTGCACATATCGACATGGGTCTTACTTGCGAGACATATCAGCACAGAGTTAAATGACTCACTCAAATAGAAAAAAATTATAATTTAATCTACTTAAATAGTAAAGATTAAAGAGGATACAGCCAATTAAAAAAAAGTAACAAGTTGGTACGTCAAAAATGTAATTAACTCGCAACTGGTCTATGCTTTCATTAAAAGCTTAACTTTCCTGCATAATTAAACAGCACACATGCATGCGGGAACAAATGCTAGCTCCATCATGAATATATCTTTCCATTAGAATTGATATTTCAGAATTCATGTACTTTACAAGCTAGAAGAGCAAGAATTTGAGCTTTTCTTGCCTTTCTTCTTTAATGGATGCAAACAGACTGAAAAGAAAGAGACAAGTTTGTTAGTGAAGCTTGTAGTTTTGTGTCTCAAACCTTTTTTTATTTGTTTTCGTATGATTGTGGTAAAGGGAAAGCAAAATTTTGGTTGGAACGACTAAAACTATATTGAAAACTGAAATTGATTAAGAATAAGGGGCATCTAAACCTGAAGTAATGAGAAAGGTTTTATGACCATTTAAGGATTACAAGACAACCAAAGAAAGTCAGAATGACTAGGAAATGACAGCAACTTATGTAGTTGTTTTTTGGATATATAAAAGCAACTTAGTTGAGTTCAAGCATCAAATATTTCCTCTCTTTATAGTATAATTTATAACTTTTGGTAGGTAATGTTATCAAGGGTTTGATCTACCAGCAATACCTAACATGAACCCTAATGATCAATTAACATAATTAATTAGCTTCAATGATGTGCTATATCGGATTTAATTTGAAACTAATTCCACTTTAAATACTCCCTTCTAAGTAATAAAGCCTTCCTTCTTTATATTTCATTAGCTATGATCGATCAGGTAGTAGATTTGCAAATCAACATTGTTTTTAATTAATGTTTGCTAAAAGTGGTTATGATTATGTCTGCCAACACACGAATTAGATTCAGATTTTCCTTTTTCTTTTATGTTCAAGTTCAAAGAACAAAAATTTTACCCCAAATGAGATGATAGTTAAATCTAGCTAGCCATTGGAGTTCCTATTTGTTTTTTTTTAATGGGGCGCCATTATATCATATTTAACTTGGTTTAAGCCATAATTACTTGTTAGTACTCTATATGCATGCCCTATATATGCATAACTTTTCTAGCCATCATCACAATTTTTGGTTAGGGTTAGGTCAATCACAATTTAGTTTTCTAAATAAAAAATTGGGGTAAAAAAAAAGTTACCATGTTGGATGGAGGTCAATAGCAACTTATGATAATTAACTTAAAATTTTTGTGATTTTAGTGTTATAAGCTTAATCCAATTCCAACTCTACTCCCAAATCATCCTAGTAGTTGAAATGTCCAAATTTAAAATCCTTCCCACTCCCAAATACAAATAAATAAACGAGGGTTAGTTTGAGTGAAATAAGCCTTAATCATTTAAATAAATAGTTTTTGGTTCAAATTGTTACATATGTAGAAAATTCTTTGAATAACTCGTACTCTCTTTGTGCACTCAACAAAACAAGTAAAGAATTAGTATAAAATTTTAGATTTGAGATATCCTAAGAATTCTAAAAAAATAAATAATAAAAACCTGAATCAAATTCAATAAAGATTTAAATCTAAGCTGATTGTAATATCAAATGAATTATTGTAATCCTGTTATATCTTAAAATGTGGTTATTAGTGATGCTTCCCATGTTTGGAAGCTGCAATGAACCTGCCTTGAATATTTGACGTATCAATTATTTGCCGTAATACATAAATTGATGATGGGATCCTAACTAATCCTCGAGACAAACCCTACACTATCCTAAATTTCTGCAATATATGAATAGAATAATTTGTTGTTAGCTTGTACAAAAGTCAATAAATAATTTAATATCGTGCAACTCACATGCTTGCATTAATATACCCAAACGTATTTTAAAAAAACAAATAATCTTAAATTATTAAATTCTGAGCTTATCTAGCTTGAACAATAATTGAAGATGATTTTTTTTTCTAGGAATGACAAGCAGACAACGTACATTCCATCAACAACCCTAACTTCACACCTAAGGTACACGATCACATTCTTCCCCTAGATTATGGTAGCCACCATGTGATCACCGTGATAAGAAAATCTTTTCATGTCTTTTGTTTGGCTCTAGCATCTTTTCTTTACTCATTACACGTGTGTTGATATTTCCTTTCCTCTCTTTTTTTTTTTTTTTATTATTATTATTTTTTTTTAGGAAAATAAAGACTCAAACTTAAACTAACAACTCATTATAAGTATAGAGTTAAATAGTTAAAAATTAGTCCCATTCAAAAGATTTGAATATGTGTTCTAATACTTTCCTCACTTACGACTAATATTAGATAATTGATTTTAAGTTTCATTCAAAAGACTTAAGTTTTATGGTGAATGATTCATTCTTAATTTTATCTATTATTCATTATTACTTTAACTATTTAATGTGAAATATGTGTTCTAGCAACACTCAAGAACATATGACGACGATCATTAAGTAGCGTTAATAATTTTATTATTTATTAAGTGATATATTATTCTCACAAACAAAAAAGTTTATAGCCTAATGATAATAGTTTCTTATAATGAAAAATCACGGATTTAAATTTTAATAAATTAGTTTACTAAGATCTTTGAAAGTGTGAATTAAAAAAAAAAAAAAACATTATTCTCAGACAGTAAAAGCAAGGAGGACACTTTTAGGACAGTGTTACAACCCAACTTGGTTGGTTGGGTTGCTTCCTAGTTGTCCTAGCTATTTCAGAGGTTGTAATAAGATATATATAATTTTTCCCAAATGGAATATCCCGCAAATGAGATTCTCTCTTTAATTAATATCTTAGTATAGATATCCTTCACCATTCAAATTCTCTGAAAAATTTTAGCATTGAGTTGCCTTATTTTACATCATTGTAAGATGTCATTACGTACAAAAATCAAATACGGAAGAAAAAAATTTACTTATTTTTTCATTATTGTTTATTTATTTTTTTACAACAGAAAATCCGTGAAGTAACCTAACATTACTCATAAGAAGACATTCGAATTTGATAAAGTTTGAATTCTCATATATGTTTTTTCATTATACTATTTAGATGACTTATTCCTTAAATTAGAAATGAAAGATGCATTAAGGAAGCATAATACTTGCCTTAGAAATTGCTCAATGTGCTTATTCTATATATAAACTATAGAGACTTATCCAATTGTGATTAATTATATACGCACAACCCTTCCAAGTTATGATTTTTTTTTTTTTTAGTTCAACGGTAAACGTATTTTCGGATAAACTTTCATGAAGAAAGTTATAAAATTTATACACAAACTTGTAGTAGTTTTCTAAACTACTCCACCCTTTGAATTTTTTTTTTAAAAAAAGGGATATACGTTGGTTTGAGTGTCGATTAATCTTAATTTCTTTAAAATTATTGAGTTAAGAAATGAAAATTTCTGCCCGTGCAATCTATAAAACTAGTTTTGTCTGAAAAACGTTAGACGTAATTCAATGCACTAGTGTAGTCTAAAAAGTAATAAATTTAATTTTGATTAATATAAAATTTAATTCGAAATTATCACATTATTAATAAATATTAAAAAAAAAATTATACCTTTACTGTAACAATTTCAATCCAAGTAAGCTTCAATTCTATTGGCTCAAAACTCTTACATGGCAAAGAGAATGCCAGCTATAAAGTAAACACCCAACATAGATACCACAGAAGCTGCAAAAACGCAATAAATCTATTTTTGTTTTTTCTTTCCCAAATTAGCCTGGTATAATCAGCAGGTAATCCATGCCCAAGGTGTACAAAATAGTAAATTTACCCCATAAATCTCAATCACTTAAAGACACTAAAAAAAAAAGCTAAAAATGCCAAAACCCAAATATATAAAAACAGAAAAAACTAACTATAAAACCAAAATCCAGCTCTCCATTCCACCCTCAACATCCTCTCCCCGTCTTTCTCTATCTCTCTCTCTCTTTAAAAATGGAGCCCCCACTAACCTCCCCGAGACCACCACCTCCACCACCACAAGAACCACCATCTCCACCACCACAAGACCAACAACATCAAAAGATTTAGACTTTGACAGCATTAGAGCCATCAAAGTCCTAGGCAAAGGAGCCATGGGGACAGTATTTCTTGTCCACAATCAAGAAACAGACCCAACAGCCAAGAACCCGTTTGCCCTCAAGGTGGTCGAAAAATCCACACTCCATACCAAATTCGACGCCGATCGCCGTGCACGGTGGGAGATCCAAGTCTTGAACCAATTATCCACCCCAAAAGCAACCCACCCATTTCTTCCTCACCTCATTGCCTCCATAGAAACCCAAGAATTCCTTGCTTGGGCTGTCCCCTTTGTCCGGGTGGTGATCTTAACGTCCTCCGCCACCGCCAAAACGATCGTGTTTTCTCACCTGCTGTAATCCGCTTTTACTTAGCTGAAATTGTTTGTGCTCTTGACCATCTCCACCAAATGGGCATTGTTTTCAGGGACCTAAAGCCTGAGAATATTTTGATACAACATTCTGGTCACGTGACTCTTACAGACTTTGATCTTTCTCGTACGTTAATGAGAAAAACGGTAATGAATCTTGTCTCTAAAGCTGCGGCGACCAGCTGTAATAATGTAATCACCGTCAGCAAAATTGAACAGCAACCTCAAAAGAAGCAACTGCAACATAGAAGGAACTTGACGAGGTGGTGGTTTGTTAATGATATTCAACAAAAAAAGAACGGGTTAAAGAAGGCGAAATCTGCACGAGTTAGCCCAGTGAGTCGGAGAAAACTGAGTTTCAACAATGGAGAACGATCCAACTCGTTCGTGGGCACAGAGGAATACGTCTCGCCGGAGGTTGTAAGAGGGGATGGACACGAGTTCGCTGTTGATTGGTGGGCTCTTGGCATTTTGAGTTACGAGATGCTATACGGAACGACGCCGTTTAAAGGGAAGAACCGGAAGGAAACGTTCCGAAACGTTTTGATGAAGAAGCCGGAGTTAATCGGGAAACGAAATGAGTTAACGGACTTGATTGAACGGCTGTTAGAGAAGGACCCCACACAACGGTTGGGGTACCAACGTGGAGCTTGTGAGATCAAGGAGCATGCATTTTTCAAAGGCGTTAAGTGGGACCTACTAACGGAAGTCTTAAGACCGCCTTTTATTCCGTCAAGAGAGGACGGAGAGTTAACGGAAAAGGTAACGGCAGGTGGGGTGGATATTAGGGAGTATTTTGAAGATTTAAGGGCGCCACCTCCGTCAATGCCTCCGTCACCCTCTTCGGATTATCGTAGGAATTTGTCGGAATTCTAACCCGCACGTGTGGCAGGCGGCACGTGAAAGAATTAGCTTAGTTAATTTTTATTATTATTATTATTTTTTCTGTATTTGTGTACATAAAATAAATGTGTTAGAGCTTGAAAAAGACGCTAGTCTTAGTGCAGAAGAAGAAGAAGATTAGTTGTTACAAGCTATAAATAGATTAGATTATATTCGAGCGATAATATACATGTTTATATTTTATAATTATAAAGTGATATATTTATTTACTTAAGTAATAATTATATGTGAATTGATAAGAATTAATTCAGTCCAAAAATATTTTTATTATTATGGATTAGAAAATAGAGGAAGATAGACACAATTTCTAGTTCTTTGATTGCTATCTAAGAATTAAAAAAACCAGCAAAATTTGGTGGCTTTTAAACCAACTATTGCAAGAAATGGGGATTGCTTTTGGACAAACTTATGCTTGTTTTTCCCTTCTTGTAAAAGAAAACAAAATCTTGCATTTCTTGCAAGAAAATTTTTCTTTATGGCCCATTTGAAACAATATAATATTTTCTTGAAAACAAAGGAAGAAAAGTGCTTGAATTTGTTTAATTTATGAAAAATCAAAATAATATTTAAGTGTTGAGAAATTAAATTATACTCGATGTTCACCTTTTATTACTTTGATCATGTTAGCTAGTGGTAATGAGAGGGATTAATAGGTAAGTGGGGTCATTAATTTTTAAATTGACATCATTTTGTTTACCGAAAGATGATAATAGTTCTACTATTTGTTCCGTGAAGAGTGGTGTGAATTGATCAATGAAAATGTTGTTAACACTATGTGAGCAAAACATTAGAACCTAATGTTTAGATTCTTTCATATTCTTCACGTGCAAAGATGATATGTTTAATCACTAATATTTGGCTAATTATTCTGCTACTTCATTATTCTCAATTAAGATACTATCTATCATCAAAGATTATAGATAAAATAATAAGAAGAATATCTCTTATTCATCGAGTCAAGAATTTGATTCTTATCTTTAGAAATCTCTTTTCTTATTTTGTATGACGTTGAACATAAACTATTAATGAACTTAAAAAATCGAGCTATTAAAATCAATTAAAAATTAGATACAATTTGATGCTGACCTAATTTACAAAATAATAAATTTAATCCCAATTAATATAAAAACTAACTAAAAAATATCTCATCATTAACTATAAAATATATATAGTACTCGTCACGTTGATCTCATAGTCTTAGAAAATAGGTCATATTGGTTAAAGAGAGCATGTTTTATCTTTTATCGTTAGAATTTAAACCTTGAATTAGATTATCAAAAATAAAATTTTCTTATGAATCCTCTTGATATCTTGTTATAGTCTAGAAAAATGGATTCAATCTTGCAACATATAAACTAACTCGAAAATACCAGATGCAAGATAAAAAAGGAAATGATTAATTTCATTTTTACCTGAATAACATATGTGTAAGCATATTCTCTCTGAAAAAAAATATCAGCATATTTCATGTATTTCTTTCTTCATTTAGATCATACATTTTAAAGGTAATTGTTAAGCTCAATTTGGTGTTTCTTAATGCCTATAGGAACTTTCCTTCCAACTTGCAAGTAAAAGGGGTTGCTTGTTGGTAGATGACCACTTTGTAAAAAGGCTAATTATTTTACAAATTTCAATATGAAAAGTTAAGCTTCATATGATTACCAGACAAAATGTTCTTAGATCACGGGGTTTGCTGGAGACCTATTGCTTGATTGGCCTTTCAACTTTATCACACAATTCCTGACTTCTAAGGTTGGCGTCCATTGTAATAATCATAGCTTCCCTCAATCTTAGACTTGAAAAAAAATGCATATATTTGTTATAGTTAATTAAAAAGAAAATATAACAACCTTCAACTAAAATATATTTTGATCGGTGGTAATTTGATTATTAAATTTCTATTATTCACGAGATAATTAACTATAATTATTCCTTAATAATACTAAATTTAAACTAATTTGTCTTAAAAAAATAGTTTCAATGGTCGATTAAATATTAGACGTTTTATGAAGTTGGTTTATCTTTAAAAAAAAATGATAGACTTAAGTGGTGTTTGATAAAACTGAAAATTAAGTACTCGAATTTTAAGTGTTGAATATGTTAAGTACTCGAATATGTTCTCGACAAGTTCGTTTGGTATTTATTGAAAATTAAGTACTGAATACAATAAGCCTGTTTGAAGATGATATAATATATATGATATTTTTTTAAGATTTTAGTTTGAACATATGTATCCGATTATATTACTTTTATTGTTTAAAATTTATTTTTTTTCAATTATTTTTTTCTTACTAAAATTCTCATCAAATTGATTTTTGATATAATTTTATTTTTTAATAAATTTGATTTTTTAATATATGAATTTTGGAATAAAATTTTATAACGTCAATGTTTTATTTTTAAAAAATATATTATTATAATTTATATAATGAATTATTTTTATGCTTTTCAAATGAGTATTTTATTTTTCAAAATATATATATATATATATATATATATATATATATATAGAGAGAGAGAGAGAGAGAGAGAGAGAGAGAGAGAGAGTATGTTTTAGATAGTTTGACTTAATCGGATAAGTTAAAAATTTTAACTTATCTAATTAAGTAGATTTTAACTGAACTTAAAGTTTTAATATGAGATCATTTAAGTTATCAAACAAGATTTTTATATTAAGTAATACAACTTAATTTTTTAAGCTACTTAATTAGGTTATCAAACACCCCAATTAGTCTCATTGATGTAAAAACTAATCAAAAAAGATCCAACAACATATATATATGTATACATACCTTTTGAATTTTTTATATGAATTTGAATCATAGAATTATATATAAGAGGTTTTGATTCACGTCTCCTTTGTTATATTTTTGCGTCAAATGGTGGATTATCTTGAATATTGATCAATATAAACTATTTGGAATTTTTTTAAAAACTTTGTTATGGTTCATTTGAACTTTATTAATTAATATAGATGGAAGATAATTTTTTTTATATTGTCACACTAAAAAGGTAAAATGAGAGTTTTGTTGGACCAAAATAAGTTGTTATATCAAGATCATGATTTGATATGCTCAAAAAATATATTAATCAATGGAGCATATTAATTGTGTTTATTATTTGGTGCAACAAAAGAGGATTTTTCTAATTTTGGACTGCAATGAGAATTTGGGGGGATAGATGAAATTTGAAGAAGAAATAAGGTGGATTGACATAATATTTGAATAATATATGGCCCAGTTATGAAAAAAAGCACAAAAAAGTAAACTAGCTTTAGAGTACTGTACGAAGTACTTTCTTGGCAAAGTTATTTAAAAGACCTAAAGAAGACTGGGCCCCATATTTTGATGTAGTTAGTAGTATGGCCCTTATCCATGTATTTCTTAAACACAAGCATACAAGTATAATTTGATCCTAATATTTTATAATTATGCAACCAAGTCTGCCTTCTTCTTTTTACATCGTCCCCATAGGAGACTCAGGAATTTTGCATCTTGTTATTACATTTTAAGAATGAATTCTTATAAATATATTAGAAAGATATAAAAATACGTTCTTAAAATCAAATGAAAAAAATTAATTCGGATTGATATATAAATTGATTCGTAAGTATTTTTACGGTCAAACAAAGAAAAAACGATACTTCTTATAAAATCACATATAATTTTGAGATAAATGAATTGAATGATAAAAAAAATAAAATTCAAGCCTCCATGAAATAAAACAAAATCAGATCATTAATAAAAGCTCCATTTATTTCTTACACGAGATATGCTCAATGATTGTTGCAAATTTGCACGTATACGTTAAAAAGAAACAGTAAGCCTGCAATGCCAGAAAAATACAAGGGGACATTAAGGAAGGGAGCATTAAAAGAATTGTCTCCATTTTCCTTCATCTTTGAAGACAAAATCACCTGGACTATGACCCCCTAGAACCCACTATTAAATTGCCACTGCTGCAACCCAATCCTCAAACTCCAAAGAACTATTTGTTCTTCTAATATAAATATAGAATCCATTATAAAAATCATTTATAAACTCCATATTTACTTGAAAGGATGGAATACGATTTTCGATAAACTAGATAATATTGATATCATCTTTCATTTGTACTGTTAAAGGATATGATTTAATGATAAAACAATTATTTTAGTTTGATCAAAACTAAAATTCAGTTTTGATTATCTATGCATAACTAATAATAATTTTCTTTTATTAATATCAAATTTAGATTGATTTAGCTTAAAAAATAACACAGTAATCGATAAAAAAAATAAACATATTCTGATGCTGATTTATTTTAGAAAATGATGAATTTAATCTTAATTTATATAATAGCATAATTGTTTACTTGCTGGACCACTAGCTGATGGAATTAGGTGCTTATATCACTAAAATTTGCAATGGGTTCCTAGTAGGCACTAAAATGATCTAAATTTATTCCATTTGTCGGCAAATCTAAGGCTCAATTTGCAAATTTATCTAGAACATGTGACTTTAGGTCCACTTACACTAGAAGCCAAATTGACCCATTGTGATCTACCAGTGGATCTTGGCATATTGCAATTTAATCAGCAATTTTGGTCCTCCACGCATCAACACAATTTGATGAATATGCAATAATGGATAGTGAGAGGGTTGCAGAGATGGGTGGCCCTTAATTACTTTATTGTTTTTGTTTTTCTAAGCCCAGCTGGGTTGACAGATGATAGATATATCATTTCGGTTCGACTTGGACATGAAATTGATCAAATGTGACCTTTACTTTTATTACCAGATTATCTATATATCCCAACAAATCTCTAGTGAAAGCACTAGTAAGTAGAATAAATTTTGACACAATCACGGTTAATCTAACGATTATATATTCAATACTTTTTTTTTAGTTAAATATAAATCAAGTCATAATAATTTTAGTTTATTTCGGTGATTATGTAATGAGAAATTATTATTTTACGTGATGTAATTCAA